AAGTTTGATCCGATCGTGAACAAGCGCGTGCTCTTCAAGGAGGAGCGCATCAAGAAATGAGGAGAGAGCGCCGCTCGCGGGGGGTCGGGGGCGTCGATGGGGAGGGAGGCGGCGGCGGTGGCGCAGGCGGCGGTGGCACGGGCGGTGGCAGCAGCCGTCGCTCACGGCGGCGTGGCCAGCGCGCCGCGAAGGCCCGCTCCCTCAGGGACGGGGTCGCGACCCTGCCGATCCCGCCGATTGGTCAGAACAGCAACTCGACCTTGCTGAGGCAGCTCTGCCCGTCGCGCGAGTACAAGTCGTGCTTTGGCGCCGCCGTCGCAGCGCGCTACACCGTGCGCGAGGTCTTCCGCGGGCGCGTCGACGATCCAGAGGGCGCGGCCGAGCGGGCTCCACGTACCATCCCCTGCCCCTCCTCCTCCTCCTCCTCCTCCTCCTCCTCCTCCTCCTCCGCCGCCGCCGCTGCCACCGCTGCCACTGCTGCCGGTTCCGCCGCCACCTCCTCCACCGCCTCCGCCTCCGCCTCCGCCTCCGCCTCCGCCTCCGCCTCCGCCTCGCCCGGAACGAGCTTTGTCCTCGCCGCGCTCCGCACTGCCCCAGAGCAGGAGCACGCGCTCGCCGTCGACAGCGCGGCTGCGGCCGCGGCGCAGGGGGCGGGTGGCAGTCCGGTCGAGACGCTGCGGCGGCTCGCTGGCGAGCTGGCGGCCCGTGGCGAGCTGGCGCGAGGGGAGGAGGAGGGGTCGCCGCCCTCGGCGGGGGGGGGCGCGGGGGGAGGCGAGGCGAGGGGCGGCTCGGGAGCGGCGGCTGCCTCGCCCCCCCTCCGGCGCGGCTGCTTCGTGCGGGAGCTCGACTAGTCAACTGATTAGCCCGTGAGTAGTCACTGGGAGTAGGTGCGACAGCCGCGTGCGCGAGCTCAACGCGCGCGCCACGCTGCTGCTCGGCGTGCCGTCCCTGCCGGGCAGCCGGGGGCGGGCGCGCCGCTCCTCCGCGCGCGGGTCGTGGATGCGGTTCGGCGCAGTGGGCGACAGTGCGGCCGTCTGCTTCCTGCTCTCCGCCCTGCACGCGCCGGGCGAGATGGCGCGGCTGGCGGCGGAGGCGAGGCGGCACCGAGACATGCTCTTCCTGCCCGTCGCAGAGTCGCACATGCTCTTTCGGCAAAAGACGCGCTACTCCAACTTCAGCTCCCGCGGGCGCGGCATGCCCACCTTCAAGCAGTACGCCTTCTTCCAGCACGCGGCGGCCCACCTCCCCGACGTGCCCTTCGTCGGCAAGGCGGCACCGCCACCGCCACCGCCACCGCCACCGCCGCTCGCCTCACCCCCCCTTTCCCCCCCCCTTTCCCCCCCCCTTCCCCCAACCCCCCCTGGCCGCTCACGGTTCCGCGGTGTGTGCACCGACCGGCGTGCGCCTCCTCTGCCTATCGTCCGTCGCTCAGGCGAGCCCGGCCTCGCTCCTCGTGCACAACCTGAAGAATGGCGGCTTCAACGCCGCGTTCGAGCAGATGCAGGGCGCCGCCTACGACCACCGGCGCTGCATGCACGACCCCCTCACAGACCGGGTTTGAGTCATTTATCATTTGCGTGTAACGCGCGTCGCTGGTAGAGTTTACACAACATGCCACCACATCCACAACAGCGCAGCCGCACAGAAAACTACACATGAACTATCCACACTCGTAGCCCGACGCCACAAAACGTGCCACAGCAAGAAGGATTTCACCACAAGAGGTTGCTACGTGTGCACAGCGATCAAAGCCGTGACCGCCGTTAAGGCGACGCAGTGCGTCCAACATGCTCGAAGAAGAACGTCAGCGTTGGTTGGTCGTCGTCAACCGGCGCTGGCTTGATCGGCTTTCGGTGCTTCAGAGGCTGCGCCTCGACAACAAGGCGGTGCGTGTTGGACCGTGCCATCAGGAAGACTCCGAACGCGCCCAGCGTGAGCAGGCCGACGCGCTCAGTTGCCATTAGCCTCAGAGCTCTACAAAGAGATGGGGTTTCGTTCGGTGGAGAAAAGAATTTTGAAAAATCCGACTCATCCCGGGAGGAGGGCAGAGTTTTCTTGAAATCCCTGTGTGGTGGCGGCTTGCCGTCCTCCCATCCCTCCCTTGTGTTGTCTGTTTTCTTTCTTTTTGAGGGCACAGTTGCGCCGAAAGGCAAGCGATCGACAGAGGAGAGCGACGCCCGACGCGACAGAGGAGAAGAAGAGGTTTTCAAAAATCTCTCTCTCCAGAGCGACAAAATGGTATTGCTAAAAATCTCTCTCTCTCCAGAGAGGAGGAAGCGACAGGAGGGAGAACGACGAGAGTGGGACGACCGCGCGCGAGGTCCGGCACACCAACTTGATTCCCGGATCGGCGTCTCCCCCTCCCCCTATGTGCCGCCACCCCCCTCCAATCCGTAATTCCGTAAAATCGCGCGAAAAGCGCCCTAATCGAGCTGGAGAGCGGCCCCCAGCCGCATGGGAGCGTGCCCCAGCTAGCAGGAGGCGTTAGACGTACTTTTCGGAAGGACTTTCGGCGACGTCCGTTCCCTTGGACACGTCGACAAATGGCACCGACGCAGCTCAGCATTGTGCTGGAGCGCCTGCTCAACGAACTCGGAATAGCCAACCTCAGTATGTTCGAGGCTGTGCTCATGCACGATACAGGCGCGGTGCTCGACGCGATCCGAAGCACCGCTGCAGCCGCAGAGGCTGTGCGGCGGTTTATGCCAGCTCGGCCACGCGCAATGTTGTTGTGTGCCGAAGCAGCACTGCTACCGCTGGCGCAATCTCTGTTCAGCACGAGGGCAGCATCTCCCGCACTCTCGTCAGCACAGACGCGCAAACCACGCTAAGAGGGCTCGGACATCCATGCAGCCGCGAGTAGTGCGACTGCTGAGATGCTGCTCCGGCAGGAGTTGGAAGAGAAGTTGCGGTCACAGACCAAGGAGCTCGCTTCTGAGCAGCGCTCTGCGAACGCTATGAAGAAGGCGCTCGCATCGGCGCGGGATGAGCTTGCTGCGGCACAAGAGCTGGGGCGCTCCGACTGCGACAACCTGAGGACAGCGCAGCAGGCTGCTAAACGCGACATCAAAGCGGCTGAGCGGATGGCCGACCAGGCAAATCATGCAGCTCGAGCTGAGTGTGAGTGGCGTATCGGCGAGATGCGGGCCAAGATGCAGGCCGAGCTGCGCGAGCAGCTCGACGCGCTGCAGGTTTCGATGGAGGCAGAGGCGAGGCGCGCTGATGCCGCAGAGGCAGAGAGGTCAAGGCTGTACGACAAGATGGAGGGGATTATGCGCACGCGTGAGGGGTTGATAGACGCACTCGCAGAGGCGCAGCGCAAGCGCGAATAAGTGATTGTTAAGAGATATACGTAGCGTTACAGTCGTACGGTCGTCGACCCTCCCACCTTGTGGGCCGCCCGGACCCCGGAGAGCGCTGCGCGTGCAGACAGCGCTGCGCGAGCATTGGAGAGGCCAGCCCCCGGCTTCTCAGCATGTCGCGAGCGCTGAGTCTCTGCCTGCCTGGTAGCTGGGTGCGGTGGGGGACTCCCTGGTGGCTTTTGGTTACAAATTTACGGATTTACGGATTTACGGATCGACCCCCCTCCCTCCCCGTCCCGCGACCCGGCCGTGAGACGCCGATCCGGGAATCAAGTTGGTGCCGGGGTGGCATGAAGGTTGTAGCGAGAATCGGCGAGGGACTGCGAAGGGAGATAGAAAGAGGCAGACGCCCAAGGGTTAGGGTGGGCGACGGCTAGCACCACACTCCTCCTTAAAATCCCTGTGTGAGCTGTGTGGTGGCGGCGTGCCGTCCTCCCATCCCTCCCTTGGGTTGTCTGTTTTCTTTCTTTCTGGATACGGAGGGGAGCACAAATAGGACGCCCAGCCTTGCCCTCGTGCCGCCCAGTGCGAGTATCCTATGCGAGAGAGATCCCTGTGCCGTGTGCCCAGCCCTCTCCGCGCGCCGCGATGCGCCCTCCCCCCCCTCGCTTTTGCAAAATCCTGCAAAGGTGGGGACGTGTCTGTCCTCGACCCAGCCCTAGCTTGGGATGTCCGTTTTATTTATTTATTTATAGCTTGACAAACACACGGCGAGGGCGACAGCAAGAGTCGAACGGGGCGGCGAACGCCAGAAACGACCAACTCCTTCGACTCAGGGGCCGAGCGGGTGGGCTAGATCTAGAAGCCCAGGAGCTTCCGCGCCCACCCGATGATCTCCTTGTCTGCAGGCAGCTTCGCGACGGTGGAGCCCTTGTCCTCGCCCCTCTTCTGCCAGTCCTAGTCGCCCAAACGAATTCGAAAACTAGTCGCCCGCTCCTCCGTCTCCGGCTACGACTCCGAGACGCCGCACGAGATCCAGAACGAGGCGCTCTACCCCGGGCTTGCCGCGCGTACGGCTTAGGCGAACAGTTCAAGGGACAAGGCTTCGGTGCAAGACGAGGGCACCTTTGGCGAGTAGTCCGAGTGGCTCGACGAGCTGCCATTCGAGGTGGCTGCGGCGACCGCCCGGCTGCTAAAGCACTACACGCGCTCCGGCGCGTGGGTCGAGATCACGCCGCCCCTAGGCCTAGCCAGGCCCCGCGCGCTGGCCGCGACCGCGACCGCGGCCCTCCCTCGAGCCCGAACTGGGCCCATCAGACGTGCCGGAACCGTCCGACTCCTATAGCGACTAGCACACCTCAAGTGTCCCGAGAAACCCCGAGGAGTTACACAGTCCACCTGTCGGTCCTGTGTCCTGTGTGTGAATCTGTGTGTGATGTGCACGCCCCCCCCTGGCGAGCGGGGCGGGGGGGCCGGCGCGCGGGGTGCCTGCTTAGGGGGGGTGCGCACTGTGTGCCTCTATGTGTTCGTGCGTCGCCCATCTGTTCTGGAGATGCCTGCTCTATTTATTTATAGAGCCGTAACACTAGGGCGCGCACTGGCACTAATCGTGGAGAAAACTAATTTATATTGAACACTGCTCCCACACACAACATCTCTCTCTCTCCTCCCTCGCGGCTCGCGGTCGCGCAAGCCGCCTCAGCCAAACGTGAACGGCGGCGGGGGCAGCTCGTGCCAGCGGGCGAGCGGCCGGCCGCACTTGTCGCACTGGTGCCGCAGCAGCCACTCGTACAGCGCGGCGTCGCGATACGCAATCTCGTACGAGCCGTGGCCGACGAGCGCGCTGTACTCGGAGATGGGAGGACCCGGCGCATGCTGGTAGCGCACGTACCGCACCTCGCTGCCTTGCGCGGCGGCGGCGGCCAAGGCCTTGACCATGCCGTCCGCGGCGGCGACTGGGATCACCGAGTCGTCCGCCTGGCGGCGGGCGGCGGCGCCGGTGTAGGCAAGCGGTGGGGGGCGGCACGCCACTGCCGCGGCGCAGGCACCGAGTGGTAGACGCACACCGCCGTGGAGGAGTGGCCGCGCGCGAGGCGCCTCGCGATCTCCTCCTCCTGCTCGCTCCTGCTCACGGCAGCGGCGACTCGGCGCGACCCGCCCGGGGCCCTCTCCCCCTCCCGGCCGCTCACCCTTGTGCGTAGCCGCACACGACGGCGACCGCGGCAAAGAAGCGCGGCTGCTGCGCTGCAAACGTCCACGCGCCGTGCCCGCCCATCGACTGGCCGGTCAGGTAGACGCGCGTTGGGTCCCCACGCAGGTCCGTGGTCACCTGCGACCGGCAGAGGCCAGCTGACCCTTCCGGCAGGTCACGGCGGAGCCCTCTCGGCAGCTGTAGGCTCTCGCCCAGTCGTGCACGAGCTCAGCCACGCCGCGGAGCACGTCGGACCGCCATCCATTCTCGCTCGCGCACTCCTGTGGGCACTGCGGCGCGACGACGATGAAGGGGAAGGACGCGGTGAAGGACGCGTTGTGGCCTCTCGACAGCAGCCACGGGAGCGACTGTGCGTTGGCGACGGCAAAGCCGCCGCTCTCCCCGCGGCCGTGCAGAAACACGAGGACGGGCGAGGCTTCGCCTTCGCGCTGCGCGGTCGGTAGAAATAGCCCGAATACGACGCCGCGGTGCCGGAGCTGCACGAGTGACCCTCGGGCTTTCGCGAGGCTGCTTGGCGACAGTTTCTCGACAGACGGCTCGGGGCCGGCGGGCGCTTCGAAAAAGGCGGCGGCTTGGCCTGGTGGGTGGAGCGTCTCAACTTTTGCTGAGGCCAGAGCGGCGTGCAGCAGGAGGCGCATACACAGCGCGATTTCGCGCGGGTGAATTTTTCTTATCTTTGAGCACTTGAGCACAGGATAGGGTCGATTCCGCATGGTACGGGACCCCTGTTATATTTGTTTTTCGTTGCTTCCTTGCGTCTCCGCTCGGTCGTCAATCGCCGCCAGCCACCCTCTGGTCGCGTTATGACGCCAGCTCTCCAGCTCGTCGTTTGGTCACCGAGGAGTAGAGCAAAGCACGCCTCAAACTCCAGGACGTGCCACCTGGACGCATCCCTCCTTCCTTCCTGCATTCTGGTCCCACTTATCGAACACAAAATCTCTCTCTCTCTCTCTTATCGAATTTGTGCCACGAGAGTACTCGTCCGAATTCCGGCGTTTTTCATATTTCTCACGCTCTACGCTATTAACAACAACAAAACTGCACGTCTCGCGCGCGCGTGAACAGGGCTCCAGGCCCCAAATGACGCGTGAGTGTTAGATTTGTTTGGTATTGCCGTCTCTCCTCGCCATCTTGACGACGGAGTCCGTCATCTTCTCCAAACCCGCCGCCAAATCGGCAGCAGTGCCAGCCCCGGCAGCCGTCTTTCGCTCCTTTCGTCGAGCCACAACGTATTTGTCCGGACCGTCGAGGCGGGCATCGAACACTCGTTCGAGCATCGTGGACGACGCCCTCACCGGCGCCCCCGCGTCGTCGTTGGCTTTGTTCGCCGCCTTGTCTGCTGCCACCTTCCGCAAATCGAGCTGCGCCCGCACTGCCGCCATCGCGTTCGTCGCCTGCGAGGCGACCTTCGCCACCTTGGCCTTCCTCTCCCGCTCTGCCGCCGCCTTCCGGTCCTCGCGGCGGTCCGCCAGCGGGTTGTCTCCGGCGTCAGCAGCCACGATCATGGCCGTGACACCCTCGCCTGCCATGCCGAATCTCGGCCGATTGACGCGCGTCCCAAAAGTCGCCAAAAGTGGCGGCGCGTCGCAATCACCCGCCCGCCGTCCCGGCGGTCCCGCAGCTCGCGCACATCTCCCTCTTAACCCACCTGTAACATCACATTAAGGTATTGCTAAAAATCTCTCTCACGCTATTAGTACTCGTTGTATGTTTAGATTAGTTGTTGGCAAATCAGGACACAGAGCTCACACAAATTCACAGTGGGAGGACGAAGGCGGCGAGTGCTCGCAATTCCAGGGGTCGTTGTGGCGGGCCACCCTGTCCAGAGCCCGGGAGGTGGATCGACAAGTCGTATCCAGCCCGGGATGGGGTCTTTCGACCGAGTCTGATTTCGCCTCGCCGCCTCCCGATGGTGGTAAGGTTGTGAGCAACCAAGCGACGGAGGTGGCGGGGGAGGGCGGGGGATCGTATCGAGGAAAGCACGACTCGCACCGACCCTTCACGAACCGAAACAAAGGCAGTGCCCGGCGTGCAAGGCCAAGGGGCACGTTCATCCGGCACGTGTTTGGCGCCCCATTCCGTTTGGCGGCTAGGTCGGCTCAGGGCCCCGTTCCACTTCTTGGCGCGTGAAGATGAAGAGATGCCACCCAGGCCGGCCAGGGCAAGGGCGGAGGGCGAGGGCCGCGGCGGAGGGCGGAGGGCTGGACGGAGGCAAGGGCGGGCGGAGGGCGAGGGCGGGGCGGGCGCGGCGCTGAGCGGAGCAGTAAACTAATGATATCGTTGGCCGAAGCCTCGTTGGCCGAAGCCTCGGTGGCCGAAGCCGGGAGCAGAGCGCGGGTGCGAGTGCGAGTGCAAGTGCGAGAGCGGGGGCGGGCGGGGGCGGGGGGCGGGGCCGGGCGGGCGAGGGCGGGCGGGCGAGGGCGGGCGGGCGAGGCGCGAGGGCGCTGCGGGGATGGGCCGGGCCGTGCGCAGGGCGGGGGCGGTGCTGGGCAGTCCGGGCGGGGTGGTGCTGTGGTGGGAGGTGAGTGCAGTTGAGGGGATTGGGCCGAGATAGATGGTGAGCCGGGGCCCGGGCGGAGAGCGATATGGTGTGTGTGGGTGCGCGTGTGTGGCGGTGTGCATTGTTGGGTATGCGTGTGGGCGTGTGGGGTGTGAGTGTGCACTAGGATTGCAGGGGCGTGTGTGGAGGAGGGGGGGTGACAGAGATATTTTTCTTTTTTAGCATTCACACGCCGAATCAACCGTGACAGGACTCCTTGCAATCAAGGTGCGTCCATATGTCGGCACCGTTTCGCGCTGTGGCGCTCCTGGCTATCGTCGCCTCTACCTGCGCTCTCACCGTTTCATCGAATCGGCGCACGTCGCGTCTCCGTCGTCGTCCACGCCCGGTACTCTCCCTCCTCGAGGAGACAGTTTCCACCTGCGATGCAGACTCAGACTCGTCGGCGCACGCTAAGCCGGCCGCCACCCCAGCCTTGGATGCCAAAGCCTACCTGCGGATGCGCGGGCTGCATGGCGAGGAGGCTCCACTCGTGATCGAGGAGGGCCCATCATCGAGCAAAAAGGCCGCCGTAGAAATTGGCACCGCCCTCCTCCTCGCCGTTCCTTGCCTGGCGCTTGTGCAGCTTTCCGCGTACGACGCCGCGCTCGGGCCGACAGGGAGCCCGGATAATTTTGCGGTCTACAATCTTCTCGCCACGTTGGCGTCTAGCGTGCCTTAGTAGCAGGCGCATGTGGAGTGACGTGGGTGTGACTGTGAGCGGCGCACGCGGGCGGCGACCGCGGTCCGCGGTCGCCCGCCCGCTTTGTTTCGATTCTAAAGGTGTCCAATGTGTGATGATTAGCCACGCTGGTAGAACACAGACACAACTACTTGGGCAGCCTCTATAGCTTGAGCAACTTCTCGCGCTAATCATGCAGCTGAGACGAGGCGCGCAGTCCCGTCTCTCTCCACTCTCGGCTCGAGACGGCTAGCGCGGAGACACGCCACACGCGAATTACGCCGACGGAGCACACACCGCACACACCAAGCTCAACTGCGGCGCCTCATGCCACTCGGACCTCCCAGCGACACCACCACTCGCCGGCAGGCCTTCACACCGCGCTTGTCGGGCGGCTGCCCAAACCCCAGCCGCTCTCCGTGCGCACGTGGGTTCTTGGGGGACTGCGTCTCGCTCAGCGGACCCGCGCGTCGTCGGCGGGCACGTACGCCATCGAGCTCTTGATGCGGTCCGCCTCGAGGTTGGCAGCGATCTGCGCCGCCTGCAGCGCCACCTTGTCTCCGCCATCCTTGCCGAGCGCGTTCAGCTGGGTCGCGTCGCAGGCGACGAGGGTTCCTGCTCACGGGCGGGCGAGGTGAGAGGACGTGTCGACCGGGTCCGCACCCGCGGGCGGACGGAGCTCACCGGGGAACTCCTTGCTGCCCGTCTCGACGCCCTCCTCGCACACCACGCAGCGCGCCTTGCCGATGCTGCCGATCTGCCCGCTCGCGAAAGGGTTGCACCACATGGGCTTAAGCTCGCCGTTGACGCCGCAGCAGTCCCACACGTGGCAGGACGCGCCCTCCGCGCGGCAGAGCCCGAGGTCGCCGAGGTTCCACTTCTCCTCTGGACTGGAGCCGGCGAAGAGCTTTGCCGCCTGGTGGACGACAAGGCCGGCGCCGGCAAGAGCGGCGGAGAGGAGGAAGGCCAGAGGGAGGAGAGCCACAAGCCTGCTCTTCAAACTGGTGGGGCGTGGCTCGGTGCCAGCAGGAGCCGGCGTTATCATCATAGCAAGGCGAAAACCACCAAGTCGAGTGGGTGCTTGCTTGCTCCTCAACGAGGTGCGCGAATTTCTTTTTGATTGTTTTCATCCGGGCGCTCGGTTGGCAGCATCCGCGTTGGTTCTCTCTTTCTTTAAAGATGCGCTGCAGGCATATTCAAGATGCGTTGCGTTTTCCCTATTGAAAGTCGCGACAAATGTCCCTCGTCCAGCCTGCAGCATGGCGAGGCGCGAGAGCGCAACGCGGTCGCGGTGGCGCACCGAGAGGGGCCGCCTGGCCAGCGCTGCCACGGCAAAAGAAAAATCGTCGGACCTCGCTACACAATCCTCTGCCCGGAAGAACATATGCCGACTGAGGTCGAGGCGCTCACCTACTCCACCGCGCCAGAGCCTGTCGCTCCCTTCAACTTTGGTCGCGCGTCGATGAGAGATGCAATCCTGCACACGTGCGAGCGTCCAGGGGCCGACGACCGAAACAACACTCCGGGAGGCACGCCACAGGAGGAGGTGGACGAGTGGCTGCGCTTCATGAAGGAGAAGAACGTGCGGCGCGTCCTGACGCTGCTTGAGCCGAACGAACTCGCTTTCTACAGGACGCCGCTCAAAGACGTCTATGCCGCTGCCGGCCTCCACTGGACGCATGCTCCCATGAGCGCGCCCGATGCCAAGGATCGGGCCATGGAGGCCATCCGCGCTGCCGAAGCGGCCGGCGAGGTGATCGTCGCCCACTGCACGCACGGCATGGGGCGCGCCGGCCGCGTCAGCGGCGCGTGGCTCTGCGAGAGGTACGGACTCTCCCCGATCGACGCGACTCGCGAAGTGATGAAGCAGGCCGAGGGGCAGTCTACTCTGCGGATGGGTGATCCGCCAAAGCTCGCGGAGTACCTCGGCTTGCTCAGCAGGCCGTTTAAGCCGTCAGTCTAGACGTGGGATTAGGTGCTGGGCACCTCTCGCGTGCGGGCGGGGCACACATCCACTTTTCTCTCCGACGCTCAGACTTCACCCTTGGGTCTCTTGCCGTCGCCCCGCACACAGCGGGTCCCCAAGGGTGAACACTCAGACCACACAGAGAAAAAATAATTAAAGAAAATGGAGAGACTATAGAAAAAAGAAGGGGGAGGGAAAAGAATAGTACAACTTTCCCTCAATTTGCGAAGAAACGCGTGAGGTCGATCGCAACCTCGCGGTGCCACGTGAAGTCGTCCAGGAAGCGATGGAGCTTCTCCCACAGACGCCACCTGCGTCGGAAGACACGCGTCCCGTGGTTCTGGTTGTTGCACGCGAGAGCATCTCTCGTGGGCATGATCTAGATGAATACACGTCGCGGATTGTGGCGGCGAATCTAGGGGGCCGCACTCGTCAGAGACGCCGTGACCGATCACGTTGCACGAGTCGGTATGATGACCCTTTCCTCCGAAACCGTACAGGTGCAGCTCACCGCTGCAGTCGCGCATCGCACGCATCGCTAGCGCAACTGCGAGAAAGCCCCGTGTCGCGTCGGTCCTCTCCATTGCAACCTTGCGCGCCAGCGGCGAGAGCTCGTGCATCGTCAGCCCACTTCTCCTGCCCATGGCCATCAGGTTTGCGATCTTACTCGGCTTCGCCTCCCGCTCCGCCACGAGGACGTGCGCCTGCGGGGCGAGCCACTGCAGGATGTCCCAGTTATGCTGCTCGGTCGTGCAGTTGATGACCTGGAGGTCGCACGACGTCCCATGCGTTTGAGGCGTCGTGCTCGAGCGAAAGTCATTGCACCGCACAATGCACGCCCGGTGACTGGCCGCGTCAATGTCACGGCCGAGGTTAGCATGAATCGGCCCGTTACCGACGACGATTACCCGCTTGTGCTTTTTTAGGACCGACTCGATGACTTCTATCCCGCTGAAGAGCTCAGGAAGCCAAACAATGCTCCAGAAGAGCCGCTCCTTTGGTGTGCTGCTCGCAACGAGAGAGAGCGTGAGGAGGTCGTCCATTGGGCTCGGTGGGGAGATTCCACTTCTATTTCCCCGGGACTGTTGAGCGTGATTCAGTCGAGCCAACCGGCTAGCCATGCTGTACGCTTTGCCACCAGTACTGGGTGACGGGGGCAGCGGCTGCGAGCGAGACACCCGAGGCGGTGAAGGTGGAACTTTTGTTGGGGCGAGTGACGGACGCGGCAAATGCAATCGCAGTGCACGTGGCTCTGCCGGCGATGATGGCTGCTTGAGTGGTAGCGGGCCCTCCTCGGCGGCAGCACCGCGCATTACGATGTTGGGACGACGCGGCGAGAAGGATGCCTGGATGGATTGGTCATTGGAAAATGCATCGTGAAAATGTGTGAACGTGTTATGGCGCTGCGACCGCGCACCCGCCAGGGCTAGGGTTTTCTTGCCCGCAACCCGTATCGAGCATCCGGCCCGCTGGGTGTGCGCTTCTTAGCTCCCCGGCGGCCCTGGATGCGAGGTTAATGACCGCGCACTCCAAGTCGCCAAGAAAACTCTTTTATTTTGCGAGTTGGGGTTAACCTACCCCGTGCCGTGCCACTCCTTGCTTCTCTCGGCTTCTCCTGTCGAACGGGTCGCTAATCAACTTCAAAGCACAAAGGCAAGAAACGCAAACGGATTAAAATAGTAAATGAAAAAGAGAGGCGAGGGGACACGACCCACAACATGCATGCGCCTGAAGCTTGAACATGAACATAATGTGATCTCATCGTCATGCAACCAGGACGCCCAGGTGGCCAGGCAGGTGGCACACACGGGCTCGCTCTTCTCACATACGCAAAGGACACGGGTTCTCTCTATTCCACCGGCATCCATTTCTCGGCGGCCGCCGAGCATGTGTACATGCTCCCAGTGACCGCACCCTCGTTCATTCATGCAGCTCAGAGCATGGATGCGGCGATATCTTCGGTGCGCCCTGGCGCGGCGGCCGACTGCACCCGCGAGCGACGCAAAGCCGCAACGGCGGCAAGGAGGAGCCCGGCAGCCCCAAGGGCGGCGCCAAGAGACAGCGCCGGCGTGCTGCTGCGGGCCGCGGACTCCGCGGCGAGCGAGTCGGCCGTCAGCTCCGCGCCGTCATCCTCTGCCGACCCCACGCCTAGGCCTTCGACAGAGGCCTTGATCGCCGATCCCGCCATCGACGCGTACTTGCCGGGGTGCCAGCTCTTGGCCTCCTTGTCTGCGACCGCGGCGGTGGCCAGCACCTCCGATTCGGCGGCCGATCCCGCCATCGAGACGTACTTGCCCGGATACCAGGTCTGTGCCTCCGCCTCTGCGGCTACGGCAGTCGCCTTGGCCTCGGACTTGGCCGCCGTCCCGGCCATCGTCGCGTACTTGCCTGCGTGCCACTCGCTCGCCTCCTTCCCTGCCGCCGAGACCGTATTCGCAGCCGCGCCGCCCACCTCCTCCGCGAAGCTCAGCTGCTTGGCCACGCAGCAGTGATAGCCCTCGCAGCCCGCGGCCTCGGGGCACTCGTCCGACACGCGCAGCGTCGAAGAGCAGCACAGCCCTCCCTCGCCGCAAAAGCCAGGGCAGGGTCCCGCGCCGTCGCATGAGCTCCAGCAGTCAAGCGGCGGCGACGGCGACGGCGGTGGCGGCGGTGACGGCGCTGGAGGCGGAGGCGAGGGCAAGTAGCGCTCGGCATCGTTCTCGAAGAACCATAGGACGTCCGCATACTGCGCAAGCACCTCGTTTCCGGTGCCCTGCAGCCCCTTGAACTCGATCGAGGCGGAGCCCCCGTCCGAGAAGGAGAGGGACGGCGTGAGACCGCCCACCACCGACAAGCCTCCCTTGGGGTCGGCGCCGCCGTAGCAGACGATCCCCGGCAGTGCCGCGGCGATGACGGGCAGGAAGGGCTGCAGAGTGGCCATGATGGCCGCCTTTGGCATCATCGATGGCGTCAGGTCGAGGTCCGTGAGCTCGAACTTGGCCTTGCAGCCCGAGATGGGCTCCGACGTGAGCGAGTGCAAGTCGACGTCGAGCATCAGGATGCCGCGCACGGTCAGCTCCGCCGAACCGTGGTCGACTGGAACACTGACCAGGCCGAGCGTCGACTGGGAGAGCGTCCAGTTGGTCCTCAGCCGCACCGCGATGTTGGAGACACTGACCTGCAGCGTGTCGGGGTTGCGCGAGCTCCAGAGCTGCTCGAAGAAGTTCTGCTTGAGCCACCACTCGTAGTAGTCCCAGCAGACGCCGTACTGCACGGCGACCGTCTGGATGTCGAGCAGCGTCACGTTCCGCGCCGTCAGTTGCAGCCCGCCCATCGCGTTGACGACGACCTCGGTCCCGACGAGCCCGGCGCCGCTCAGCAGCGGCTCCTCGGTGATCTCCTTGGTCGACTTGCCCTTCATCTTTTGGATCTCCTCGGTGGCGAGGGTCGACACCTGCAGCGCGACCCGCTCCGTCGACATGCTACTCTCGGGCACTCTCGGGCACTCTCGGGCACTCCGGGTGCTCTCTCGGGTACTCCGGGTGCTCTCTCGGGTACTCTCGGGTACTATCGCGCAATTTCGGACCTGCAGCGCCACCCACTGCGAGAACCAGTCCGACTGGCAAGTCGGCGCCAGCTGGAGCATCGACGTGTGCGGCGTCGCCTCCTCCCAAGGCACCCTGCCCGTCGCGAGCGCGTTCCCGTGCCAGCACTTTCCGGCCATGTCGTACAGGGTGCAGATCGGCACGTCCTCGGCCACCTCCTCTTGCATGTCGGTGATGGACTCCAGCCGGAGCAGGCTCGCATTCCTCACGTCGCTGAGCGCCGCCTGTGCACGCCATCAGTGTGATAGCGTGGGCTCAAATAGTGGGTGGACGCCAGTCAACAGCACAATGGATATCCGCCTGCACCCGCTGCGCCTCGTGGATGTGATACTCGGCGGACGCCTCCTTCCTCATCTGGTCGGCCAGCTTGTCGTGCACCAGCTTGGTCTGCTGCACGTGGTACTCTGCCGACGCCTCCTTGCTCATCTGGTCGGCCAGCTTGTCGTGCACCAGCTTGGTCTGCTGCACGTGGTACTCTGCGGAAGCCTCCTTCCTCAGCTGCTCGGCGACCGAGCTGCCCAGCGAGCTGGTCACCGAGGCGGTCTTGTCGGCGACCGAGCTCGTCGCGGACGCCGTCTTATCGGCGACCGAGCTGGTGGCGGACGCCGTCTTATCCTCCACCGAAGTGGACATCGCTGCCGTCTCCGACCCCACCGCCTCCGATCCCAAGCCGATTTGGCCCCACGCCGTTGAGCCCGCCAGCGACGCCGCCGAGCCCGCCATCGTCGCGTACTTGCCCGCGTGCCACTCGCTCGCCTCCTTCCCTGCAGCCGAGACAGTGGTTGCTGCCTTTGACCCGGCGAGGCTCGCGTACTTCCCCGTGTGCCAGTCGCCCGCCTCAGTCACCAGAAACTTGGACGCGTCCGCCTCACCGTCGGCAAACGCGCCGCCCACCTCCTCCGCGAAGCTCAGCTGCTTGGCCACGCAGCAGTGATAGCCCTCGCAGCCCGCGGCCTCGGGGCACTCGTCCGACACGCGCAGCGTCGAAGAGCAGCACAGCCCTCCCTCGCCGCAAAAGCCAGGGCAGAAGCCCTCGCCACCGCACGAGCTCCAGCAGTCGAGCGGCGGCGACGGCGACGGCGGTGGCGGCAACGGCGGCGGAGGAGGAGGCGGCGGAGGCGGCGGCGGCGGCGGCGGCGGCGGAGACTGCGGCGGATTATGCCAGTCAGAATCAGGAAACCATGCTGCCGCTGGCGACACGAGAAGAATGACGAGGCGGGCTTGTCCGCGGCAGGACGCGGACAAGGGCAGCATTGCGAAAGGGCACAAGCCGACAAGGCCCCGTGTTTGCGGCGCCTTCATGAGAAAACCTTGTTTCTCTTCCTTATTACAATCACTAACATGGGATCGCTTGTCATGTGTGCTCTTGGCGCGATTACGAGACGGACTAGTTTGTGTTGCACTAGTTGGAACTTTCGTAATAGTATTCCGCATTCATTGCGAGGGCGGACCACTCCTAGCGTGCAGACCGCGGGAGCTGGTGCCGCGGCCAGTGTAGACCTGGCCTGTTTATAAAATGAACTCGGGGGCACGGGACGCGGCACAAACGGGGCACAAACGCGCCAGGCTACACGCTGTGACTCGCGCGCTCATCGAAACGGTTTCTCTTCCCGAGAGCGCACGCAGGGCCTCCTCGACAGCGACCGGTAGTGGAGACGAGCCACAGGCGGACATGCGCGGAGGCGGCTGTCTCATGCTCATGCTCATGCTCTGCGCCGCGCTCGCGCTCCGGCCCGGCGCTCCGCCCGGCGGCGGCGGATCCGCGCCCTCCTTCCGGCAGCGGCTGCGCAGCGCCGTCGTGGAGCCGCAGGTCCTCGCGGCGGCGCGCGCGCTGCACGACGAGTGGGGCCGGCCGCGCGGAGGGCCGCCGCGGCGCGAGACGCGCGGCGGCCGCGGGATGGGCCACCTCGGATCGGCGTACGGCGTGCGCCCTCGCTTCCTCGCTGCGGCGTCGACAGAGGAGTCGATTCCGCCCGAGGGCCGCCCCGAGGTGGCCGTGATCGGGCGGTCCAACGTGGGCAAGTCGTCGCTGCTCAACGTGCTCACGGGCACCGCCGGCCTCTCGCGCGTCTCCGACAAGCCCGGCCGCACCACGCAGCTGACGTGGTTTGAGGTCGGGCGGCGGAGCAGCGCGGACTCGTTCTGGCTGGTCGACATGCCTGGGTACGGGTTTGCGCTGGCGAGCGAGGCGGCAGTCGAGGCGTGGGCGCGCCTCTCGGCCGCCTACCTCCGCAAGCGCTCAACCATCAAGCTCGTCCTCGTCCTCGTCGACGCCCGCGTCGGCCTCAAGCCGTCGGACGTGCAGATGCTCCAGTTCCTCGAGGCGGAGGCGCGGCTGCCGTACCTGGTCGTCCTGACCAAGGCGGACGCGGCGGGCCCGCCGCAGCGGATTGCGCAGGTCGCCGCGCTCGTCCAGTCCGGCCTCAAGTCCGCCCGGCGGCAGCTGAGGCCTCTCGCGCTCGTCTCGTCCCAGCGCAAGGCGGGCGTCGACGCGCTGCAGCGGCGCATCATCTGCGCGGCGACCGGCCGAAGCGACCTGCTGCCAGAGGCCACAGCGCCCGCGCCGCGCGGGCGGGGCGGCGGTCGCGGGGCCGCCGGGGCCGCGCGAGGGAGGGGAGGCAGGGGAGGCAGGGGCGGCGGGGGCGGCGGGACGGGGGTGAGGCGCGCTCGGTGAAGCGAGGAGAACCGCGCAGTCAGGCGGCCCGGTGTTCAGGCTTCAGCTCCAGGTCCTCCGCGACTGCGAATCTGCGATCCACTGGGGGTGGGGGGGGTTCTCAAGCTGGGGTCGCTCTAAAGTGTGTAACAGTAAAGTCTAAAGATGAGCAGAGAGATTTTTACCAAACAACTCTAACACGCACACTTTGTTGAGCAGAGACGAAGAATAAAGAAAATAGGCACAAAAATTCTCGTTTTCTTTTTTGCGTTTTGAATAGCATATTTTCTCTCAGATCTGGATGCTAGGATGTGAAGCAAGATAAAGTAGTCTCAATTAAGGCTGTGAATCAGGCGTGGCCTATACTCGCCAGCTGTACTCGCCAGGGCCATCATGCTGAACGAGGATGGCATCCACGCATCGGAGGGGAGCATGATCCAGCAGCGTCAAACGGTGATGACGCTCTGCGCGTGCCAGGTCTGCCTCGCGCTCGCGCTCGCGTCCGCCGGCGCGATGCGGCGCACGCCAACCCTGCTGGTTATGCAGCCCTTCTTCGTGGCTGCCGGCGCGTTCGGCTACTTTGGTGCGCGCGACTGCAAGCCATGGATGATCTCTAGCCACTTCGTCGGCTCGTCTGGCCTCTCTCTCGTGATTGGCCTCTACATCATCGCCGAGTCCTTCCTGAAGGAGTCCGGCAAGGCCGATTTGCTCTTCTTCGCGCTGAATGGGCCGATGGATCTCTTTATGGTGGCCGGCTCCTTCGCGTCGCTCTCCCTCTGGCGCGCGCTTGTCAGGCTGCGGCGGCAGCTGCGGCTGCGGCGGGCGGCAATGTACGAACAGCTCGAGGAGAGCGCCACGCGGCTCGGCGCGCCTGGTGCGGGCGCGAGCCTCTCTCGCGCGCTGCGAGGGGACCTGCTTGCGGGTGCTGCCGAGAGGAGGCAGGTTGGAGGCAGCCTCGGCGACGGCGCCAGCGACAGCCTCCTCCGGGACCTGCGGTGCCCCATCTCTATGGAGGCGCGCCGCGGCGCCCATGCACCTGCCTCGACCTCACGCTGGCGCCGTGAGACCCTCACTCTGACCCTGGCACCTGGCCCTGATCCCCTGGCCCCGAGAAACAAAGGTGATGCGCGACCCGGTCATCGCCCCGGACGGGCACTCGTACGAGCGGGATGCGATCGAGCGATGGTGCCGCGCCCCCTGCCACCCTTCGGATCGCCCCCTCTCGCATCCCTCACCGCACCCCTCCTCCCCCGCCCGCAGGCTAGCCGACCACAGGACGTCACCGATGACGGGCGCCGTCTTGACGTCCCGCCAGCTCGTGCCAAACCATCGGCTGCGCAGCGTGATTGCCAGTCTCGGAGAGGCGCTGCCCCCGCCCGCCTAGAGAAGGCAGCGCCGAGGTCTGCCGCGGAAGCCGGTGTGCTGGCCACGCGCCTGATTCCTGACGTATAGTCTCCCAGACCCGCTGCTCTCGCCGCCGTATCGCTCTCCGCGCGCTCTTGATGTGCTTTTATTACGACAGAGTGAGAGTCAAAAGCGAGAGGCACCGCCACCGGGGTGCAGCTGCAGGGGCCCCACCTGTGCGCCAGGGGGGGCGGGGTGGCCTCCCCGCGCGCCGCGGTCCCCGGGTCCCTTTTGCGTTATTTTATATTTATTTTTTTTCACCCCGCGCGCGTTCAGGGCACACCGGGGACACGCGGCGAGAGCGCGGAGCGCGAGATACTTTATTCAGTATATCATGTCAAACGTACACAGAGTCAGAGAGCGCGCGAGTGCTGTCTGCGCGAAGCGGTGAGAGTTACGCCCGAACCACGCCGATGCTCTGCACGTCCAGCCGGAATCGCCCCTCCTCGAAGCGCGGGTTGAGGCCCGCGTCGTACTCGAACTTACTCAGCGCAAACTGCAGGGCGGTGCAGCGGTCGGCGCGGAAGGGCCTCGCCAGGCGGTCGGTGCGCGCGAATCGCGTCGGCACAAACCCAGCCAGTGGCAGTCGCGCCGTCGTCCACTCTCCAGCCGCGGTGTCGAAGCTCTGCGTCCAAGCGACGCCGTTCCAGTCCTCGTCATCTCGCATGACAAACTTGAAGCGGTTGCCGTCGCCTCGCACGCGGAGCACGACGGTCAGGTCGCCGCCGCCCTCCGCAGCGGCCGCAGCCGCACGGAGGTCGAGCGGCGGCGACAGCGTGCGCGTACGAACACCTGTGAAACCGCCTCCGCCGCGAGTCGTCACGACGCCCTCGAAGCGGCCAACGGCCAGCCCATCGTCGTCCGTGGTGAGCTGGAAGGACGAGGCGGAGCGTCCGCCCATCACCACGTCGTCCAGTGTACCCCACTCCAGGCCGAGGCCGCTCGGTGCTGAAGCATCGAAGACGAGGCCGCCAGCAGGCGCAGTGGCGCGGCCGCCGGCGAGCCCGGCGACCAGCCGCCGCGCTGTCGCCTCTGGCCCGTTGAAGTAGAGAAAGCTTCGCAGCGCTCGCAGTGGCGGAGGCTCGTCAGCAGCCTGCAGGCGGGTGGCGCTGCTGCGAGCAGGCAATGCGCTTGCAAAACGGGTGGCGCCGCTGCGAGAGAAAAAGCCCATGACTGGGCCGACACGCAGCAGCAAAAAGGTGAGAGCCCAAAATGGTGTGCGTGAATCGTGGCGTTTGGTGTGAACCTTGGCCATGGCACAGTGCTCAGCGTCGGTCTGGTGGTTTGGCCTCCTACTCGTACGCGAGTAGCTGGACACTCACCTGGGAGCGGAGTCCAGGCAAGTAAACAGGCTTGTTATTGAGAAGAAAATACCCCTATGGCGCTGTGCGCTGGCCTAAACAGAAAGGGGAGCCGCAATAGCCGGGAGGCACTCTGTCATAAACAAGAACAAATAACATGTCACAAAATACCACGTTCGGATCGCTCCTCATCGCAAACCCTGTCAGCAGTTCACCTACGGGTATGTTCGTGAGAGCTACATGTACATACACTGAAAATGTTCGTCAGAGCCAGTTTTTGCCACTTCGTTAGCTCTCCAGGGGTCTCTAATCTTGAAATCCGAGACCCAAATATCAGACCTCCCGGCAAATTTAACGGTTTGCTTGCCACTGCGTTGCCGGTGCTCCGCGCCTAATTTTCCTTAGGGTCGCGCTGGGTCTCACATTTGTCCAAGCGCCGCCACCGGCTCATGTACGGTGCCGGGATCTTCGATGCCGACCTCGCAGGCCTCGAGGGTCTTGCCCAGGCCGCCCAGGCCGCTGGCGGCCCTGAGACTGCACCTGAAGCCGGCGGCGAAGCCGCCGTAGACGGGGCCGCTGGCGGCGAGCCTGCAGCGCAACAACAGCTAGACGCAGCGAGACTTGCGTCGGCGCGCTTGATTCAGCCAGGCTCTCTCCAGTACTCCATCCCGAGTATGTGGCCCAAGGGCGCTGGCGCACCGAAGAAGCCTCGCCGGGCAGAGCTGCGCGCAGAGATCAAGCGGCGCGACGCGACGGCAAGGCCTAGCTACTGGTCCGAGCCGCAGTGCTACCAATGGCTGATGGCGCACGCGATCCCCGACGAGGCGGCTACAGCAGATGCGGCAGCAGCGGCGGCGGCACCGGCACCAGCCGCCGCAGCAGCACCTGCCCCCGCAGCAGCGCCTGGCGCTGCGCCTGACGCTGCGCCCGTCACCGAGGACGAGGCAGCGCCGGCGGCTGCCAAGCGCTGGGTGAAGGGCAGGCACCTGACTCGCCTCGCCCACTCCATTGTCGCCAACAAGGACGCCTTCCTGCAGCGCAATGCGCCGCGCACACGCGCCGAGATTGACGGTGCTGCCAAGGACTCGGCCTTTCAGGATATCGCGCTCACCTTCAACAGCCCGGAGTTCAATCCCGTGCTTCACGTCAGCGCTTTCGACAGCGACATGTTCGAGGAGGCGTCGCTCGACCCGACCTACAACGGCTTGATCATGGATGCGCCGAAGCTCGCGGCCAAGTTCAAGGAGGCGCGCACCTTGCTCATGAAGGCGCTGCACAACTTCCGCACGTCAGGCATGGGCGATTGCGCCGACCCGGACAAGCTCGCCGAGGACAGCACCAAGGTCTACTCGAACAACTTCCGCAACTTTGTGCACGACGATGCGGCCTTGCTCTACTTCTACTGCGTCCTCATCTCGTACGACCTTCTCAAATCCGCTGTGCAGGACATGCCCCCGGGAACTGGCCACCACGGCACGAGCAAGCGGCGCGCGTCGGACCCTCTCCCCAAAGGCAGGAACGACAAGCGCGCAAACATGCAGCTTGAGCTGCTGCGGGCGCTAAAGGAGCCAGCGCAGGTCGCGCCGGTGCAGGTCACGGCGAGGGCCAAGACGGTGCAGGAGCAGCGGTTCGACTTTTTCGTTGCCGAGTCCGCGAGAATGCAGGCGCATCGGGGAAAGATGGAGGTGCGCCTCCCTCCCCTTCTACCCAACCGTTGCGCACATCCCCAGCCCATCCCAGCCCCGTCCCTCCTGCTCTGATCGCAGCTCGAGACGGTTTACGAGGAGGCACTTCGCCAGACCAAGAAGTCCATCGCGGAGTACGAGGCTCGCGGCGAGGAGGTGCCCGGTCGGCTTGTGGCGAAGGCAAAGCGTCTCACTGAGCAGCTGGACAAGCTCGAGGAGGATATGCCCGAGCCGACCTTTGTCGACCCGCCCGCTGCGCGTGCTGCGCCCTCTGCTGAGCAGCAGCCTCGCTCCACCACCACCGCCGCCGCGGAGGAGGAGAGTGGCGAGGAGAGTGGGGAGGAGGGTGAGGAGAGTGAGGAGGAGGATAGCGATAGCGAGATCGCGCGGGAGGAGGCGGCACACCACGCCTCCAACGCGCGCTGCGGCCTCGGCGCCTGCTAGCTAGAGTGCGAGTGGGGCTTTGGCGGTGTCCGTTTTTATTTTATTCAGGTGGATTGCGCGCCCGCTTCTCTTTCTGGGATAGCTTGACCTATTTCTTTCTCATCCGTCCACCTCCTATAGACGGCAGTTCGCGCCAATCCTAAAATTTGGCTATAGTTGGCGGCGACATCTATAGCTAAAACTTCCGTCCCTTCGGCCCTTCGCGCGTTGTGGGCCGCCGGGGCCTGCCTGGGTGGAATCGCGCTCGCCCTGGTCGGGACCAGCCGTCTCCGCCGTACTCGCTCCTCGCGGCGCTGTGATCGGGCGTGGGGTGCGCCAGCATGTGCACCCCTTCCTCCCGCACGCTGTGGCTTGCTTGCGTAAGCGCATTCGGTAGCGCCGAGGCATGGCAGTCGAAGCGAGGACCGGCGACAGCCCGAGGCGCGCCGCAGCGAGGGCCTGCGACAGCCCGAGGCGTGCCGAACCCGCTCTCGTGTGGAGTGCCGCCCTGATCCGTCCCCAGGGTCAGCCCAGGGCCGATTGTGCCGCTCTCGAGCAACCCATCACGAGGAACCTCCCGCACCTTTGCCCCTCTCGCCGCAGGCTCGCGGCCCTAAATGGGCCATCCGGCGAGTATTCTGGTCGCTCCCGCGTGCGGCTCGAGCGACGGGCGACCGATCGCACTCTCTCCCGCGCCCGACGCGCGCAGGTGTGCATCTTGCTTCTTGGTGGCTCGCGACCTCGCACACAGGACACAACCTACGAGCGGGCTGCAACGGCTGCGCGCCGGCGGCGCTTCTTCTTGCGCAGACCGTGCTGCAGCGCAGGCCGGGCAATGCCCGCGTTGCGGATCGCCTGAGCGAGTGCCTCCTGACGCCGTTTCCCCGCGTCCGCAGCAACAGCGCGGCGCATGCGAGGCTCGGGAGGAGGTGCATTTGCGGCAGCCGTGTCGAGGTACTCCACGGGTCGCCCCTCCCGGTCGAACTTGGGCACGCGCTCCCAGCGGCCTGGCTGGACCTCGCCGAGGCCGTTCTTGAAGCAGGTCTCTTCGGTGATGCGCTCGTCGATGCACAGATTGTGCAGCCGCATGCACGCGCCGATGAGCGGAGCGCGCCTATCAAACCGCACAGACAGGGGGCGCCAGAGGACACCCCAGCGGCGCACGAGGATGCCAAAGGCACACTCGATGGGCATGCGTGTGCTGGACTGCACATAGTCGTACGCGTCGCCTCCCCCCGGGATAACCATGTGTGGCGCCCGTGTAAACGCCGAGTCGCCATTAATGAAAAAATCGGGGTGCAGCCGGCCGGAGGCGAGCAGCTTGCCCAGCTCCGAGGCAGCGTGCGCCATTGAGTCATGCGTAGTTGACGCCTGGCTGATGTCGTACGACAGGAAGCGCCGGTGGTAGTCGCACGTGGCGATGCAGAGCAGGCCAAACTCGTCCTTTCGCGCCACAAAGTACGCGCCGGGGTTGGGCACAGCGCAGCCGGGGTTGACCATCTTGAAGATGACGCCATCGATAGCTGCTACCTGCCCGCGCCACACACGATCCGTGCGGTGCGAAGCGAACTCGGCCTCCAACACCTGCCGCAAATCAAGCAGCAAGACTCACAATGTATGTGCGGCCTGGAGACGAGGTCTCACAGGTCGAACATACACCTTCAACCTTTCCACATCGTCAGGTTGGGAACTCGATCGGGTACGTCAGGTTGATGGCGTCGACCACGAGCCACAGGCAGTGGAACACCATGGACTTGCTCACGTGGTAGATAAGCTTGATGTCGAGCACCGCACCGCCGGCCAGGAAGCGGAGGGACATGGCCAGCTTGGTCGCCGGCTCGATCAGCGTGCCCTTGCTGCAGAGTGCCTGCTTCTCACTCACACACAAGTGCGGCTTGATGCGGGCAAGCAGCCGGTAAAAGGCCTCGGCCGTCAGGCGGTAGCGCAGCTTGAACTCAGCAGCGGTGAGGCGCGCCACATGCGCCGCCCAGTCAAACTCTGTGTCGCGCTGCTTCTTGCCCTGCGGGCCCTGCCCGTTGCCAACGTCAGCGGCGAGCAAAGCAACGATCAGCTGGTGCCGACGGTGAGCAGCAGCAGCAGCAGCTGCTGCTGCTGCTGCCTCGTCCGCAGCAGCCTCTTCAGCCTTGGAGAGCAGCGCCCGCTGCATTGGCGTTGCGCGCGTACCCGAGGTGTGGTGCGTCGCAAGGCCTCCACACGCGTGCTCGTCGCCCACATCCTTGAACAGAGTCTCGCGGCCCGCGAACTCCGGCCTCCGGGATTCGCGGGTCGCCATGCAGGACGTTGGTCGACGGGCGAAGCGAGGGAAACGCAGAAATAGAGACCTCGAACGCGAAGCGTTGGCAAAAACTGATGTCTTGGCCTCTGATCGCGGGGATAAATATTTGGGTCTCGATATCGGACCCACAAGAGCTAACCGAAGTGGCAAAAACTGGCTCTCATAACCAGAAAATGTTGTGTCTATTCTTCTGCGTCCCGCCCGCGCGCGAACGCGGTATACTTGGATATTGCTGCTGCAACGGAAGCCAAAACTACTACCGCCGTCGCGAAGCCTGGAACCCGCATGCCACGCATGAGACGCGTCTTCAGGCGGGCGGCGGCAGTCGCCCGGCGCTCGACCTCCTCCTCTGACGGGCGCGGTGTCTCGGATGCTGCGAATGCGATGCGGGCTGCGCGCTCGGCTGGCAAGGACGCAGCAAGGGCGGTGAAGGCTGCTGTGACGCGAAGATCTTCGGCGGGAGAGGCCAGTGGCATAGAGAGTGCGGAGAGGTGCTCCGTGGAGTCTGCCGGCGGGCGGCGACAGACACCTCATCTGGAACGGCTCGGCTCCCTCACCGACGCCTCCATAAATGCAGCCTTCGATGAGTTCGACGCCAACCACTCAGGTACGGCGCTCAATCACGCTAGTGCATTCTCCTTCGCCTCCCCACAGTACCACGGCCGATTTTCCGCGTCCCGCACAGGCCAGCTCGACGCCAGGGAGCTAAGAGACGCGCTGCGTCATTTGGGAGTGGAGACAAACACCCTAGAGGCGGCCCGAATGCTACGCACTTTCGACACAGACGGCAGTGGGATGATCGAGAGGGGAGAGTTCTTGCTCATCGTCCGCCGCCTGCTGATTATGCGTGCAGAGGGCGCAGCGGGTGGCGGCGGGTGCCTCGAGCGTGCACGCGGCTGCTGCCAAGTCGCAATCCTCGAAGTTTCACGGCTCGGCGGGGCTGTGCGGCGCCTCCTCGAAAGCTGTTCGAGATTGTGCTTCGGTGGTGAATCTCGCAGCAGCTCGGGCGGGGGCGGCCTGGGACCGCGGCGCGGGGGCGGGCGCGACCGTATACGAAGGCAGAGGGAGGCGGAGATCACCAGCGTCAGCGAGCGCCCCCTATGAGCAGCGGTGTTGTGTGCGTCTTTTATTGGAATTATTTGGATTGGCATTTTAGTTGATCTACTTGACTGATAGCACAAGACGCGTCTACCCGGCTTTCTTCTGCGGCCGCTTGCGCTGACCGCTGCGGGTCTCGGGCTTTTGCTGGCTGGAACATGGCATGTAGCTGGCCATGCACCGTCTCTCTGCTTCACACCAAACGTCTCCTGCGTACGCGTTGCAGCCGTGGTGGTCCCACGCTTCGAACTGGTACACTGCCGCCGTCATCGGCGCGAAGCACGCAACCCACAGAAGTCGGAGTCGCATGGCGTTGCGATGTGTTGTTTTGTTGTTCGTTGCGTGCGCAGGGAAATGCCGCGGTGGGCGCTGCTGGCCTGCTCAGTGTGTTTGGCGACGGGCGTGGGGAGCGGTGACGCGATGGCGTGGCGGTCGTGCGCGAGCCGCACGGAAAATTCTTTTTAGGTGATTATGTTCGGCGCTTTCTCTTTTTCTGGTCCCCACACTCGCTGGATCGCTTGTCATGTGAGAGGGTGCGTTGTGTTCTTGTTGCCTATCCGCTTTCTCTTTTTAGTCCATTGTAACGTGAGAGAGTTAGGTGTGTGTGTGAGAGAGAGTTAGGTTAGGCGTTAGGTAGGAAGGTGAAGAACATCCGGACTGGACACCAACGCGGTATGGGTGGACGGTAGACAGGTGATGACGACACGCACGACGCAAGAAGAGTGTCTTTTTCACTGCGTGCCACTTCCGTCTTTTTCACTGCGTGCCACGCTGGAGGCGCTCGCCGCGTGCGGCGATTGAGCGCCTCCCTCTCTCTCCGGCTGCGCGCCTGACCGGTGCGGCCACCGCCACCGCGCCGCGACCGCTGCCGCAACCGCGCTGCACCGACCCCACTGCACTGCGTGCTTGCTCGCAATGCTGACACGCTTCGCGGCAATGCTGGCACTCCTCCCACTCGGCTGCGCGCTGCTGGCGCCGCCGCACGCCGGCGCCGGCTGCTCGCTGCTATCGCTGCCGTACGAGCGCCTTCACTCTCTCGTCGGCGGCGCCGGCGCCAAGAGCGTCTGGCGCCATCTGCGGAGCGGGCGCGACCCTGCCGCCGCCGCCGCAGGTGCCGATGGGCTGGGTGCCGCGGCGCGGGCATCGCTCGCCGCCCACACCTCGCCGTCGCACGTCGCTCCCGTGGTGCGCGAGCACTCCACCTCGGACGGGACGCGCAAGCTGCTGCTCCGGCTGAGGGACGGACACGAGGTGGAGACGGTGCTCATCCCGCCGCGGCCGGACGTGGCGGGCGGCGGGCGGGCACGGAACGCGCGCGCACGCAGCACGCTATGCGTCTCTTCGCAAGTCGGCTGCCGGCAGGGCTGCCGCTTCTGCGCGACGGGCACGATGGGGCTCTTTCGCTCGCTCGACACGGATGAGGTGCTGGCGCAGGTCTTTGCCGCTCGCGGGCTCGCCGAGCGCGAGGCGCTGCCGCCGCTCTCCAACCTCGTGTTCATGGGGATGGGCGAGCCGGCAGACAACGTGCCTGCCGTGCGTGGTGCGCTGGCCGCGCTGACCGACCGGCGCCGCTTCGGCTTTTCGCCGCGCGCCGTGACGGTCTCAACGGTGGCGCCGACCGCCGCTGCCTTTGGCGCGCTGCTCGGCATCGGGGAGGAGGAAGCGCCGCCGCCGCCCGCGCTCGCGTGGTCTCTGCACGCCGCCGACGCCTCCCTCCGCCGCCGGCTCGTCCCGACCGCCGTCGACGAGCCAGAGGCGCTGCGGGAGGGGCTATGCGCGGCGCTCGCGGCGCTGCCCCCGCGGAGGAGGAGACTCGTCGTCGAGTACGTCCTGCTGGGCGGCGTCAACGACGGGCTGGCCGAGGCGGACGAGCTGGCCGCCTTCCTGCGCCCCGTCGAGGCGGCCTGCTTCGACCCGGGCCGGGCGAGCCGCCGCACGGGCGTGCTGGTCAACCTGATCCCGTACAACGACGGCGGAGGCGGAGCGGCGGCGCGCCTCGCCGCGCGGTACGAGCGCCCGACATGGGCTGCGATCGACGCCTTCCAGGCGCGGCTGCGGCAGCGCGGCGTGTGGGTCTCCGTCCGAGCGCAGCGCGGCGCCGATGACAGCTCGGCGTGCGGGCAGCTCTGGGCGCAGCAGCCGCAGGCGCGCCGCCACCAACCGGCGGCGGGGATGGTGTGACGCGTTCGTGGCTGCTTGTGTCCTGATGTCGTTGCCTCAGTGTCTCAGGGCACATACATACGCGATACACGGGGCCATGTGGATGTGTGTGACAGAGAGTCTCTGACTGAGTGAGCTGTCCGTATACACACCCGGTAGCTGTACCCGTTTAGCGTTTACTAGTACGTCTTTGGGGCACCGAGGCCACCATACGAAAAACGACCTCAGGCCATTTGTCGACACTCGACGACCTTCCTCTTGGACGCCCTCTCTCCACCACACACTAGCACAAAAAAATAGGCCCGGCCCGCTAGTACCGATCCCAACGCGTCTCGCGTCCCTCTCCCCGGACCCTCCTCCTTCCAGCCTGCCGCCTCCAAATACACAACGCGCCGCCGCCCGCGCCGTCACCGCCTCCCCGCGGCCTCGACTAGCTTGGCCTGCTTTTGCGCGAGCTTGACCAGCTTCTTGCGCTGCGACTTTGAGAGCGGCTCGCCCGTCGCGTCCTCGAGCGGGATGCCCTCGGCGTCGAGTGCGCCGTAGCTGCTCTCCCGCCCAAACAGCCCGTCGTGCGCCGGCGAAAACATCTCCGACGGCGGCACAGAAGCGCGCGCCGCCTCGGCCGCCTCACGCGCCGCCTGGTCGGCAGCGCGCGCCGCCTTGGCCGCCTCGGCCTGCGCCGCCGCCTCGCGCCGCCGCGCCGCCTCAGCGAGCACCTGCCAGCACCACGGGGAGGGGCGGGACGGGCGTGTGAGACGACTGCCCCGACACCGCAGCCTCCCTCCTCCCCTGCGCTCACCCGCTGCGGCTCGTCGATCGCAAACTGCGCCACGCCCGACGGCCGGTCCTCGATCCGAACCCCGAGCGCCTGCGCGCGGGAGAGGGCGGGCGGGGATGGGCCGCGAGCGGCCGGCCAGCGCCATGCAAGGCAGCGTCTGCCGGCAAGCCGAATGCTCACTGCTACTACACACGCTGTGGCTGCTACAGTGCGGCTGCCGGCAAGCTCTCGTCGCGAAGCGCGTCGCACACGCGCAGCACCTCGTCGGCCAAGCCGGCGCCCTCGCCGCCCGACCGCTTCGCCTCGATGGCGATGGAGCGCACCGTGTCGCGGAAGCTGCTCACCGCCTCGGTCAGCTGCAGCGGCGTCGCCGAGTCAGCCGAGCCTGCTGCCCCTGCAGCGTCCAGCGCCGTCTCGACCCCGAACGCGCCCATCACGCGCCTGTAGTAGCGGGCGACGGCGTGCAGGAGCGTCGCGCCGCGCTGCGGCTGCGGCACCTCGCCCATGTACGAGTTGGCCGCGCGGATCAGCTGCTCGAGCCGCTTGACCGCGCTCGGCGTGTCGATGCAGTCGAGCAGCGCCGCGTGCACCGCCGCGCGCTTGTCGACGAGGGCGTCGTTGAGGCGCCGCTCCTGATCGCCCCACCGGTGCAGCACCTCCTGCGGCGCGGCGTCGGCCGCCGTGTCCGCCTCGCGCAGCCGCGCCGCGAGCGCCGCCTCGAAGGCGCCAAAGCGGCGCTCGAGGTCGGCGGCGGCGGCCATGCTGTTTTGCGAGTACTCCATCGGCTGGTGGTACTTTTGGAGGAGGAAGAGGAAGCGGAGCTGGCGCGCCGAGTAGGTCTCGAGCGCCTCGCGGATGGTGATGAAGTTCTTGAGGCTCTTCGACATCTTGAGCCCGTCGATGGACAGGTGGCCAGAGTGCCAAAAGTAGTTGCACGCCTTGCAGCAGTCGTAGTGCGCCTCGACCTGCGCCATCTGGTTCTCGTGGTGCGGGAACTTGAGGTCGATCCCGCCCGCGTTGATGTCCACCTCGCCGCCCAGCAGGTCGGACATCATCGCCGAGCACTCGATGTGCCACCCCGGCCTCCCCTCCCCCCACGGGGACGGCCACGCCGGCTCGCCCGGCTTGGACGCCTTCCAGAGCGCAAAGTCGGAGGGGTGCCGCTTGTCTGCCTCGGCACTCGAGGCGGAGAGGGCGCCCTCCCCCTCGGCGAGGAGCTCCTTGTCCGCCAGCGCAGAGGCGTCGACGAGCTTGCCGTACACCTTGCCCTCCGACGAGGTGAAGGCGGCCGTGTCAAAGTAGACGGAGCCGTTTGCCTCGTAGCAGTACCCGTTCCGCGCAATCGTCTCGATGTAAGAGACGATCTCGGGAACGTAGTCGGTGACGCGCGTCACCGCGTCGGGCGGACGCACGTTGAGCGCCGCCATGTCCTCGAAGAAGGACGCCTCCTGCTCGAGGGTCAGCTTCACAAACGCCGTCTGCACGTCGCACACCGCCGGCGGAGAGGCCATGCCGGCGGCGGCGGCGGCGTCGCGCAGCGCGGTCTGCGCTCCGACCAGCTCCAGAAGCGTCGGCTTGGGCGCCGCCAGCGCCGCCTCCGCCGCCTCCACCGCCTCGCGCAGCGCCGCTGCCCCGGCCGCCTCCGCCGCCTCCGCCGCTGCAGCGGCGACCAGCGCCGCCATCGCCTCGAGGTGGTTGCGGTGGGTGCGGAGGATGATCTTGTCGTCAATGTCGGTGATGTTCATCACAAACATGACGGCCAGCCCAAAGTAGTCGCAGAGCACGCGCCGCACGATGTCGAACCCCATGTAGTTGCGTGCGTGGCCGAGGTGCGCCGCGTCGTAGACAGTGGGGCCGCACGTGTACCACTTCACTCGGTCCGGGTCGATCGGCACAAAGGGCTCCAGCTGGCCCGTCAGAGTGTTGAGCACCCGCAGCCCGCTGATACCTTCGGAAGAGCTCAGCGCCGGCGCCTCGCGCCGCGCCGCCGCCGAGGCGCAGCCGGCCGAGGCGCCCGGCATGCCGGCGCGCAGGCTGGCAGCCGGGCCGAGCAGGCGCGAGCCGGGGCGGCGCGACATGTGCACGAGGTGCAGCGCGCGCGTGCGAGCCGCCAGCATGCCGACGAGGAGAGCGGCCAAGCGCATCGATTGGGCACGGTCGATATGGGCCAGCTCGCAGGATGGAGAGAGCGAGGGAGAGCGAGGCGGGCAAGGGTGCTGGAAGCTCGCACCAGAGCCCACGAAAGAATTTAACAAGACAACTCTCTCTCACAGCACACAGGCTCGACACAGGTGCGAACTGGCGCGTGCTAGTACTATCACCGGCACACCATGAAAGAAAATTCGCGGGTTTCCCGCATTTTGCAGTCCCGTCGGCTGTCTGTTTTCTTTCTTTCTTTCTGCAGGCACAGCACCATCAGCTCGCGCAGGTGGGGACCCTGTCCTTCTCCCACCCCTTGTTTGGTGTGTCCGTTTTATTTATTTATTTAGCACCATCAGGTGGGTGGTGCTGAAGGACAGCTCGTAGGCTTCCGAGAAATCGCCGAACTGGGCAGGCCTGCCTGTTCTGTGTCGCTCCAGTGTGCCCTCTCCGTGGCGCCAATCTTTAGCCTGCTCAGCATGGGGGCCACCGCATTCTTCTTCCTGCCCGTCGCCACGCAAGTCCTCGCCGACGGCGGCGCCGAGCACATCGATGCGGTGCTGAGGGCGCCGTGTGTGGTGGCCGCCATCGTCATCTCGGTCCTCGCCAAGATTGGCTACGAGGTCGGGCTCGACGTCCTGACGTTCAAGTGCCTGTTTCGCGGCCTGCGGCGGCCGGCTCTGCCCGAGGACCGCGAGCGCCTAGTCCACGCCGTCATCATCTGCGCGTACAAGGAGCCATACGAGGTGCTCGCCGCCACCATCGGCTCGCTCGCGGCGAACAACCTCGCCAAGAGCTGCGTCGTGATCCTCGCGACCGAGGCGCGCGACGAGAGCGCCGATCCAACCTTTGCGCGGCTGGACGCCGAGTTCGGCGGCGACTTCCTCGAGTTCTTCCAGACGCGGCACAGCCTCGGGCCCGGCGAGGTGGCCGGCAAGTCGTCCAACGAGCGGCACGCGTGCATGGAGCTCTACTCGTGGGCGCAGGCGAGGTCTATCGACCCGTACACTGTGATGGTCACGACGGCGGACGCCGACTCGCAGTTCGACTCGGTCTTCCTCGAGCACCTCGAGGCCGAGTTTTGCCGCCAGCCCGACGGGAGGCACACCCTCTTCGACTCGCCGATCAACACGTACCGCAACCTCGCCGCGTGCCACCCTCTCGTCGCCGTCTTTGAGATCGAGCGCACGCAGTACTGCACCTTTTCCGCGCTGCAGTTCCAGCCCGCGCAGTCCAACTACTCGCTCACGCTAGGCTTCGCCCACCTCATCGACTACTGGCACCCCGACAACACCAGTGAGGACCTGCACACCACGCTCAAGGCGGTCGCCTTCACCAACGCCGCCGCCAACGTGGTGGTTCCGGTCTGGTCGATCATAATCAATGACTCCGTCACTGGGTTGCGCGACCGCTGGGTGCAGGCAAAGCGGCACATGTGGGGCGTCGAGGAGACCGCGTGGGTGGTCTCGCTCTTCCCGCTGCTCCGCTGGAAGATCTGGCTGCGCATGCTGCAGCTGACGGCCGGCCAGATGCTCACCACGACGGTGGTGCCTCCGTGGCTGATCATACTCTTTCCTCAGATGTGGGCGGTGCTCGCTGCGCTGCCGCCGCGCGCCCTCGCCCTTGCGGTGGGGCTGCCGCTGCTGACGCTGGGCTTCCAGTGGGTCCGCACGCTCGTGCGGGAAGCTGTGCTGCACCAGTGCATCCTCAAGCCGCGGCGCGAGGCATCCAAGATGCTCCCGATCTCGCCGCTGCAGTGGCTGCACTGGGGCCTCGCCTACCCCCTCTATGCATTTGGCGCGGGCCTCGTCTACAACACGATGGCAACTTGGGCAATGCTGCTCCATGCGGTTCGCCACACCACCTACGGCTACGTTTGCGCCCCCAAGGCGCTGCTTCAGGGCGCGGACGCGGTCTGAATACTAGGAATATGTACTCGAGTACTGCTTCGCACGGCTTGTTGCACAAGAGCGCGTGTCTAGCTGTGTGTGTGCTTGAAGAGGAAGGTCTCTGAGTCTGACGGGGAGAGCCGTGTACGTACTCTCGTGTGTCGTCGAGAAAGTATGTGTGCTGACTGATGTGTGTGTGCGCGCCGCGGTGCGACCGACGCGGTGCGCCGAATGTGAGGAATGTGTGCGACGTCCATGTCGACGGAGAGTGTCATTGTTCATGATCATGTGCATGTGCATGCGCACATGCACGCTCTGAGACTCTCAGTACTCAGACTCAGTCTCAGACCGCGCGGTGACGCAGACGGGTGAGCTCTCTTGCCCGATGACTCACATGTGCATGCACATGTGCATGTCATTGTCATATTCTGCGGACCATTTGTTTAACACTTGGTCACAACTCAACTGGGGACACGTCACTGAGGGGCCGTATTGCGACGCGCAGCTGGCGGGCAAAGAGGCCGAGGCAGCCGCTCTCCTCCGCAGTGAGCAGAGAGACCACGGCGCCGCGCTGCGCCTACAGAGCGCGCCGGCGAGTGTGAGTGCATCCAGCGTTAACTGTGACGTGGCAAGGGCGGCGGCGCCTGCGCGTGCCCTCTGCCTGTGCGGCCAGCGAGGTGCGTGTAGGTGTCTGACGTGAGCGGTGCATAGAGCAGCACCACGCAATCGAGGTCGGGGAGGTCGAGGCCTGCGGGAGGGCAGGGCTGCGGTGAGGGACGCGGCGGGGAGGGGCGCGAAAGGGCGCCGCGCCGTGCTGCCTCGCGCCGACGCCTCCGTCGTCACAAGCACGAGGGGAGGCTGCTCGTCCGCCCGCCCTCCCGCCGCGCCGTCTGCCGCTGCACCGAGCCGCGCCGGGAAGGTGCGCAAGAGTGCGGCCGGCGAGGCGGCGGCCGGCGCGCCGCTCGCGGCGGCGGCGGCGCGGGAGGGGAAGCCGAGCGCCTCGTGCAGAGCCACCGCCTGAGTCACCCCCGCGGCGCGCAGCTCCGACACGAACTCGCCCAGCCGGCCCTCGTCCGGCAGCACGAGCAGCGCGGCACGAGGGGCGAGGGTGCGGAGGGCGGCCGCCGCCGCCGCCGCCTTGTCCACCGCCGCGTCTCCGGCCTCGGCCCGGTAGTGCTCGATCGTGTGCGGGACCGCCACCCCTCCCGGCCCTCGCGGGCGGGGGGCGGCCCGCGCACCCGTCGCCTCCGCCGCCGGTGTGGCAGCAGCCTCCGTCGAGATGATTTCCGGCGGGTGAGGCAGAGGGAGGAGGCGGTGCAGCTGCGAGACGAGGGCGCGCGAGACGGTCGCGGACGCGGCGACCAGCTGGAAGCAGCCGCGCTCCGACCGCAGCTCGCGGTAGGCTCGCACGGTGTCCGGCACCCTGCGGCCTGCGCGGTCGCGCCCAAAGTCGCGGTCGAACCGGCCGCGAGAGCGCCTGCGCACCGCCGCGAGGCCGCGCGCGAGCATGCGCAGCAGCGCGTGCCCGTCCCCGGCCGCGCGCCGCGCCGCCTTGCGCTGCGTCCGCGAGGCGCGCCTCCAGTCCCTCTTCGCGAAGAAGTCGGCGCCTGTGGGGCAAGGGGACGGGCGGGGGCGTGGGCGGAGGGAGGCACGGGCCGTGGGCAGTCCGACGCGGCGGAGAAGCGGCGCCGCGCACGACCGGACGCGGCAGCAAGGCGTCCACCTCGTCCAGCACCACGGCGTCGAGCGCCGTCGCCAGCTGCAGCAGCAGCATCCCGCCTCCGCCGCCGCCGCCGCCGGCTGGCCAGCGCCCGCCACCCGCGCCGGCCGCCTCTCGCGCATCCACCCGCAGAGCGCGCAGCAGCGCGAGCGGCGTGGCGACGATGATGTCCGCACGCCTCGCCTGCGCGGGCGCGGCTCCCCGCGCGTCAAGGCGGCTGCCCGGGCCGGGAGGGGAGGAGAGGCGGGGCTGGCTGCTGGTCGGTGTGCGGCGCCTGCACTGCGAGCGAGAGTTGCCGGTGGAGCTGCAGCGCCGCCGCTGTCGAGGCGGAGGAGGAGACGGAGGCGGTCGACGAGGAGGGCGGCGGCGGTGCGCTCGATAGGCCTCCGACCAGCAGCTCCACGTGCAGGCCCGAGCCGTCCCCGCCGCTCCCGCTCCCGCCACTCCCGCTCCCGCCTCTTCCACCGCCACCGTCGGGCGCGCCCACGAGCCGCTCCACCGTTGCAGCGGTCTGAAGCGCCAGCTCGCGCGAGGGCGAGAGAAGGAGCAGCTGCATTGGCACACCAGGCTCGAGCCGCGAGAGCAGCGGCACGAGGAAGGAGAGCGTCTTGCCGGAGCCGGTGGCGGAGTGGACGACCACGTCGGCATGCCGCGCAATCGCCGGCATCGCGGCCGCCTGGATCGCACTCGGCCGCTCGAACCCCGCCGCTGCGAGCGCGTGCGCCAGCCACGGCCGCACACGCTGGACGCCAAAGCGCTTCAGCACGCCAGAGACATTATCATCGCCGGCGGTCCTGCTCGGAGCCTCGTCGGGCGTGGCGTCAGGCCTCAGCGTCGCGGGTACGTACACGCCTTGGGAAATCGCGGTGCTGCGGGCGCGCGAGCGGGCGAGGACCAGGCGCCTGGCGAGGGCAGCGCTGGCAAGTGCAAAGCGCCTCATATATGTGGGAGGCGGCAAAGCGACGGCGGCGAGCCGAGCAGCAGCATACACACAAACACATATATAGAGGGCGCCGCTTTCTTCACGCCGGAGATGACCGCATGTGGGATGCGGCCGTCGAGAAGGAGTTCGGCTCTGACCCCGAGCTGAAGCGCTTTTGTTTTAGGTAAAGCGCTGGGTCGCAAAGGGCGGCAGGTTCAGCTGACCGACGCGGCGTGTCTGCTCTCCTAGGTCCCGATCCTAGACCCGCTGTGCGCTGAACCTGCCAGCGAGCCAGTGTCGGTGAACCTTCTTTTCTAGACCGCTAGGATTGAGAGCAGCCTCGCTCTCAATCCTAGAAGTCGAAGGATTGTGAGCAGCACTCCTCGCAATCGTAGCATCTCTGTGCGACTGTGAGCACCCACGCTCGCAATCCTACGTCTTCTTTCTAGGACTAAGAGCAGCTCCGCTCCCAAGGTGACTGGTGACGCCTACGACTACTACCAGCGCGCTCGCAATCCGAGCAAAGCCTAGGATTGCGAGCAGCTTTGCTCACAATCCGAGCAACATGCCTCCGATTGCGAGCAGTAGCGCTCGCAATCCTACATCTGGTAGGACTATGAGCGGCTGCGCTCACAATCGTACCAAAGATCCAAGGACTGCTAGTTAGCTAGCAGGCGCACAGAGGGCGCTCTCAATCCAGTCCCAATCGCTCCATCCAGCCGCGAGCGCTTGTGAGTGAGCGCGCCGGGAGGGTCTCCTCACAATCCAAACAGTGATCGCACCGATTGCGAGGGGACCCGCTCGCAATCCTAGAAGTCGTAGGACTGTGGGCGGTGTCGCTCGCAATCGGCGAAAGTTCTAGGATTGCGAGCGCTCCTGCTCGCAACCGGAGGCATGTTGCTATGATTGTGAGCCAAGCTGCTCCCAATCCTAGACTTTGCTCGGATTGTGAGCGCGCTGGTAGTAGTCGTAGGCGTCACCAGTCACCTTGTGAGCGGAGCTGCTCTTAGTCCTAGAAGACGTAGGATTGCGAGCGTGGGTGCTCACAGTCGCACAGAGATGCTACGATTGCGAGGAGTGCTGCTCACAATCCTTCGACTTCTAGGATTGAGAGCGAGGCTGCTCTCAATCCTAGCGGTCTAGAAAAGAAGGTTCACCGCCAGTGTCGGCCGCGCAGAAGCGGCAGACGGAGCGCACACAAATGTAGCCTCACCGGAAACTCTGACGAGCTATCATCTAGTGGTCCGCTGGCATCCGCAGAGCCTAGATGACACAGCAACTACCCATACGTAGAGTAAGCTACTGACGTACTGTCCAGCGGACCGTGCTGTGGAGACGGGAATCGGGATCAGCACACCGACGGGCGGAACAAAAGTGCTCCTAGTCTCGCTCATCCTCCCTGCGTCGTCCCGGGGCTGCACGCTGCACGTCAACGTGCCGGACGACCGCCTGAGCCGGGCAAGAGCGCGGCGCCGCCCAGCCAGCCAGAAGCCGAACAAGAAGAAGCGGAAGAACAAGGTCAAGGAGATACGGGCGACTCGGACCTCGACGCCTCCGACGAGGAGTTCGTCCCGGGGCAGACCAACCGCGAACCGGCAGGACCTGGAGGAGGACCACGAGGACGACAGGGAGGACGGCAAGCGCAACGGCGATGCGGGCGAGTCGCGCGGTTTGTCGAGAAACTTGGCGCACTTGGAGTGCAGTCGGTAGCCTAAGCGCACCCAGCGAGCCAGATGATCGGGATCGGGTTACGGGCTTGAGGGCCCTAGCCCTGGGGGGTGCGTAGCACCGGGGCGTTGAATTCTTTTTTGACGACTCTGGCCTGAGCCGGCGCGCGAACAACACGAACAAACAACCTCTACACCCAACAACAAAGCACTCCATGGCCAACAAAACCTGCCTAGCGCGCCTGCGAAAGGAGCTTCGCTCATTCGACCCGCCGCCCTTCATTCGCGCCGCACCACTCGAGTCCAACCTCCAGGAGTGGCGCTATGTGCTGCAGGCGCCAAAGATTACACAGTGCAACGCGGGCGTATCAGAAAGCCCTCTTCGTTCGCGCGCCACTGGCTGGCGGTTGCTCTTACCGGGCTCTTCCGCTCCTCCGACCCTCTAGGGCCCGCCCGACTCGCCGTACGAGGGGGCGCTGTACCACGGCAAGCTGCGCTTCCCGGACGACTTCCCCTTCAAGCCGCCCGCAATCTACATGCTCACCCCCAACGGTCGCTTCGAGACCGACCGCCGCCTCTGCCTCTCGATCTCCGACTTCCACCCCGAGAGCTGGGTGCCGACCTGGTGTGTGTCTATTCCTCTCTCCGCCTCTTGTCACTCGGAAGCCGGATCAGAAGTTGGATCGGAAGCCGGAGCCGTCCTCTCGTCTCGTCTCCGTCTCGTCTCCCCCCCCTCCCACCCCCCCTCCCACCCGCCTCCCTCCCCCCCCCCTCCCCCCACTCCCACCCGCACACGCAGGTCCGTCGCAACCATCCTCAACGGCGTCCTCTCTTTCATGCTCGAGACGGCGCCCACGACGGGGTCCGTCGACACCGACCTGCCGACCAAGCTGCGCTACCGCGACGCGGCCGCCGCCTTCAACGACCGCGACCCGGCAAGCTCGCAGAGATACGCAGAGATGCGCAGAGACCAGCAGCGCCCTCGAGCGACCCCGACATCTGCCGGCTGCTCCTCTCTCTTCACGCGCCCGGCCGTGGGCGCAGGTCTTTTGCAAGCTCTTCCCGCAGTGCAAGGGGGGCGCCCTCTTCACAGACGTCGCCGCGGCCCAACCGCACACTCGAGGCGGAGCAGCGGTGAGCGGGGTCCCGCTTCACAGCCCGAGCTGTGAGCAGGGCACGCCGGGCGGCGGAGAGGAGGACGAGGCGACGGGCACCACCGCGGCGAGCGAGTCGTCCGGCCGAGCCGCACCGTCACCGGGCGAGACGCAGCACAGATGCAGCACAGATGCAGCACCGAAGCAGCACAGACGCAGCGGAGGTAGACACGGAGACACCCGCCGGACGGCGCCTGTTCACGCGTGCAGCTGTGAACAGGCGAGCCGACGGGGAGGCGGCCTCTCCCTCCCCCGACGGAGGCGCTGGCGCGCTGCGGCTTGGGAGGCGGTAGCAGCGGCAGTGGCAGCGGAGGAGGAGGAGGAGGAGGGGGAGGAGCGACGGGCGGCGGGGCCACGGGAGGCGATGCGGGCGGCAGCGGCAGTGGGGGAGGAGGCGGGGGCGGAGGCCTCGACGGGTTCGGCTTTGGCATGTGTGGCGAGTCGTCGGCGGACGCGACGGGGTCGGCGATGGAGGCCGTGCCGCCGGGCAAGAACGCGTCGAGGAACGCGCGCAAGCGGGCCAAGGAGCGAGAGAGGCGTCGGCTGCAGGCGACGGGGGTGGAGCCGTACCCCGCCTCGTCGGGCAACGACTCTGGCGCGCCGAGCCGAGAGAGGGCCCGAGGCTCGGGGAGCGGTGAGGAGCGGTGTGGCCGGCTCCGACTCTGCCGTCGCTGGGGCGAGAGGTGGAGCGGCGTCACGTCTCTGTGACGCCCCCTGCTCGCCCTCGGCCACTCGCAGGCGGGCTGGCGGAGGTCGAGTCGGAGGGAGAGGAGGGCGCGTAGCGGCGGCCAAGGCGGCGTGCAGACCGCAGCAGACCGCTGCTCGCAGGGCGTCGCGAGGGGCGCCGACTGATCCGTTCGCTCCTCTGGCGCACCACTGCGGATCGGCTGGGAGGGCAGTGGCCAAGAGTGAGAGGGCATGCACCCGCTAGACCGCCGCCTCCCCGCCCCGGCCTCGCGGCCGCTGTGAGGGAGAAGCTCGGGGCGCTCTCTCTCCCTTACACACGGTACCTTTACTTTCACGATGGCAGTCCCGGCTCACCCTTGTGGGGGCCGGGGCGGCGGGCGGTTTCCGTTGCTACATTTCGGTCCGGGAAACGTGGGTCTCTCGGGCTGTGGTGGAACTTATAAAGCGAGTTTTACTCGGTGTCTGCGACCTGTGGCTGTGCGTTCTCGTTTCTCGAGCACCTCCGTTATTTACTTACATAATCGTAAAATTATGGATCCTGCATATCTCCCCTCAGGATAATTGATATCGAGAATCCTCTCTACTCTTTCTCGCGCACACGGTTTCGTTTTGGGTTACGTTCGTGTGTTCGCCGCTCGGTTTTTATTTATTCGCCTGAGGCCTGTGTGGGCCTCGTGTGGGGCCCCGCGGTTTTTGATTTTGTGGCGGCGCTGCACGCGGGCGCGGAACCGCGGGTTGCGGCTGGCGGGGGCGCGGTCGTGGGTCGAGCACGGGGGCCGCTCTCAGGTCGTGAACTCGGTTTGTGCGTGTGGTCTCGGTGTAGAGACTGTAGTCGAGCGGACCACCACGTACTTGTCGCTGTGTCTGGCTCGTCAGTTGTGTGCGAGTCTTTAAACAGTCTTCTCTGTGGCGTGGCCTTGCCCCTTGGGCCGCCGTGGGGTAGTGTGTCGAGGCTCGAGCGGGAGAGATTTATTCGAAAACCAACAAGAAATCACGACTTCGAGCGGTGCGCATGTGGCATGACGAACGAGCGAGAATGTCCTCTGCGCTCGAACTCGAGAGACGCGAGGCGGAAAGGGGGTGAGGGGGGTCAAAGGAAGGACAAAATGAGAAGGAAGCGAGGCGGCGTAAATATCTCAACAGAGATGGGCGACGCACGAATCTCGCGAAGTCCGCCGAGGTTTCTTCAATGCTAGCACGCAGAAAGAAAGAAAGAAAACAGACAACCCAAGGGAGGGATGGGAGGACGGCACGCCGCCACCACACAGGGATTTTAATGCTAGCACGCGCCAGTCCGCACCTGCGTGGTAAAATTCTTCAAACCGTGACGGAGTTCACCTTGTTCAACGTGTCCCTCCACCTCTCCACCTCTCTCCTGCCGATGACTCCGGCTCCGCTTCGCCTCCTCTGCCGCGTGTGGTTCGGCGCAACCCTCGCCGTGGCGTGCCTCCTCCTCGGAGCTGCTACTCGCGTCCTCCACCTGCTCCCCATCTCGCTCGAGTTGAGTGAAGACCTGTCGGTCTCGACTGCAGCCGTTCTCTTCCGGCTGATGTTGCGCGTCAATCCACAGATCCGAGTCATCAACACGGTGCGACACGTGCCGGATGTCAAACTAAGCCATCCGGAACATGGAAATGCCGTCTCTGCCTTAGGCCCGCGAAGCCGACTGGGATCGACTCGCGGCCTGCTCGCCGGCGATGATCCTGATGAACCACACCTCCTTCTTCGACTTCTTCCTCTTCACCGCGCTGCTGCCGCCCCGGTTCGTCCGCCGGGCGCACGTGCGCACTGTGATGTCCGCCTCGATCGCCCAGCTCCCTTTCCTGGGGCGGAGCATCGGCGACCATGCAGGCTCATTCAAGGTCTACTTCCAGGCCAAGGGCGCTGGGTTTGGCAAGGGCGACGCGTCCGACTTCTCGGTCGACAGGGCTCGCCAGGAGGCGGAGACGGCGCGGATGGAGGCGCGCAGACCAGCCGAGATTGGCCGAGATTGGCCGAGGTTAGCCAGTAGGAGGCGGAGGCGGCGCAGAGTGCAGACGTCCTCCCGCGCACGCACATCGCTCGGGGATAGAGGAGATCGCTCGCAGCACATGCCCGCGCCACCCCCAGGCGCACATCAAGAGGCGCGGAGTCCTCGCCTTCTGCCCGGAGGGCGGCATGAACAAGACGCCGTCGGAGCGACTCAACCCGTTCCGCCGCGGCTCCTTCGCGCAGGCACCTGCGCGCCGCCCGCGCGCCTCTACACCCCTCTCTCCTCGCACCCCGCTCTCCACCCACGCAGGCGGCAAAGTACTCCACTCCCATCTGGGGCGCGGCCCTGCACGGCAGCACGGCCGCCTGGCCGCGCGACGCCCTCTTGGGCGGCGACCCCAGCACCGTCGCCCTCTCGCTCGAGCAGCTGACGCTGCTGCCTCCGCCGGTGGCCACCGCCACGGCAAAGCCTGCCGAGGCAGCACCTCCGCGAGTGAATAGAGCGCCTCTCTTCACGCCTCCAGCTGTGAACAGGCCGCCGACCTCGCCGAGGCTTGCCAGGAGGCGATGCAGCGGCAGGTGGACCGCCTCGCGACGCTTGCGCGGGGAGGGGCGCGCACTGAGGGAGGCGCGACACGCGCGCGGGCTTCCTAGCGCGGCCAGCGCGCGCCCGATGGCCACTCGTACTCCCAAGGAGGCGGAGAGAGAGAGCATACATGGTACCATGATCGCATGAGTGGTGTCCCCTGCACTGGCCGCTACTGTCATCTCACAATGACCTTCATGAAGACCTTGTCCTTGATCATTACAATATTTAATGGCTGTGATGTGTGAACGAAACACCCCGGCCCCGCGCCCACCCAGTCGAAAGACGAACCGGAGAATCTCACAGCTCTCACACGCTTTCCGTGGAACCGTAATAAAATCAAACGGTCAAACTCTCGCCGTGGTGCGTGGTCTCCGCGGGGAGCGCGGTGGAGGACCTGCTGGAGAGGTCTGAGGACTGTCGACTGTGCGAGCGCGGCAGAGACGGGAGATGAGATTTAGGGATCGTTGTGTCTTGGTTAAAAAGTACGTTCTCGGGTCCGAGGGCAGCCTCAACTGGAGTAGGGAAATTTGGATTTTGGTCAAACGCCTGCTGGGGGCAGCTTCGCGGAAGTATTCCGGAAGCCAGATGATCCCCCAGCAGGCACACACACACGGAGGTGACAGGGGATGGTGGTGGGTTCAAGCAAAGAAGGGGAGGGAGAGAGCGACGCGGCGAGCGCAGGCGGCGAGCGTGCACGTCGCCTGTGCGGCGTCTTGTTCACTCCCCTTTGAGCTACCTTTGTGCCCCCTTAGGGGCACCCCTCCTGCGCTGCGCGTATGGTCACCCCTCCCTTCCGCCCTGTTGTTTTGGATGCCCCGCTCCGAGAAAGCATGTCTCGCAGCTGCGAGAAAAGACCTTCTCGGGTCCGAGGGCAGCCTCAACTGGAGTAGGGAAATTTGGATTTTGGTCAAACGCCTGCTGGGGGCAGCTTCGCGGAAGTATTCCGGAAGCCAGATGATCCCACTTGTCAACAGCAGGCGCCAGCGCCAATCAAATCTCCCTAGTGATGTTGACAACGGGCAGTCGAGATGGGCAATCTGACCATGAGTCGTTCATCAGGGGATGAACCCCACGTAGTAGTTAATGGATTCCGATCGGCCAGAAGAGGAGAAGGGGGCTGCGTCGAGGAGCCCGCACGTGAGCAGCTCGTTCAGAAAGCGAGCCCACGCGGTTCCGGTGAGAGCGAGGTCCAGCGGGCAGACCATCGGGGCGGGAGTACCGGCGGGGGGCGCCGCGAGGCGCAGCCGCCGGCCAAAGACGCGCAGCATCGCGTGGTGCGGAAGTTGCACGCGCGCTGCTCCGCTCGGCGCAGCCGCAACCGGCCCCCAGCGGAGGACGGCAGTAGCCACCACCAGCGGGTGGGCAGCGGGGCCCTGGACGGGGGCGTCGGGCCCCGCGTGAACGCAGTGCACATCGATCGGCGGTACTGCCGCGGCCATCGCGCCCGACAGGGGCCGAGCGCGGCTCGCAGAAGCTCTCTTTATTCCCTAGAGCCTAGTTCAAGCAAAGAAGGGGAGGGAGAGAGCGACGCGGCGAGCGCAGGCGGCGAGCGTGCACGTCGCCTGTGCGGCGTCTTGTTCACTCCCCTTTGAGCTACCTTTGTGCCCCCTTAGGGGCACCCCTCCTGCGCTGCGCGTATGGTCACCCCTCCCTTCCGCCCTGTTGTTTTGGATGCCCCGCTCCGAGAAAGCATGTCTCGCAGCTGCGAGAAAAGACCTTATAGCATTTGAAATTTTTGGAGGATTGCCCCAGATCTGCACACCCCAGAGTGCAGAGAGATCATGCCATTTATTATGCAGATTCATTCACATGGCCCATGTTACATGGCGCGCGACCCCGCGGAGAAGGGAGCAAGGGAGATAGCGGAGTGTGCACTGTGCACAGTCACACGACACCGTCGCGTGTGTTCTTGACTTTTGAGCTTGCTGAGATACATAGTATGTGCGCTCTGCGCCGTGCACACACTGGGCCAGCGCAGGTCAGATGCCGACGCGCGACGGTATCCGCTCGGTATCTGTGTGTCCCGATCTATCCCAAGCCCGACTACTGTCAAAACTCAAAAGCAAGTGACTCATGCATATGACTCAGCCCGAGGGCGGGGGTCGCCGTGGTCGGGGAGCGCCCGCGATGGCTCACGCCCCCGCGCCGCCCAAGATGCGGGCAACGACGTACTTGGGCAGCCGGCCCTCCTTCTCTGCCAGGAGCAGCCGCGCACGGTACCGCTCCTCTGCCGTGAGCGGGGTCAGGTCGTCGTCCGACGGGCTGGTGCGCCTGCGCTTAAACGGCGAGCGCGACGCCGCCGCGGTGGGGACAGAGATCGGAGGCGAGAGCGGCTGGGACGGCGGCGGCGGCATTGCCTTGGTGGTCTGCAGCAGAGGCGCAGCGGAGAGCGGGATGTGCGTCCTTAGCGGTATCAACGATATGGGCACGGCTTGGGCCACGGGCAAGCCCATGATCCGCTGAGGCGTCATCTGACCAAGGGCGTGCGGGAGCTTGCGGTAGGCTGAGTCGATGGCGGCAACCATCGCCGCCTCGACGCTCATGCTAGAGATTTGGTTGTGCCGCAGCAAAACTTCAATGGTGGCAGAGGTGACCCGACCAATGCATGGTTCCGTTGGTCGGGTCCTCTTTCGGGTATTGTCTGAGCAGCCGTCAGGCCCGGACTCGGAGGCGGCGGTTGGTGGTGCGGAGGGTGAATCAGCGGCCTCGGGACGTGCGCCCTCGGCGAGGCTGCAAGTCGTGCGCATACCTAAAAGCGAGCACACGGGACAACGCGTTTTCGGCTCGCAGTCAGTCGTTTTCACTTCCGAGAGAGATACAACCGGCCTGTGCACATGCACATGTGCATGCACATGCACATGCACATGTCATGTGCATGTGCATGTTGTTGTTGTTGTTGTTGTGCATGTCATGTTCATGTGCATGACCACGGTATAAACAGGTGGGTAATCTTGTCAGAAAGCCAGAAAAGCGTCCGCGTGGCAAGACTGTGGTGCAATGCTCGATTAGATAGATAGATAGGTTAGTTCACAGGCTAGCGGCCGACCGCTAGCCCTACACTCGCTCTCGTGGTTGACGACAGTGCATCGGATAGGACGCAGGTGCCAAAAGCGGGCACCCAATCTGCACGCCCAAGGCCGTTATCGGGCGCCAGCACACGTGCTCGGGCGCTCTCGCAGTGTGCGCGCACAGACCGTTATGTTAATATATGCGCTCGCGATCGCAGTGTGCGCCTTTGCCCTCGACGCTGGAGAGAGAGAGCGGGCGGAGGTGGCGGAGGCACGCGAGCTGGACAATGAGTGGCGCATGCTGCGTGAGCCAGTGCCACGTCTTGAGAGCGCAGCAGACAATGCCTTGCGCCGTCGGAGGCTTGACGCCTCAGCGAGAGGGAGACAGTTGATGCAGCAGATGCAGGCCGCAGCGAACAGGGGCGCCCGCCAGTTTCGAATTCCAGCGGGCGATTACCACTTCGGCCATACGCGCTTTGAGCTCAGAAACGCGAGGAATATGGAGGTCACGGCCAGCGGTGTCAGCTTCTGGTTCGGATGGGGAGGAGGCATGCGCGTTATGACTTCAGAGGGCGTCAAATGGACCGCGAGCGAAGCGGCGCCCTTCATCATCGACTATGACCCGCCAGTCGTGGCGCAGGGCCGCGTCATCCGCACAGACCAGCTGGCCTCCGGCAGGTGGGTCGATGCCGAGTTTTCCACCGACTATATCATGCCGAATCGCAACCAGACCGGCAACATCTTCGGCGAGCCTAAGGTGAAGGTTGCCTTCTGGGATCCAGCGTCGCGAACGATGCGGCGAACTCCAAATGAGGCGGTCAACGTGTACCTCGCCGGTTCGACCAGCCTCGCGCCGGCATGCGAGCCCAACACTGGCCGAAACTGCGGCACGACTTGGCGTATTCAGATGGCGGGCCGAACTACCGCAATGCATAGATTGCTGCGCAATGGTGATCTGATCTCGATGCACCCACGGGTCTTCCCGCATGCTATCGAGCTCGTCGCGTGTGAACGTGTGGTGTTTGAGGATGCACATATTTACGGCGGGACCAACATCGGCGTCGTCGAGAGCAAGGGCGTAGGAAGTCATGTCTACAGACGCATTAAGGTCACCCGGCGGCCAGGGTCAGCCAACTTGATGTCCGTCAACGCCGATGGTTTCCACTCCAACTCGGCGGAGGAAGGTGCCCAGATCATCGACAGCGAGATTGGCTATACTGGCGACGACCTAGTAAACATCTACGGTGGTATAGGCATCGTTGTCGATCGGATCGGTAATCGAACACTTCTAGTACTGGATCGAAAGGGCGCAATGGACAGCAATGTTAAAGGCGGTGATGTGGTGCGTTTCCACAGCATTAGGACGGACACCCTGCCCCTCGTGGCCTCCGCGAGACTCGCATCCACGCCGTCACATTTTGGCTCGTGGAATGAAGTGCTGCCCAACGGCTCTGTGGTCCCCAAGGTCAATAGCCTCAAGACGACCCTGAACGCACCGCCCTACTCCCTCGGCTTCCCTCCCTCCTTCAGTTTTGACAATGATGATCTCTTTCAGCTCACCTTCCCCACGGACCTGCCGGAGGGCGTGCAACCGCTATGGACCGTCGCACAGGTCTACGAGAAGAGCAACCGGCGAGCCAAAATTTCGGGCTCATGGCTCCACGATGCCTACGCCCGCTCAGCGCTAGCCAAGACAGACGGCTTCAGCATCTCAGATACGCTCTTCCAACGCGGCGCCGGAGTGTACATCGGGGTCGTGGAGATCAACTGGCTCGAGGGCGACCTGGGCTTCGCGCGCGCGGAAGTCGTCGACTCGCGCCTAGAGGCATGCGGCAGTCCGGCGATCCACTCGGGTCGGGGAGAGACGCTTCTCCGTGGGAATGTGATACAGTCGTCCAGCGTGCTGCCTCAGTATGCGTCGCCCCCGCCTTCGCCACCCCCGCAGCCCCCTGTGGCAGGCAGGGAGCCTTGCGGCCTCAACCAGCCCTTCACCGCCACCGAGACGAACCTCAGGAGCAGTGGCAGGTGGTGTGGCTCGCTAATGGCACCGGCGAGCTTCAACGCCGCACGGCGCGACCTCTGCGAGCGCCACTATGTCGGCACGCCTGAGTACTCGAGCGAGTGCGTGTATGCGCGGACCGGTAGCCAGTGGCGGTGCAAGATGGACTGGCCTCCCCATTACCCGTGCGCTGGCGCTCAGCCGCCGCCGCCGCTTCCGGCCCCGCCGCCGCCGCTTCCGGCCCCGCCGCCTCCTGTGACGCTTCGCCCGCCCCCACCACCTCCCACACCGTCACCACCAAGGCCGCCGCCGCTTGGGGGCGGTAAGCCTTGCGGCCTCAACCAGCCCTTCACCGCCACCGAGACGAACCTCAGGAGCAGTGGCAGGTGGTGTGGCTCGCTAATGGCACCGGCGAGCTTCAACGCCGCACGGCGCGACCTCTGCGAGCGCCACTATGCCGGCACGCCTGAGTACTCGAGCGAGTGCGTGTATGCGCGGACCGGTAGCCAGTGGCGGTGCAAGATGGACTGGCCTCCCCATTACCCGTGCGCTGGCGCTCAGCCGCCGCCGCCGCTTCCGGCCCCGCCGCCTCCTTCGTCTGCTGCCGCACCGACATACCCGTGTGTTGACTCTCCCTCGGGCGAGCGTCTCCTTGGTCTGGCGGGCCCAGAAGGGGACCAATGGTGCTACCAACAAGCCTCCAGCGAACTAGGCAACTTGGAGGCATGTGGAGACTTCTACATTGAGATCGGCGATGCGGCAACAGTTGGATCGGACGGATACGTCCCTTGCTCGGCCGGCTGCGAACATTGCGCCATGCGTGAAAAAGCGAACCGACTCGGTACCCGTAAGATGGTTTGCAGGCAGGCCGGGCCGAACGATCCTTCCGCTGTCTACTTTTCCCTGTGCTCCTGAATCTACAACAGAATCACAACGGCCACAGACACGGCCAACACCCCTCTCTGACTACTGAGTACTGTTTTAACTACTGTGCGCTCTTGCGTCTCTTTTTAATTCTACCATAGCTTCTCAGTTTTACTTTTTCTTCGGAGTGGCACTTGTGCGCTCTCTCTGACTCTGTGCATGTGATTCAGGCTGTGCGCTGTGCATCACACAAGACTCTATACATCATACGATAACGAACTATCCCAACCCCCCCCCCGAGCGCCGACCGCCGTGCGTCACCTCGCGCGCACACTAACACTCACTGCGCGCCCGGCTTTCGCTTTCCCGCTTTTTGCTTCGGCTTTGCGGCGGGCGGCGGCTCGCCGGGCTTCACCAGGATCAGATGCGCCTCGGCGAGCGCGTTCGCGACGTCGAGCCGCTGCGCGGCCGTCTCGCACGGCAGCGCGCCCACACGCACGTACTTTGGGTACGACGCGAGCAGCTGCTCCAGCGCAGGGGCCGCGTCGAGGTCGAAGTCGATGTGCTGCGGCTCATCCACCTGCGAAGGAGCGCGACAGGGTTGCGCGTGAAGAGGCGTGACACGTGATTGCCAGAGGCGTGACAGGTGATTGCCAGAGGCGTGACAGGTGATTGCCAGAGGCGCGCGGGCTGGACTGCGAGGAGCGAGGCAGGAGTGCTACGAGCGTGTCGGGTCGGCTGGCTACCCTTCCCACCTCGTGGTAGGCGCGCGTGTTCGTGCCGTGGTGGTAGAGCACCGCCACGTCGCCCTCGACGGCGAGTCGAGCGGCGGAGCGCGAGCGGAGACGGACCTTGGACGCGAGGGAGAGGGACCCCGCGCGAGCAAGCCGCCGCGCGTCGTCGGGCGTCGCGTGCGGCGGCATGCGGTCGTACATCCAGCCTCGGCCTGTCCAGGTCACAAAGCTCCCAAGTCAGGGGGAGAGCCTCATGCATGCAAGGGCTTGGCACGCCCAGCCGCGGCCTGCGAAACTGGTCGGCGACTAGGAAGTGTCTAGGAAGTGTCTAGGAAGTGTCTAGGAAGTGTCTAGGAAGTGTCTAGGAAGTGGCCTGCGAACTGGTCGGCGACGGCGTCGAGCGGCATCGACGCGACGAGCCGCTGCAGCAAGCCGTGCGCCATCTGGCTGAACTGCGCGCGGCGCGCGTCGGCGCGGTCCGAGTGCAGCACGCCCATGAAGGACTCGTACTCGCGCGGGAGCGCGCGCCGCCAAGTCACGTCGGCGGCCGCCGCCTCCTCGAGAGCGCCCGCCAGCCCCAGCTCGAGCAAGTCGCGCCACGTGTGCCGCCTCGAGATCGAGACGGTGAGGTGGAGCGACGCGGCGCCGCCGGCCGGCGTGAAGGCCTGGTGCACCGTCCCGCGCGGCAGGTAGAGCAGGTCTCCCGGCTTGAGCGCGACACTCGCGAGGGGAGGGCCGAGGTCGGCGGGTGCGAAGTCGGGCGAGGGGTCGCGCGGCAGCACGTGCTCCGGAGCCGGAGGGGCGTGCAGCGTCCACCGCTTCTCGCCCTCGACCTGAGGCGGTGGTGGCGGCGGTGGTGGCCAAAGCGTGGCACGGAGGCGGCGCGTCGAAGCCCCGTCCAGCGTGGAAGAGGGCCGCCTCTACCGCCCACCCGGCTGTCCCCGTGGTGCGGTCCGCCGTGTGTCTGCCTCCGTCAATCTCGGGTGAGCCTCGGGAGGCTCGCGCCTGCAGAATGAAGACGTCGACGTCGTCGTAGTGCGGCGCGAAGCCCTGGCTGCCCGCCGGAGTGTAGTAGACCTACCTCCAAAGAAGTCTCGGGTGAGCTCGCGCGATCTCGGAGCCCTGGCTGCGCAGTGCAGTGCACGTTGCATCCCGCGCCGCACCCAAAGTGCTCCTCGAGCGACGCGAGCAGTCCCCACACCGTGTCCGAGTGCCGCTGCGGCCACGACAGCCGCACGGAGCAGCCGCCCTCAAACGCGGCCAGCACCTCCTCCGCCGTGGCAGCGCCCTCCCCGTTGAGCGTGGCGCGGCCGCCTGACTCACGAGCCGGCGGGTGAGGGAGTGCCGAGGCGAGCGGCCCGAGCGGCTGTGCGGCCGCCTGCAGAGACATGTCCGGGATCCGGGAGCGGTCAGGGACGCGAAGTGGGAGGCGGCAGGGCCGAGGCGGTGCGGCGTGCCCTCGACGGTGCAGCGCGTCACGTCCCTATCTCGGCTCTATCTCGGCTATCTCGGCTGTATCTCGCCCTCGACGGTGTAGCGCGTCACGTCCCTATCTCGGCTCTATCTCGGCTATCTCGGCTGTATCTCGCCCTCGACGGTGTAGCGCGTCACGTCCCTATCTCGGCTCTATCTCGGCTATCTCGGCTGTATCTCGCCCTCGACGGTGTAGCGCGTCACGTCCCTATCTCGGCTCTATCTCGGCTATCTCGGCTGTATCTCGCCCTCGACGGTGTAGCGCGTCACGTCGAGCCCGTCGGTGTACTTGAGGTCGCCGTCACTGGAGGGTTAGGGTTAGGGTTAGGGTTAGGGTTAGGGTTAGGGTTAGGGTTAGGTGTACTTGAGGGCGCCGTCACTGGAGGGCGGAGGGGGGGAGAGGCGTGGCGCACTCTTCCGTACGCACCTCCTCCCGGCGCATCTGCTACCTCTCGGCTGCCTCTCGGCTCTGGCCCTCACCGCAGCAGCTGCCGCAGCTCCTCGGAGCCGAACCAGCCGCGGTGATACGCTCGGTCGGCGGAGCGAGAGATGTGCAGAGGCCTCCGCTCCCGGACCTCCTCCTCAAACTGCGCCGGCGAGAGCGGCGCCAGCAGCCAGCCCGCCAGCCGGTCCGCCTGTTCGCGCACGGCCATGTGAAAGCGACGGCAGCGGCCGCAGTGACACCGACTTGCAAACTCGCTTTGTCGGGCCGATCCGCCGACGCGAGGATCTCGAGCCCGCTCTCGGCGCGCCACTCGGAGAGCGAGAGCGAAAGCAGCTCCGGCGAGAGCAGCTGCGCCAGCAGAGCCTCGCGGCCCTCCTCCTCCTCCTCCTCACCGCCGCCCGCCGCCGCCACGGAGCCGCCGCTGGCGCCACCCTCGCTCTCGTCGTCGAGCCCGTCCACGCTCTGGACAGCCGCTGCTTCCTCGTCCAACTCGTCGGGCTCCCTCGCGCCGCCGTCCTCCTCGTCCGAGTCCGCCCCGCCGGCGGCAGCCTCGGCAGCGAAGGCTGCAAAGCCCGGCGGCAGGTCGTCAGCCTCCTCGGCGGCGCGCTTGCGCTTCTTCTTCGCCCGCCGCCGCTCGGCGGCAGAGCTGTTCCGACGTGCGGCTGGCACGATGGGTGGCATCTGAGAGGATACTGCCTCGAGGTGTGTTCGAACTGGCAGCGACCTGCAGTCCAGCGGGCCGCCCGGTGGCCGAACGGCAGCAAAGGACAGGGTGTGCGGGACGGCCCCTCCAATTTCAGACGCGCCGCTGCCGGCAATGATTAGTGCAGATATCAACATGCGCACAGGCCACGCTGTCAGACGGGAAATGGTCTGCCGCGCGTCGGAAGCAAACTGCGGTCGACTTCAAAACGGCGTACTGGCAGGCTCAATTGTAACGATCTCATCGGGGCTCTGAGTTTGACGTGCATTGCTTTGAGAGATGCCCCGTGTTATCTCGCGTTCCCGACTCGTGTTCTTATATTCACGTCGTCACTATCACGTGGTGCGGCTTGGGTTCCAACTTTTTCCGGGGTATGGTATGGTTCATGCGCGCCAAAAGGTGGGGGGGTATGGTACTTTCGCCCGCGCGGGGACGGCCGCTCGCCAGGCGATTGCCAACTTTGCCGCTGCGCTCTACTTCTAGACTATAGCACCGTGGAAGACGGCGGCCATCCGCGCGTATCTAAGTGTGCGTGTCCTAAGTGTCGGTGTCTGCAGCCTCCTCGTGGAGCCTAGCGCAGTAAGGCGGCCGGCGGTGGGGCGAGGGTGGGAGGGGGGGTATGGTCCCGTCGGCGGAAGGCTGGGTCTGTCAGCAGGCAGGGGGGTATGGTCTCGAGGTGGGTTGGCCGAGGGTACCATACCATACCCCGCAAAAAGTCCGAACCCGTACCATACCATACCCCGCAAAAAGTCCGAACCCGTACCATACCATACCCCGCAAAAAGTCCGAACCCTGGGCAAACCCTGGTGAAACCCATCAAGAAATCTTACCCTTTTTTCTTAATGCCCGCAACCCACTGTATCGCTCTGTCGAGCACTTGCGGTTGTTAGAAGACAATAAGAAGAAAAACGGCGGCGGTGCCCGGTGGTTTCATAGCAGCCCTTTTCCTGGCTCACAGTCACACAGGCTAAAGATGTTCACGGGCCGCCCTCACACGGAGCCCCGGGTACTCTTTTTTTGGAGAGAGAGAGAGAGAGATCTTTGGTGCTCTTTAGCCTATGGTTTAGTTAGCTGTATGTACTCGTCTAGCGGTCTAGGACGGGGTTGGTTTCAGAGCAGAACAGCAGAGTGTGACTGTGAGGGGGCCTTGGTGTTCGAAGTGGCAGCGATCGGCAGTCTCTGGCGGCCGTCGTCGTGTGCTAGAGGCGCGAGAAAACTGTGAAATCACAAACATCGGTTTCGCTCGCCGGGTTTGACCAGTCGCGACGGCGACTGAAAGCTGTGACATTGGCTGTGTGCTCTCGGCTGTGACAACCCCCTGCCAGCTGGTGTGTGCTCTCAAATAACCAGTGTGAGCCTCCCAGGGGCCAATGATGCTCTCATCAATGGTCGGGCCGTTTTGTCTCTCGTGGACCTCGCTGCAGCAGCGCGAGGGCGGCACAGCGTCGAACTTCGCCCGATCTCTTGATGGCGAGAAGGACATGAGCGAGCTGGGATTCGGCAGGATCTGGACCTCGCCCGCGGCGGCGGGCAGCAACGCCGGCCTCGGCGGCGGGCTCTCGTGGCGCGCAAACACTTGCGAGACCTCTCACCATCACCCATCTCATGCGAGACCTCTCACCATCACCCATCTCATATGTTTATATGCTCCGTCGGCCCGCGATCCCGCCTCAGCCCCGCTAACACGTCCGCGACAGGGCCTGGGACCCACATCTCTGCGCCGCGCTGCTGCCCGTGATGCGCGAGAATGCCGCGGGGCTGGACCTCGTCACGTGCAGCGACCTGCGCTCCTCCTTCGAGCGCGCCCTCGCCGCGTGGGAGCGGGTCCACCGCCGGATCTCGTTTCACGAGGTGCAGTGCGACTTGCGGCCTGGCGAGGCGTGGACTGACGCGTGTCCGCGCGTGGAGCTGTGGGTGACGAGCTTCGCGGGCTCGTCGTCGCCGCCTCCCCCCCCGGCGCACGACGGCGACCAAGTCGCAAGCACCGACCCGGTGTGCCCCACGCCTTGCCGCGCTCGCCACCCCTTCGCACACGCATCCGACCCCCCCCCCCCCCTCCCCTTCCCTGCCCCCCCCCCCCCCCCCTCCCTCAGGTCTACGCCTACTCCTCCCAGCTCGGCCGACTCCTCCGGCTCACCAACGGCGTAGAGCTGCAAAGCCACTCCACGGCGCTTCTTCCCCTCCCTCCCCTCCGCCTCCTCCACCGCCCTCGCCTCCGCCGCACCTCACCCGCCGCCAGACGCCTCTCTCTCGCGTCCGCCCTTGCCGCCGCCGCCTCGTCCGCCTCCCTCCAATGCCCCCGCTTCCTCGTCGCCCCCCTCCCCGCACCGCGCCCCTCTCACCGGGGGCCCAAAGCAGCTCACCGCACAAGCCCCTGGCCGCAGGTGGAGATTGTGCGCGCGCAGATCGTGTTTGGCGGCGGGTCGGACGTGTGCTGGTACCTCGACTCTTGGTTCTGCGGCGCGCTGCACGCGCTGCGCGACTCGCTCTTCCTCGCCATCGGCGCGGCGCTCTGGGGCGCCTTCAGCTTCAGCCTCATTTACTGGCTGCTGCGTCTCTGGCGCGCGGCGCGCGTCCGCTCGGCGGAGGAGCAACGAGAGCTCACCCCACCCCTGGCTGCGCGAAGGCACGCGCGGCGGTTCGGCGTCGGCGCGCGTCACTGGTCAGGCATCGCTGCCACCGTGTGGCTCGTGCTGCTCGTCGCCCCCGTGCCGCTGCTGCGCGGCGTGATTGCGCCGTGCCGCGAGTGTTTCGACTTCGAAGCTGCGTCGGTGCACGAGGTGGGCCACGCCCTCGGCCTCGGCCACCCTAACGGAGGGGGTGCTAACGTCTACCAGCGAGCCCTCGCCGCGGGCCTCCCCCTCAACGCGAGCGAGTGCCTCAACCCGTGGCGCGGCGTGCGGCAAGGCGACCCCGCCCCGCCGCCGCCCCCGCCAGTCCGCGACTACGGCACACACTTGTCTTTGGTTCTGGACTCAGGCACCCCGCCCGGCGCCGCCATCGACGCAGAGGCGAGCTGCGAGCCCGGTGGCTGGTCTGCCGGCGGGAGAGGGAGTCCGTCCTTGCTGACTGCTCCGCGCCTCACCAGGCGGGCTGCTCGCCGGCGGGAGAGGGCGAGGGAGAGGGCGAGGGGGAGGGCGAGGGAGAGGGCGAGCCGCTCCCGTGCGAGGCGGGGCAGTGCGGCGGGGCGGAGGAGAGCTGCCGCGGCGTGCGGCCGAGCGTGATGAACCGGATCGTCCAGTACCGGCGTTCTGCGTGCCTCGACGAGGACGACGTGGAGGGGCTGCACACTCTCTACCCGGACTGCGGCGCGGAGCGGGCGGTGCTCTCCTGCGACGGCGCCCAGAGTAGCCGAGACGACGCCGAGATCATGCCGAGGAGACACAGCCGAGATCTCGCCCACTCGCGACGGCGTCCGAGGCACGGGCAGGGGAGAGGCACCGGGCAGCAGAGAGAGGCACCGGGCAGCAGAGGGGCGAGGCGTCACCTCACCTCACCGCGCGGGACGGGTCGCAGGCGTCCGGCTCAACACCGGCATCGTCCGCCTCGCGGCCCTCGTCCTCGCGCCCCTCCTCTTCGCCCTCCTCCTCCAGCGAGTCGCCGGCCTCCTCGTCGCCCGCCGAGAGGAGCGCCGCCGCCGCGCCCGCCGCGCCGCGCGCAGGGAGGCGCGCGCAGCTCGCCGGAGGAGGAGCTGCGGCGTGGACGAGCCCCCCGCGACCGCCGCGGCCAGCCCGGTGAGCCTAGGGGTGGGCAGCGGCGTGAGCGACGCGGAGAGCGAGCTCTCGTTGACACACTCGCCGCTCCGCCCCGTGAGCGTGCTCGCCTCGCTCCGGCAGCGCCTGTGCTGTGGAGGAGCGCTCGGGCTGCGGCGGGCGACGCCAAAGTCCGTCCGCGCCGCCCCTTCCGCCCATGGGCGGGTCCACCCGGTCAGCATCGAGTGGTTTGTCCGCTCTGCGGCTCTCTCGAGCAGCATGTCGCCGCCGACGACGCCGCAGCGGCCGTCCGTCCGCAAGGACAGCGAGCGGATGTACACGAACACGTGACGTGCGTGAGGTAAGTGTTGATAGCTGTGTGGTGTACCGCGCGAAGGCTCGTTCGTACTTCTCAAGCGGCCAACAACGAGAACAGAAAGCACACAGTGTGAGAGTCAGAAGTGTGTGTGTGTGACAAGAGTCGAGACACAGCTCACAGGCTATATCTAGCAGAAAAAGACGGGACCACGACATGCATTAAATAGCGGTAGCGGCGCTGCCGCCCTGGGGAGGCGGAAAGGCGCACGGCCGCCACGCGGTGTAGTGGGTGGCCCGCAGGGCGGCCCTGGGGGCAAGTCGAAAAGGGGGCTAGGCTAAAGCGCGTGAGATGCGCGCCACGTCTACTGATATTGTGAGCTGTAGCAGCCCGCTAGCTCTGCGGCATGGGCGGTGTCGACCTGCTGCTGCTCCTCGCCGACGACGGCGGGCTGCGGCGGGCTCTCGGCCGGCTGCGTGGCTGGCTGGTGGGCCGCGGCTGGCTGGGCGTTGGACGGCATCGGCAGGAGCGGGCGCGGCGCTGTGCTGCTGCAGTCCTCGTCGTCCGGCGCGCTGGGCAGGTCGGGGGAGGGGGCGGCGGGGGCGCTCCGAGGCAGCTCCACATGCGGCGCATGCTCGTGAAGCAATCTCAAGAGCTGCTCGTTCTCATCACGCAGCCGCGCATTCTCCTCCTCGAGCTGCTGGCGGTGGTCACGCTGCCGCTTGCGCGAGACGGCAGCAGACTGGCGGTTGCGCTCCTTGCGTAGGAGATGCTTCTCTTCTTCGGCGCGCGAATTGGCCGCGTATTGTAGCATGGAGATGGCATCCGGCATGCCAGCGGACATTCGGGCAGATGGCTCCTCTCTCGCCGAACACGTGGCACAGATGGCCCTTGCCTCATCAAAAAGAATTTTCTAACCCAAGCCGGTCGCACGGCGAGAATTGGTGAGAAAGTGGGGAGAGAGAGAGAGGAAATGGTAGACGCCCGAGGGTGGGCGACGGCTAACACCACACTTCTCCCCTAAAATCCCTGTGTGGTGGCGGCGTACCACCGTCCTCCCATCCCTCCCTTGGGTTGTCTGTTTTCTTTCTTTCTTTTACACGATTCATCCGTGAAGGCACAAGTGTTCGAAGAGAGAGTGGACCTGAGCAATGATATGACTGGGCGGCAAATGATAGCAGTGGGCGTCAGAAGACTCGTCCTTGCTCGAGGAGAGCTCGATAGACTCGAGGGGCCAGGATATGCAGCAAGGAGGGCGGAGCTGCGCCGAAAGGCGAAAGAAGCCGAGAGAACAAGGGAACGGCAGGCGGCGGCGGCGGCGCAGAACGAGGCAGAGGAGAGCGACGCGACAGAGGAAGAAGCGACAAGGGAGAGCACGACGAGAAGGGGGCGACCGCGAGGTGGCACGAAGGTTGAAGCGAGAATCGAGGCTCTGCCGGCGGGTCTGTGGCCTGGCGCCTGCCAGTCTGCGGGTCGGCAAAATACCCCGGCGCTCGCGCGCGCCACCGCCCCCGGCGCGGGGTGGGATGTCAGTTCGTGAGTTCTGTGTTCCTGTCCCTGTGCTCCACCTTCTTCTCCCGCGTGAGTCCCTGAGAACCCCACTACATAGCGCCACCTCGTGAGCTGTCCTGTGAGCTGTGTGCTGTGTGTGTGTCCAGCAGTCCGGACCCGGTGCTACGGCCGGTGACAGTGTGCCTCGTGTCGGCTCCCGAGCCAATCGTGTGCAACGTGTGTGTGCGTGTGGGCCCGTCCTCCATGCTGGGAGGGTAAAACGGACTAGGGATCCTAAGGGAAAAGAAATCGTGCAACAAAGTTGGCTGGCCACGCATGTGCATGCCACGATCCTCGCTCCGCGCCCCGCCGCGATCCTGGCCCTCGCGCGCGCGCAGCCCCCCCCCCCCCCCCGCTCGAGCCTCGCGCTCCAGCCCGGGGAACACTGCACCAAAGCAGCCCGACGCCCGCCTCCCGCGCCCGCGCAGCTTGATGCCTTGCATCTGCACCTTCCGCGTGGAATCCAAGACCCCAGCCTTCCGCTCGACCGGCCGTTCCACCGGAGCGTTTGACTACAACGCCGAGGAGGAATGGTGCGCGCGACGAAGCTCCCTCCCCCCTCCCTCCCGCGCCGCGCTCACCGGCCGCCGGCCGCTTCACAAGGTTCGAGGCGGGCATCTGAGGCGTCTGCGAGCGCTCGCGAGCGTGCCCCGGCTCAACCATCCTCGCCCTCTCCTCGCCAAGACGATCCTCCCTCGCCGCCTCTCCTCCGCCGCGTGCCTCGACCACCCTCCCGAGGATCACTTCCCACCGCCGCCGCCGCAAGTGCCGCGCGAGCCCCTCCTCCAAGGCTGCCTCCCAGACTGCCTCCAAGACTGCCTCGACTCTGCCGCGCGGCCGCCGCTCGCGCCGCACGTGCTCCGGCCGCTTGCGGCGCACATCGCCGCCGGCGCCGAGGAGCCCTTTTACCTCGTCGACCTCGCCGCCGTCCGGTCGCGAGTCGCTCTCTGGCGGCGCGAGCTTCCACGCGTCGACCCGTTCTACGCGGTCAAGTGCAACCCGGACGCCGAGATCCTCTCGCTGCTGGGCTCGCTCGGCTGCGGCTTCGACTGCGCCTCGCGCGCGGAGATGAGCCTCATCCTCGAGGCGTGAGATATGGGGAGATATGGGGAGATATGGGGAGATGAGCCTCATCCTCGAGGCGCGAGATGCAGCCGAGACGCAGCCGAGATGCAGCCGAGATGCAGCCGAGACGCGTTTCGAGGTGTGACCTCGCCCACCGCTCGCCCTCCCAGGCCGGCGTGTCGCCGGACCGCATCGTGTACGCCAACCCGTGCAAGCAGCCCTCCCACCTCCGCTTCGCCGCCGCCGCCGGCGTCCGCCTCTCGGTCTTTGACTCGGAGGCGGAGCTGCTCAAGACGGCGGCGGAGGCGCCGAGCGCGGAGCTGCTGCTGCGCATTCAGGTGGACGACTCCAAGGCCGTGTGCGTGATGAGCAACAAGTACGGCGCCCCTCTCGCCGAGGCGCCGCCTCCCTCGCTGCCGCAGCTCGGCCTTGGACGGCCGCGACACCTCGGCACACCCTCTCTGCTACGCGTAGGCCCCCTCTCTGCTGCGGCGCGCCGCCGAGCTGGGCCTGCGCGTGCGCGGCGTCTCCTTCCACGTCGGCTCGGGCTGCTACTCGCCGCAGGCGTACGTCGCCGCCGTGCAACGAGCTGCCCACGTCTTCTCGCTCGCCGAGGAGGCGGGCGGCCGGATGGACCTGCTCGACTTGGGCGGAGGCTTCCCGGGCGTCGACAGCGCGGAGCTCTCCTTCTCCTCCATCGCGGCGGCGCTGCGCCCGGCCCTCGACGCCTCCTTCCCGCCCTCGCGCGGCGTGCGCTTGCTCGCCGAGCCAGGCCGTTTCCTGGCCGCCGAGTCGCACACGCTCGCCGCGGCGGTGATTGGCAAGAAGCGGGTGGCCGACGCCGCCGCCGAAGGAGGCACGCGGCAGATGCTCTACATCAACGACGGCCTGTACGGCTCCTTCAACTGCCTCCTCTACGACCACGCGTCGGTGACGCCGGAGCCGCTGCCCGCGTCGGTCGCGGCGCGGGCAGCGGTCGGCGATGGTCCGAGCCCTTGGCCTGCGCGGCCGCCTCCGCAGCCCGCCGCCGTCTGGGGGCCAACGTGCGACGGTGCGACGACCTCCCCTCCCTCCTCCCACCCCCTCTCCGGCCACCCTCCTCTCGAGCGCCCCTCTCGACGCCCCCGCCCACAATCGCCTGCCCCCGTCCCCGCAGGTTTCGATTGCGTCCTGCCCGACACCAAGCTGCCCGAGCTCGCCGTCGGCGACTGGGTCGTCTTTCGGCACATGGGCGCCTACACCGCCGCCGCCGGCTCAAACTTCAACGGGATGGCCCTCCCCTCCAAGGTGTATGTCGACCCCGGAGCCGCGCAGACCCGCCCCGCCGCGGGAGCGGCTGCGGAGGTCGCGGAGGTTGCGGAGTGGGCGGCGCATCACCGCCGCGCCGCCGCCGCCATGTGAGCGGGCGGGGGGGGGGGCGGGACGGGGGCGGGTAACGCCTGGTGTTTGCGGCAGGGCAACATCGCGGAGGGGAGAGGGGCAAATCGCGCTTGCGTCGCGGGGGCGCGCGTCGTTGAGGCTTGGTTGGACGCTTGGTCTCGTCGCGCGTGAGTGATCGAGGATGGTGAACTGACGAGCGCGGATGTGACTTGTGAGTCGGTCGTTCGCTCTTTTAAGCATGCGCTCTTTTAAACATGCGCTCTAAGCTTCGGCAAAAAAATTCTGTTCAAGTCTTATGTCTTAAAGACGACGGTGAGGCGGAGCAGACGCGCAGGGCGAGACGAGGGAGGGAGCAGGATCGAGGATGTTGCGGAGATCAGCAGGAGCGGGATGTACGACGAGATTACGAGTAGGAGCAGCAGGGACCCGAGGGACCATGTGGAAGACGGCTAGTGCTAGTCCCCCATCGGGAGACGGGAGGACGACCCCGGCTAGTCGCCCCTGTCGCGCCGACCACACCCACAAAGAACCACCCTGCACAAAGACCGCAGGGCGGGGACCTGTTCCTTTTTACCCATCTCCTAGACCTAGTAGAGGTGTCCGTTTTATTTATTTATTTATTTAAAGGCAAAACACAACGCTCTAAGCTTCGGCAAACGTAAAGTAAATTCTAAGACTTGGCAACAAGGGTTGACATGACTCATGACATGACTCAATTGCGCTAGGGCCTAGGCGACGAACCTGCGCCCCCTGCCGCTGCCCGCGCCGCCCCCCCCCCCCTCGGGGCGGCGGGGCCCCCCGCCCCCCCGGGGGGCCCGTTGGGGCCTGGTGGAATCTTGCCCTACACAACAGTCAATACACCGACTGAGATCACAGTGCGATGCCGGTCTATGCTGTGTGGGGCGCGACGTACGCGGACCGACCGGCTGCCACACACAATGGTCAATGCCACGCGCTAGAGTCGCCAACCAAGCTTGTCGAGACAAGGAGGGGCGAGACTGACTGGTTGCGAGAATGCGAGCCGCGTACGGTTCGATCCGGACACTCGAAACCACAAGTACAAATCGTAAAAGAAAGCTACCAAACGAAACTACTCGCGAGCGGGACGTCAGAGCTACTTTTGAAGGCGGCCTGCACGAACTTCTGGCCGCCCGCCGCAATGAGACGGATCGTGCTGCTCGCGGTCAGCTACTCGGTGGCCCGGGGCAGCGAGGTTGACGACGTGACTTTCGAGCCCGCCTACGGCTACTGGGATGACGACTCTTACGGCTACATGATCGATGACGGCTTCTGTGCGTGGCAGTGTGACCCAGAGTATGTCAGTGATGGGGAGTGTGACGAGATGTGCAACGTGCCCGAGTGTGAATTCGACGGCGTCGACTGCTTCCACGGCTACGGCGAGTGCTACACGCAGGCGGACGGGTCAGACTACCGCGGCGCTGTCAACGTGACTGAGGGGGGCCTCTCGTGCCAGGCTTGGTCGCAGCAGTGGCCGCAGCGGCACGACAGGATCCACACCAATTACCCACACGGGGGACTCGGCGGGCACAACTCGTGCCGCAACCCGGACGGCGAGACCGGGCCGTGGTGCTATACCACCGACCCCAACGTCCGTTGGCAGCACTGCACGATACCGCTGCCGCAAGGGACCTGCGCTGGCCACCACGCAGCGAACCGGACGGCGCCGCCCCCAAGGCCCGCGTCCGATGCGGGAAGCGGCGAGCAGTCTTCTTCAGACATGTACGACGACTACAACATGGACTACCCCTACCCGCCGTGGGAGCTCTCATACGACATCTTTCCGGTCGTGTTTGCGCCCGAGGTCTCGTCGCCCATCGAGCTCAACACGATGATTTCAGGGTCGGTCGAGGAGCACACGTACGTCTTCTACGAGGTCGAGATCCCGCAGTCGGTGCAGGAGGTGAAGGTGGTGGTGGTGCCCGAGGAGGGCGACCCCGACCTGTACGTCTCCTTTGACAACCCCTTCCCCACCGGCGCAAACTACACCTTCCTCTCGGACAACTACGGCGTGGAGGAGTGGACGCTCGGGCGGTACAACTACCTCTTCTGCGGCGCCGCGGGGACCGAGGCGGCCTGCACGATGTACCTCTCTATCCTCGCGTACGACGAGCACTCCACCTTCTCGCTCGTCGTCTACGGCGTCGAGGAAGCCTCCGCAGACGACGCGCCATCCACACTCTGCGCGCCGGGCTGCGAGTGGCTCTCGCTCGGCGACGGAACCTGCAACCAGCAGTGCGACGTGGAGGAGTGCTTCTTCGACAGGGGCGACTGCGCCTGCGACTCGGCCGAGAGCGCGGACTGCACCGACGGCTGCCCCGTCTCGTGCAAACCCGAGTGGATCGGCGACCACTACTGCGACGAGGCGTGCTTCCGCGCCTCGTGCCAGTGGGACAAGCACGACTGCCTCAAGAAGGGTGAGACGCCATGCGCAGACGACTGCCTCCCAACCTCGCTCGGCGACGGTGAGTGCGACGCCGCGTGCAACGTCGAGTCGTGCAACTTTGACATCGACGACTGCTTCCACAATAACAACGAGTGCTACGAGCGGCAAGACGGAGCCGACTACCGCGGCAAGGTGGCCACGACCGAGAGTGGCTACCCGTGCCAGCGGTGGTCGGACCAGTCGCCCCAACAGCACACGCGGACCGCCCAGCACTACCCTCGCTCCGGCCTCGGCGGGCACAACTTCTGCCGCAACCCAGACCGGGAGGAGCGGCCGTGGTGCTACGTGGCCGACAAGGACAGCGGCAAGCGCTGGGACTACTGCGCAATCGGCGAGCCCTCGAACGCGTGCGTACACCCGCCGCCGCCGGCGCCGCCGCCGGCCGTCGAGGGCGCCGCCGCGATGATCGAAGTCATCGGCGCCTTTTGCCTGGGCCTCTTTGCGATCCTGATGCTCCTCTATTGCAGGAGGCTGAAGCGCAAGAGAGCGATGAAATCGGGCGGGTTCACGCAGTACGGTGGGCACGACGACGGTGTCCTGGGTACCGGCGTCGAGATTAAACCCGTCGTGCCCGAGTCGGCTGCTGCGCCCGGCGCATCGGCCTGACGAGACCGACAGCCGTGGCACTCGTGCCGTGGCGGCGTTCCCAGTTTTTTTCGATCTGCGCCGCCGAAGACGGAGTGCTAGGGCGACCTCGCCGGCATCGCGAGGGGGTGGAGGTCAGGAGGGGCATAGGTGCGGGAGGGGGCAGGGGACTCCTCAGAGGCAGAGACGCCGAGCTAACGCGCCTGCGGGCACGCGCATTTGCGGTATGTACTCTTTTACGACCACGCAGTCTGTTTCTTGGGTCTTGGCGCTTTTTTAAGCGCCTGAGCTCCTCCCTCCCTGCATTGTTCTCGGGCATTATATAGTCCGCTATATCATAATACCGCCATCTCGGCTCCCATCTCTGCAGAATGTCCGCAATAAAAACCACACCCCGGGGCCACGACCCGCTTCGGTTTCGTCGTCCATAGTGCACTATCAAACCCCAAACCCGAATAAAAAACCGTGTACCCCCCTTGGAGTGTATCTTGGAGTGTTGCTATGGAGCGTCCGCTTCAACACGCGCTTGCGCGCTCGCGTCTGCTGGCGCCCAGAGAACATGTTGCACCACATGCTCCCGGCGGAGCCAAGCTGCTTGCACTCGACAAGGCAGTCCATCCACTCAGCTCAGCCAGGGCTCGCTCGCCCGAGCTCGGAGCCGCCGTCGGTCATGGGCAGCAACAAAGGTTTGACGCGTCGCTCGGTGCAGGAAATCTGCAGTAGAGGTGCAGAGGCCGTCCGGCACGCGCGCGATGGGCTGCGGCTTCATTGGCAGCTACCAGAGCGCGTCTGGAGCGCTGCCATTGTGTGACCCACGTCCAAGCGGCGCTTCCGGCCTGTTCCGCGCCTCTTTTTACGCTTTTTTTGGAGAGGGGGGGACGAGGTGTCATCAATGTCGAAACCGCCTTTGACTCTTTCTCCGAGCGTGATACGATGGCGCTCGGCGTGGCCGCGCCGCGGTTTTTATGGTGATCGATTCAGCCCGCCCAGCCCCAGGCTTCACCACCCCACCACACCACCAGCCATGCTGAGGGCCTGCGTGCACTCTGCGTCTCTTGGCGCCTGGGAGTTCAGTGAATTCGACGCCAACGTCGGAGACTTTGCCGGATTCTACGTGTGGGAGGACGACTCTGGGCCCTTCTCTGACGACTTTTCCGGCGTCGCAACCGCGCGCCTCACAGACAGCCTCACGGTCGCCCACGCACACGTCGATCGCGCTTGCTGGTTCTCGCTACTGCCTCTCGGCGACGTCCTCCGGCGGCACCAACATGGTGGACGCGCTCGCGCTGGCCAAGGACTCCCTAGACCTGGCCCGCGAGGCGCAGAACGAGGCGACGGGCCACCCGCGGCGCGGGGCAGTCGTCATGCTCACCGACGGGTCCAACCAGCCCGACTATGGCGGTGACGAGCAGACCATCGCACAGGCTGGCCAGCTCAAGGCCGCCGGCTACCTCGTCGTCGCCGCCGGCTTTGGCGAGGCTGACGCGATTGTCCTGGGCGCGATGGCCTCGCGTCCGCTAGAGGGGCATGCCTTTGTCGAGGCAAGCGCGGTCAGACCCCCCCCCCTAGCAGCAGAGCTCTGCCTGTGAGGGGTGCTGGCATCTCTGTACAGACAGCAGCTGTAAGTAGCATGTGTTCCAGTGGCGAGAATTTATAGTCGGCACCAAAATCAGTGGTCTCACCGGCGGGCCCTCCTACTGCCAGCCGGGCGGTGCGGGGCACGCCAGCCTCTCTTCTACGCCTCTCGTGCCTCGCGGCGCCTCTGCTTCAAGGAGGGAAGATACGGCTCTCGCAGCTGTGGCACAGCGGAGAGCACAGCGGGCGGTACAAGTCCATCAGATATGGTTCCCTATCTTCGCATGCTCGTTGTTGGTGATATCCGCGCGAGGTCATACGCCACAGGCCAGCAATCACTCGGCGATGAGACTACTGATTTGGCGCGACGCTCTGACACCGAGTGTTGCTCGACGCTGCGACACCGCCGAGTACCGCGTGCAGCGCTCAACCTCGCGGAGTACACCTCTCGCTATCATCCCGCTTCGCGGCGGTCGGGCTGCTTGATTTGTCGGAAGACACCCACATCTCTGCTGCTGGAGGAGAGCTTCCGATAATCATAGTGGGTTCGCGATGGACCAGCCAGGGGGGCGGCGGCGGCGAAGAGGCGGGAGCTGGGTCCAGTGCGCTCTGCTGCTGGGGGGGGGACCCCCCCCCCCAGCAGCAGAGCTCTGCTGCTGGGGGGGTCCGGACCCCCCCCCGTCCGATGGCCGTACTGGCCGTGCATGGTCGTCGGAGCGTGTGAGGCAGCGACTGGAGAACGAACGCGCGATGCGACAGGCGTGGCCTAGCAAATTTTCCGGATTTCTCTGAACCTTCTCGGAACCTCCCCATAGGCTGCCACAAGGCGTGTCGACCGTGGTCTCGACCGCGCCTGCTCAATCTGCGCGGAGGGCTGGAGCCTCGCTGCCATCTACGTGACGCCGCGGCCCGCGCAGGGAAGGGAGCGAGAGGCGGGGCGGACTCGTCCGGCGCAGCGGCGCGAGGGCGCGAGGGCGGCACCGTGTTTTGCCGCTCACGGTCGGTGCGGGGGGATGAGAGTGGTGCGCACACGCGCCACAACGGGCGCTTTTTTGAAGGATGGGGCGAACGAGCCGGTGCCGCAGCGTCCTTTAGGGGCTCACATGTTGTCGATTGCAGTGTGTAAGAAAGGAGAACGGGAACCAAATGCAATGAATCAGGGAGATACTAACACCCCAGAGAGATGAGAACACAGACTCAGACACAGACGACGCCGTGTCCGATTGCGGTGCACCACATCGTACTCTCTACAAAGACAAAGAACGTCGCCCCAGCATCCATGCGCAAGGCAGACTGTCATCGAATCCCCGCTGTGACATCCCTCAGCAATGCGGTGAATGCAAACACCTCTGACGGCGGAGCCTGTCGAACGGTGTCGTAGATAGCGGCTAGCCTCACAATGTACCCGACTGAGTGCGGTCTTCCGTCGTCGTCGCCCAGGTATTTACCATACGTGGCAACCGAATGCTTTGGGTAGCCCTCCGCTATGGCGTAGGGGTGCACGCCCGCCGTAAACTCATCCGCCATCTTTTGAGCAGCGTTTTGTAGCCTCCACTTCTCATCGTTGTAGAGCAACCACAGTTGCGACGGGAAGGACGGGGGGGCGGGCTCAGCTGTACCCGATGGCACAGCCTTGGTGCCAGAGCTCGTGGCGTCGCCGGCACTGACATACTCAATCTCACCCGTGCTCTTCAAGATGGGTATATCACCAGCACCGGGACCAGTGCCAGTGCCAGAACCATGTGCCGTTGTGTAGTCCGCCGCCTTCCTCCGAGCCTTCTCCATGTACTCCTCGGACGGCGGCTTCAGCGACTTCAGATTCCGCGCTGGCATGCCCACCGGCGCTCCGACGTACGACGTTGGCATTGTTGATTGGACAGGGCGACGCTCTCTTGCTGTGTGGTGCCCCTGCGTGCTGACAGACCGCCGTTGTGGCGAAAGTAAAAGTCGTCGTTACGGTTCAACGCGCGCCCCCGCGCTCGCGTGTCACCATAACGGCGAGCCCACGTTTCGATGGCCGGCCCGATACATGGCGCCGGCACTTTCGCCGTAGCCATAGTGGCCCGCGGCTCTGCAGCTCCAACCGAGCGCCCTCTCGACTCAAGAACGGAGACCGGCACCGTTACGTCACCGCCCATGGACTGGTGCCAACTCAGAGAGGTGCTCTACACGGTCTTCAGCCGTAACTGCTGGCAGGCTCAAAATGATACCCTGCACGGGCTGTTGCAGCAGCATACCGCCAACGCGACGGCGCACGATAGCGGACTCCCGGCCTCCTCCTCTGATGGCTGTGCGCTGGTCGCCACGCTGCTCGTCGGGGCAGGACTCTTTGTCCTTCCGCTCACGCCGTCGAGCAGCAGCTTGACGAGTGTGGCTGTCACGACCTTCGCGGTTCTCAGTGGCGCGCTGGCCGCCGTCACCTGGCTCCGAGGCGGCGGCGACGACTTCATTCTTAATGGGGAGGGCCTGCTTGAGCAGAGTGCCGGCGCACAGCCGTCAGACCCGTGCCTGTACGGGGTCGGCCTGATCACCATGAGCGGCGCGCTGCTCGGTATCATGACCAGGCACGCAGAATGATTAGCTGCGGCGCTCGCCATGAGTAGACTGAGCCACGCGCCCCACTCGCAGCCACGTGCCCGAGTTGGGCTTCTTTGTGCTCGGGGCGGCGCTGGCAGGCTGCGTGGCGCAGCACCTCGCGACGGAGGAGCAGGCGGACAGAGGCGCGGCGGCTGCCGCAGCTGTGGCAGGCGGCCTGGCCTTTGCCACGCTCGGGCCGGGGGCCGTCGCCGAGGCGCTGAGCTTGCTGGGCGCCGCGTTGCTAGTGGGGTCCGCCCTGCGCGCCGGTGAACTCGCATCGCACGGCAGCCGCTCGGTCCTCGAGGCAGCAGGCGAGGGCTACTTTGGCGCCTTGGTCCTCGCGCTGATCGTCGCCCGGCACGGCGCTGAGAGACGGCGGCGAAATCGGACAAACAAGGGGCGGGCGGGGAAGGGGGCTAGCCAGGGGCGGAGGCCCTCTGCATCGTTGCACTAAGAGAATAGTCCCCACAATCGCTGTCGTGGGATCACTTGTGTCATGACAGAATACAAAAAGAGTTGTTGGAGAAATAGAACGAAAAGAAAATCCCGGCCCACTGGCGCACGGCGCCATCACGACACAAAATGAGACTCGCGACCGTCTGGGGCTCAGGCACCGCCGTTGGAAAGACGCTGGTGTCCGCCGGCCTGATGCGTGCCGCTGCGGCTCGCAGCCTGCCGTCGCTTTTCCTCAAGCCCGTGCAGACTGGCGTGCCTGACTCTGATGGCGCCTTTGTGGCGAGAGCAGCCGGCTGTCAGCACGTGGTGGGTGAGCATGCCGCCGCGGCCGGGCTGAGCACGAGCGGACCGTCGCCGTCCGCCGCCTCTGCCACGCCGCCGCCTCAGCGCGCCCTGACACTCTTTGCCTGGCGGCCAGCTGTCTCGCCGCACGTCGCAGTCGAGAGGGAGGGCCGAGGCGTGAGCGACGCGGAGCTTCGCCGCGCCACCGTGGCGGAGATTGACCGCTTTGCAGCCGCTCTCGCCGCGTCTCCTATGGCGGACGGCCTACCAGACGCGCCGCGCCCGTCTCGAGACGGGAGATCACGCGAGATGACACGAGATGACCGAGATTGCCCGAGACATAGGCGCTCGCGCTAGTCGAGACGGCGGGAGGCGTCGCGAGCCCGTCGCCGAGCCGCAGCCTGCAGTGTGATGCACTGCCGACGGCGCTGCCGACGGCGAAGCTCGCAGAGGCGCCGCGCGCCACCGAGACGCCGCTGCCCGCCCTCCTCGTCGGCGACGCTGCCCTCGGAGGCATCTCCGCGACCGTCTGCGCCGCCGAGCTCCTTCGCAGCCGCGGTCATGCGCTGCACGAGGTTCGTGCTTCGGCCCGTGCCCTGCCTCCGAGCCGAGATCACCCGATGCCGCCCGACCCCCCCCCGAGATGGTTCGAGTTCGCCACAGGTGGTTCTCTTCGAGCCGGGCGGCGGCGGCGGGCTCGGCAACGCAGAGGCGATCGGCGCCGCGCTCGGCGTGCGGGTCCGGTCCCTGCCTGCGCCGCCTCCGCTGCCCGAGCCGCTGGACGGGTGGTGGGAGGAGGTCGGCGCCCACTTCGCCGAGCTGCTCGACGGCCTTCCGCGCGCGTGCACGCCGCTGCCCGCCCAGCCGAGGCTGGCGGCGGCGAGCAGCAGCGGAGCGGGGGCGAGCAGCAGCGGAGCGGGGGCGGGCCTTGGCGGCGGCGGCGGCGAGCGGGAGAGCACCGCCAGCGTGCTGCAGAAGGACGCGCGGCGGTTGTGGCACCCGTACACGAGCGCCACGAGGCCGGTGCCGTGCCTTGCGGTCTCTCGCGCGGCGCCCTCTCGCAGGTCGAGCTGGAGACGCAGGCGCGGGGCGCAGCTGGGTTGACACGGCCCTGCCCCAGCTAGGCGGGCGTGACGCTCACCCTCGAGGGCGGAGAGCAGCTGGTGGACGGGATGTCGTCGTGGTGGTGCGCGGTGCACGGGCCCGGCGCCCTAGATGCCACCCCAGATGTGTCTCCCTTCAGGCACTCCCTGTGGTGGTGCGCACCACCGCACCCCCACCACACGCTCCATTGCTTCGCGCTCTGGTCAGTGTCTGCGTGGGGCTTGTCTCCCCACCCCGCGTGCGCGCACCGCAGCTACGCCGTCCCGGAGCTCGATGCGGCGGCGGTCGACCAGATCGGGTCGATGTCGCACGTGATGTTTGGAGGGCTGACGCACCGGCCGGCGGCGCGCAGACACGCGACGGCGCAGGAGCTGCCGGCGCGCGACGGAGGCGCCGAGAGGAGAGGGCGGCTGCGGGTAGGTGCGGCTGGCCGAGCTGCTCGTCGAGGCGACGCCGCAGCCGCTGCAGCGCGTCTTCCTCGCCGACTCGGGCTCGGTCTCTGTCGAGGTTGCGACCACGGCGCTGAGAGGACGCGCTCTTGTTGCAGTGTCGCTCACCGGCCCAAGGATGAGTGTGAAAGGTGGCGATCAAGATGGCGCTGCAGTACTGGCGCGCGCAGGGCGTGGAGGGCCGCTCCCGCCTCCTCACCGTGCGCGGCGGCTACCACGGCGACACGTTTGGCGCGATGGGCGTCTGCGACCCGGTCCACGGGATGCACGCGGAGATGTTCGGCGGCGCGCGGGTAGAGGGAGAGATAGACAGCGACGCAGAGCAGGAACGCTCCTGGGTTGATGATTGGCGACAGCGACGCCTCCCTCGCTCCCCCAGGCGTGCTCGCGAAGCACCTCTTCGCCCCCCGCCCCGCGCCGCGCTTCGGCGAGGCGTGCGGCGAGGAGGACGTGGCCGGCCTGCGCTCGCTGCTCGCGCAGCACTCGCACGAGGCAGCGGCCGCCCTCGCACCAGCGCTGTGCCCCGGCGCCTCCTCACGCCTCCGGCGCTGAGCAGGTTGCTGCCCTCATCCTCGAGCCGATCGTGCAGGGCGCGGGCGGGATGCACTTTTACTCTGCCGAGTACCTGAGGCGGGTGCGGCAGCTGTGCGACGAGCACAACGTGCTGCTCATCCTCGACTGCATCGCGACTGGCTTCGGCCGCACCGGCGCTCGCTCCCTCCCTCTCTCTCCACGCTGCCCCCTCGGCGCCCCTCCCGGCGCGCACCCGAGGCAAGGCCACCGGGACTAGGCGCTCTCTTCGCGTGCGACCACGCCGCCATCTCTCCCGACATCATGTGCGTCGGAAAGGCGCTCACCGGAGGGTACATGACCCTCGGCGCCACCCTCGCCACCGACGAGGTACCCGGAGGGGGGCGGCATCAGCCGGCGTGCGCGGAGCGACGCCCCTCACACCCCCCCCCCCCCCGGGTGGCTCCGGCCAGGTGGCGGAGGGGGCATCGGGCGGCGAGGGCGCGGAGAGGCCGGTGCCGCTGATGCACGGCCCAACCTTCATGGCCAACCCGCTCGCGTGCCGCGTCGCGAGCGCGTCGGTGCAGCTGCTGCTCGACTCGCCGTGGCAGTCTCGCGTCGGCGCCATCGCGCAGCAGCTCGAGGCGGAGCTGCGCCCGCTCGCCTCCTCGCCCGCCGTGCGAGGCGTGCGCGTGCTCGGCGCGATCGGCGCGGTCGAGGCGGAGGCGCCGCCGCACCCGCCGGCCCTGCCTAGGACCTGCCCCCGCCCTGTCCTAGGCGTGGTCGAGATGGAGGAGCCGCTGCACTTGCCGTCGGTGCAGGCCCTCCTCGTGCGGCGCGGCGTCTGGCTGCGCCCCTTTGGCCGCATGCTCTACACCATGCCGCCGTTCGTTGTCTCCGAGGCCGAGCTGCGCCGCATCACGGGCGGGATGCGGGCCGTCGTCGAGGCCACCGAGAGCGCGCTGCTCGAGAAGGGCGCGCGGCTCGAGTCTGAGGTGTGGAGGGAGAGCCAGAGTCACGCGGGCTGAGCGGCGCACAGCCAACCCGCGGAGTGTCTCACACACGCCATGCTGCATGCGGCCAACCCACGATACGTATGTTGGAGGCAGTACACAGACACGAGACAGCTGTGGGGCCCCTGCTCCGCGGAGAGCCAGGACGCCACTCGCCAGACGCGTCTGCCAGTGAGACCTCTCTCCACACTCCAGTCTCCGCTCCACGCGGACCTCCTTCCTCTCCGCGCACATACGACATACGACACACTGCACACAGGCGCGCACCCACAACACCTTCGAGTAAATAAAAAAACGGACACCTCAAGGAGATGGGTGTAAAAAGGAGAGAACAGGGGCCCCTCCGCTTCGAGTCGACCTTGCCGCGTGAGCTCCCCCGTGTCCGCTTTTCGCTTTCCGCGAGTACCGTGAGCGTTGTCCGTTGACACATCCTAGCTAAACGCGCGAGCGAGAGCGAGCGCCTGGCGAGCGCGAGAGAACACGACGATTATAACCATCCATGGGACATGAGAGGGAACAAACAAAGAAGTGGCAAGAAATCAGGAGAGTTCTCCTCCGCCGCACACGAGACGGGCGGAGAGAGTGAGTCACGGGTTCGGCGCTCAGAAATCTTGTGAGCGCGACCGATGTCTGTGTAACCGGGCTTGCCACAGCAGGCTCGCGCGCGCCTCAGGCTCACTCTGCGGACGCGTCGGGAGCCGCCGCGACCGCCGCGCCGCCGTCCGAGGCCGCCTGTGCGGTGTCTTCCGCCTGCGAGGCGAACAGGCGGGGAGGCGGCGTCGGGCGCGTTGGGAGCGGGGGAGGGGAGATAAGGCGGGGCTGCGGGGCTTCCGCAACGAGCGGCGGGGAGCGGCGAGGGCAAAGGAGGGAGCGCATTGTCGGGGCCGGCGGGACGGGGGCGTTGCGCGCGCGCCTTGCCCTGGCGCGCGGGCGGCTTCGACCCCCCCTTGGGGCGCCCGCCGCCCAGCCCCTTGTCGTTCCTGCGCGGCCGCCCGTTGTTGGCGCGGTGCGTCTTGCCGTCGCGGCCGCCGCCTGCGCGGGGCGGCTTGTCGCCGCCGTTCTCGCCATCCTTGGACTCCCGCGCGTCCGCGGCCGACTGCTCCTCGTCGGCGAGCGCCTCGGCCTCGGCGTCCGCGTCCTTGTTTGCGTTCCTGCCACGCGTGCGGCGGCGTGGCCGGGCCGGCCTGTCCGGGGGGAAGGAGACGTTGATGGCCGTGGGACGGCCGTTGTGCTCGCCGAGGTCGTAGTAGATGACATCGCCGTCGTCCACGAACGGCTGTTTGTTGCCCTCGTCCTTGGTCAGGTTGAGTGCGTGCACAAAGATGTCGTCGCCGCCGCCCTCGGGTGACGCAAATCCATAGCCCTTCTTGCGGTCGAACCACTTGATGGTCGCGGTGTTGGCCATGACGTTGGTGTGGTGTAGGCGCCTGCTAAGGGACAAGCTCCCGCGTTGGTGTGGTGGCGAGCGAGCAGCGAGGCCGGCGAGCGCACTGCTGATGGCACCTCTCTGCAGCTCGCCCGACACAACAGGGTTTGGGTGCGCGCCCGATTTCTTTTCCCTGAGCTCGGTTGTTTCTTTTTGCTTGTTTGTTTCTTGATTAGCCCCACCCTAGGGCCTCTTCTCACGAGCGGTAGTCGGCGTTGATGTCCACGTACTCGCGCGTGAGGTCGGACCCGATGACCGTGCTCGCCTCCCCGCCGGCGCCGAGGTCGATCTCCACCTCGACGAAGCGCTCGTGCGGCGGGAAGGGCGCGCTCTCCTGCTGCGCCTGCGCCGAGAGAGGGCGGTCCCGCGGTCGGGCTAACGGCCGGGGAGTGGGCGGGCCGTGGTGCCGCCAGCCGCCTGCCGCAGGTGCGCAGAGAGCGACGCCTCGCGCGTGGGGGAGAGGCGGAAGGAGCCTAGCGGGGACGAGCCGAGGAGGTTCGAGGGGCGGTGCTTTGGGGGTGGAGCGGGGCGCCGGGGCGAGGGGCGTGACGTGTCACCCCCCTCGAAGACGGTGTCGCCGCCGATGGCCATCGTGCACTGCCCGAGGTCGAGCTGCGGCGCAGCCCTGCCAAGGAAGGAACCGACGGCGCCGACGATGCGGCCCACGTTGGGGTCGTTGCCCGCGACGGCCGTCTTGACGAGCGGCGAGTTGACGACGGCCTGTTCACGCCACGCGCCGTGGAGAGACGCTGTTCACACCGGCTGGACGAGCGACTTGACGACACCTTGCCGACGCCGCGCGCCAGCTCCGCCGACGGAGCGCCTCGCACCGCCACCCGGAGCACGTGCCTGACAGGAGGGCTCCGAGAAGGATCCGAAGAGGCCCCCAACCCCTCCCCCCAGGCCCACACAGCCACGCGCGTCGTCCCCTCGCCGTTGCGCGCCACGTCTGCCGCCAGCTGGTCGCACACGCGCTTCAGCGCCGCCTCGAACTCCGCGAGCGCCTGTCCACGCGGCCAGCCGTGAAGAGACGGGGTGCCCTCCGCCCCACCTCGCCGTGGTGCGCGCGCCTCGTCCCGCTCTGCTGTTGGCGCGGGCAGCTCCACCCGTCCGCTCGAGAAGAGGACGAGCGAGTCGGAGGTCGACTGGTCGGCGTCGATGGACATGCAGTTGAAGGAGGCGTCCGCCGCCGCCGCGAGCATGCGCTGCAGCTCGGCGCGAGGCACGGCGACGTCGGTCAGCACGAAGGAGAGCATGGTGGCCTAGACAGCACACGCCACTCTCGGTGCGCAGCTCCTCCCGGGAGCGCGAGGAGAGCACCGCAAGGCCATGTCGGGCTCAATCATGCCCGCTCCCTTGGCCGTGCCGACGATGGAGCCCCCGGCGGCGGAGGCGCGGCGGAGCTTGGGGTACCGGTCCGTCGTCATGATGGCGCGCGCCGCGGGCAGCATGCTCTCCCGCTGCAGCTCCGCCGCCGCTGCGGGAACCGCCTCTGCCATCTCGCCGACCGGCAGCCGCCAGCCGATCACTCCTGCTCACAGCGAGACGGTGGGGAGAGTTCTGTTGTATCTCTGTTGTATCTCGGCTGCTCTCGGCTGCATCTCGGCTGCATCTCGGCTGCGTCTCGGCTGCATCTCGGCTGCGTCTCGGCTGCATCTCGGCTGCATCTCGGCTGCATCTCGGCTGGAGGTTGCCAGTCGAGGCAGGCAGCACAGACGAGGCGCCGCCGGGCAGCGAGAGCGCGTCGGCGGCGGCGGCGCAGACCGCCTCCGAGTCGCCCACGCCGTCGCTGCCGGAGCACACGTTCGAGATCTTGTTGTTAACGACGATGGCCTGCAGGTCACCGCCCGCCGCGAGCCGATTCCGGCCGACAGTCACCGGAGCGCCGCAAAAGGCATTCTTGGTGAAGACGGCGGCCCAGCTGCTGGAGGGAGCGTCGGCGACGATGAGTGTCAGGTTCATCGTGGCTCGCGTTCCCTCGGCCGCCTCGGCGGGAGAGAAGCGGAAGCCGGCCGTGCCCACTTGGAAGCCAGACGGGAGCGTAGCCTCCGCCGCGAGTGCCTGCTCATATTCGCTGGTCGACGAGAAGGAGCGCATCTGTGCCGTGGTGGCACGCCCGGTGGCAATGCGGCGGGTGCCAACCAGGCTGGTGAGAGCGGAGGCGAGCCAGAGCACCATTTGTGTCGGAGTGGGAGAGTGAGAGGGCTGTCCGGCGCCGGCGTTTTCTTTTTCTATTTTTCTTGAGGGAAATAAAGAACTCGCCGGGTCCGCGCGCGCGCCCGCAGCGCACCACACTCAACAGCGCCGTGAAGATCAAGAGGCCTATGACAGCCGCGGGTCGACCCGCCAATCGCTCCGCCCCTCGTCAGTCGTCACGCAATGCCGCCGGCTCCCGCCTTGATATCCGTCCCCTGCCCGACCGGCCGTAGCTCGTAGACCGCCTGTCCACAGCCGAGATCGTGAATTCGCCCGCCCTGTCTCCACCGCCACCATCGACGACACCGCCCTCGCCCCCACTGCCCCCGCCCCACCCTCCAAACCACCACCATCGCAGCGGATCACTCCCCACCAGCGACCTCCCCGCCGCACTCGCCCGCCCCCGCCGCCGCCGCCCCGCCGCTGTTTCACGGCTCGCCTGCACGGCTTTGCGCTGGTGGTCGGTGCCGATGCCCTTGAGGCCGATGTAGTAGATGGTGGTCTCGTCGGCGCCGTAGTTGTCCACCACGAGCAAGTGGAGCCTCGACACGTTCTGAAAGCGCGAGAACTGCGTCGGGTACTCTATCCGCCCCTCCGCGTCGCCCTCCTGCAGCTGCCAGGTCTGCACCGCCATCATCCGGTCCGCGTCGTCAAAGTCGAGCGCCTCCTGGTTGATGTATGCGCGCAGTTCGCGCGGTGCGCTGCCGTCCGCCCCGCCGATCACCGTCAGGGACTGGATCTTGACTGGAGACGTGAACGGGATCGTGATGAGCAGCTGCGGGTCATCGTCCTCCGACTGCAGCCACGCGTCGCGCTGCAGCCTCTGGTCAAACGGCCGGAAGATGCGCCTGCACGCGCCCGCCTCCGACTCGTTGAGCGCGCTCACGCCGGCCGTGTCGATGTACGGCAGAAGGTCGTTGGTCGGCCCGTCGTACTGGTCGGCGTGTATCTGGCCGCACTGGCATCGGAACGGTCCAGAGTGGGCCATGTGTGGCGCGATGGCACCCCGTGCCACCGCCGAGCGATGAGGCGCCTTTTTATGGGCAGTTGCGGCTGCAGAGCCAGTCGCTCCTGTCGGCGCGGCAAAAAAGAATTTTGAAAACCTCGCACAACGATAGGCGCGCACTGGCACTAACACAGGTACACTGTGCAAAAAAGAATTTCCTAAACCGAGAAAATACACTTTTTCGAGAGTGCAGCGGCACCGAATACTCGACAAGGTAGAGAGGTGCTAGGAGTGGAGCTGCTGGGCCGAGCGTGCGGAGTGGAGCGTGTGCTGCGGCCACGGCAAAGATAGGGAGAGACAGGAGGCGAGGTAGCTTGGTGCCGAGGGGCGACCTGGCTGTGGCCACGGACAGGCACACGGCCCGGCGGCGTGTCACCGCCCGAGCGCCACGCTCACATTCTCCTGTCTGTACGCGACGGTGAGGTTGGTCAGGTTGCCCGTGCGCAGCGTGATGTTGGCGCGCAGCGAGACGGCGACGGACCCAAACGCGAGGCGGCCCAGCAGCGCCTGACAACCCGCCAGTTTTTGATGAGGGGCCAGCTCACGAGGACACCAGTTGGCGAGGGACGGCCGAGCGGCGCCTGGAGCTTGGCGATCGGCGCGTCGAGCTCGACGGGAAAGCGCCTGTTCGCAGCGCGGAGCGTGAGACGACGCTGCTCCCGCTCGCTCGAGCTCGACGGGGGAGGGCGCCGGTCGACGACGCCACTCCAGAGCGGCGGCAGCAGCACCGGCGGCAGCAGCTGCGGGACGACGACGCTCGCGATGGCCTCGCCCTCGTACTCGACGGAGGCGGAGAGGCCGAGCACGGCGAGGGTGACCTACGCGTGTGAGCGGCGCCGCTCACACGCGCCGCACTGTGCAGAGGCTGACGAGGCGCGGCACGGCGACGTTGAACGGGTTGGTCACGTCCAAGCGCGCGGCGTCGTGCAGCGAGTTGCCCCAGATGGGCCGACCCGCGAGCTCGAATAGGTTCGCTGCCGGGTCGAGCAGGAGCGAGACGCGGTTGAAGATGCGCGCGCCGCCGCCCGGAAGGCCCGGAAGGTCGGCGGGGACGGTGAGGCCGCCGAGGGCGGAGTCATAGAGGGCGGTGGAGACGCGCGCGAAGGAGGGCTCGAGCGGCGTCGGCTTGCCAGCGAGGAGCTTCTCGAGGGCGCCGGAGAAGGCGCGCCTGCTCACAGCGATGGGTGTGAGGAGACGCCGCTCACCCGCACCCTTGTGCGCCCGAGAAGGCGAGCCGGTTGGCATCGCTCTGGCCGACGTTGATGGTGCCGGTGAGCATGATGGTGGAGTTGCCGTGGGGCAGCCCGATGGGGGCGACCGTGGTGCAGCGCGCGAAGGGCTGGAGGTCGGCCGACTGGATGAGCATCTCGACCGAGCCGAGCGGCAGGAAGGCGAAGCTCGACGGGTTGTGGATCGCCACCTGTGGTTGGCCGCGCCGGGGTGAGAGCCGCTCGGGCGTGGCCGCGGGGTCCGCCGCCACTACAGCCACTACTGCTGCTGTGCATCGCCACCTCGAGCTGCACGCTGAGCGGCCGCGAATCGGCGGAGCAGTCGACGCCCGCCACGCTCCCGGGCGGCGGCGGCAGCGGCAGCACGCCGCTCCTCTCCCCGCCGGCCGCCAGCTCGAGGCGCGCTGGCTGCGGCGGCTGTGCGCCTGGCGCGCAGCCGGGCGGCGGCGGCCCGTCGGTGAAGGAGAAGCTGTTGAAGACGACGTGTAGGCCATCCGCGCCGCGAATCGAGACGCGCTTCGACAGGCGGATCATCCGCACCGTGAAGACGGTGTCGAGCAAGGCGCCGAGCAGCGGCGTGCCGGCGAGCATGGCAGGGAGAGGGAGCGCGATGCTCACCTGGCCGGAGAGCTCGAGCTGCAGGGCGGGCTGGTGCAGCATTCTGTCAGCCAGGCGGCGGAAGGCGGCCTCGTCCCACACAAAGATGCGGCCGCCTAAAGTTCGGAAACGGGTCATCAGTCGGAAGGGTTCCTCCGAGCCGCCCGTGCCACACGGGAGATGCGGCCACCGAATGTGACCGGCTGCCGCCCGCCGTGCCCGAGAGGAAGCGCCGCCTCGGGACGGAGCGCCGCTAACGCGCGCCCGTCATGCACCACGTCGAGCTGCGGCGCCTGCAGGAAGGTGCCGAGAAGGCTCAGGGAAGGCTCTGAGCTGCTGCGCGCGACGCCGAGCTGCGGCGCCGTCAGCACGGGCACGACCGGCAGCCAGAGGGGGATGTGAAGGGTGCCGTCGACAACGGCGGCGGCGGAGTGCTGCCATGGCTCCCGCAGCGTAAAGTCCACGATGTCGAGCGTCGACACGTTGACCAGAGACTGCACCACCAGCCGGATGAGGCCGAGCAGCGCGAGGTAGCAAAATAGAGCCCAGCCCGCCCGCCGGAGCCACGGCCCGAGCGAGCGCCGCGACACGCCGGCGATGCCGCGCGGCGACAGATAGTGGAACTCGCCCTCATCCTTTGCGAATTGCTCGCTGCCCAGGTTCTCGTCGATGTCGCCGCTGTCGGACAGCCGCAGCTCCTGCTGGCTGTGCTCAAACTCGGTGGTCTGACGGATGATGGCGAGGCGCTCGAGGCCGACCCCGGAGCCGGAGAGGCTCATACGGCCGCTACCGAGGCTGGAGCGACGGCGGCCAATAACCGGCTCTATCATTGGCTTCCTTATCGAAGGGCTGCGCGCTTCAGCTGGCCCAAGCAAGGGATTAACAGCGCGCCAAACCAGCACAATCCTGCACAGACGACCAAGGGATAGGGTGGGCGACGGCTAGCACCACACTCCTATCCTCAAATCCCTGTGTGGTGGCGGCGTGCCGTGGTCCTCCCATCCCTAGGTAGGTAGGTAGGTAGAAAGGTGAAGAACAGCCAGGCTCGGACTGGACACCAACGCGGTAGGCTTCTCTCATGGGTGGACGCGAGACAGATGATGACGACACGCACGAGCGACACACAGACACAAACAAGCTCACAAGACACACAGCCAGCGTGGCTGCCACACACACACCCTGGAGTTGGCGTACACATAACTCAGGGCCACATTCTTCCTGTCGCCCCCCCCAGCACTCCAAGGTGCCAAGAGAAACAAACAAGGGCACAACATCCCTTCCTTGGGTTGTCTGTTTTCTTTCTTTCTTTCTTTCTTTCAAAATCCTGCAAAGGTGGGGACGTGTCTGTCCCCTCGACCCAGCCCTAGCTTGGGATAACGAATTTTCCCCCTTACTAGGCAACACACCTTCATTCCTTCTTCCCGTGAAATCCCTGTGTGGTGGCGCTGGCGGCGTGCCGAGTCGCGACTCGCGAGTGCCGTCCTCCCAGATGCCTCCTTTGGCGTGGTTTGTCTAATTTCTTTTCTTTCTTTCTTACACTAGGCACGGGACTGGCGCGCACTGGCACTAATATAGTCCCACGTTAACACAGGTACACCACTCTTTTTGAAGAAACGAGAACTAAGTCCTCTGCAGCATCGGCCGCTGAGCCTCGCGTGCCGACTCCAGCTCCATCTCGTCCTGTATGCTCCCCTGCATGCTCACCTCCCTGACCAGCGCTCGACTAGCCTCTGGGTCGCGCTCCGTCGGCCGAGCGGCCATCGAGTACGAGTAGACGGCGTAGCAGACCACACAGACGCCGCACCAGAGGGTGAGCGACGGCCGCAGGTTGAAGAAGATGGCCTACGTTGCGGGTACACCACCAGTCAGCGTAGTGCGGATGCAGCTGTGTGCAGCGTATTCGTCGCATGGCGTTGCTGATACAGCACCAAGGGTGGTGAACACGGTGCGAGAGGCAGCGGAGTGCGTGTCTTCTCGAGTGCGAAGTTGCAGAGGGGCGTGTGATCTGGGGAGGAGGCGCCGAGATGATGCAGAGGACGACGGCGGTGCAGTCGGTGGCGATGCACTTGAGGACCGCGTCCGCGTACTTGTACACGAGGTTGATCGCGATGCCGATGAGCGTGTTGCATGCGACGACCGCCACCGCGAGCGGGCTGTCGTACCCGTCGAAGAAGCCCAGCCCGGCTTGCGCGCTGCTCGGGTTGGACACGAGGAAGAAGGCGGTCACCTGCGGGGAGAGGAGGCCGAGGTGCAGCCGGGTGTGGCCGAGGCTGCAGTGGCAGGGAGACGGCGAGCGCGTCGAGCGAGGCCCCGTTGGCCCCGCGTACATCGCTCATCTCTCCCGGCTGTATCTCGGCCGTATCTCGGCTGTGTCTCGGCCATCTCACGTTGAGCGCAGCTCCGCTCGCGTACAGCACTGAGTTCTGCACGTTGAGTGCGATCCTGTAGTGCTTGACGATGTACTCGTTCCGGACTGTGCAGACTGCGGTGATGCCCACGCTGAAGGCCATCAGCCCGTACACGCGCAGTGGGTAGCGGCCATGGCCGCGGCAGGGGTCGTGCTGCACGATGATGATGCCAATCATCTGCAGCACCTGTGGTGCAACAACGGAGCTTGGTGGTGGGGCGGCCACCGGGGCGCTGGCCCACCGCCGTCTCTGCTGCACCATGGCGCGAATCTGCTCGCCGCTGAAGCGCCTGCCGACGCAGAGCATCTGGATGGCGGCGACGATGAGCGCGTTGGCCGCCTTGAAGAGGAATATCGTGCCGGGGTCCATCTGGATGGCGACGTAGAAGGCGAGCTGGTTGTTGAGCGTGTAGAGCGAGGCGAGCGAGAAGATGTGGAGGCACGCGCTCAAACTAAGCTGGCCAACCGCCGCCGCCCAAGCGCTGCTCCCATTCTCGCGGTGCGGATCGGCGACGTGGAGGGCGACAGTGATGGCGAGCTTTGATGTCTCGGCGATGGCGATGGCCGACATTGTCGAGAAGTGGAAGCCCCCTCCGTGCGCCTGAGCAACGCGGTAGAGAACCCCAACTGTGATCTGCACCGCCATCAGCCCGAGCACTGCGGAGACCTTGGTCTGCCATGCCGAGTCCGGCATGACAACGTCAGGCGCCAAGCGACCCCGAAAAGAATTTCCTGGTTTGCAAGCCTCCCTTGGGTTTCTGTTTTCTTTCTGTCTGTCTGCGAAAAGCACTGCCATCTACAGACTACACGTTGGTGTCCAGTCCGAGCCTGGCTGTTCTTCACCTTCCTACCTAACCTAACCCATCTATCTCAGATGAAGCCAACGAGCTTCGCGCTCGCAACCTCTCGTATCCTGCTCGCTGCCGTCCACACCGGCGGCGTCGGCCCTCCGTAGAAAACTCCCCTTGCGGATGCCTCGAAGTCCACCCGAATCTGACCGATAACCTCCCTGAGCAGCGCCGCGTAGAGCTCCATGTCGGCTGCCGTCAGGTGCCACGGACAGTCGTCGATGTTGTCGATGCACGCCGCCGCCCCGCTTGGCGTGCTATTGCGCCAGTGCGGCAGCAGCTGGAAGTAGCGCGCGGCGATGCCAAGGTATGAGAGGTGGTAGAGCGTATCGTCCCGCCGGCCGACCCACTCAATGACCGAGACACCTGTGCGTGTGTCACTGCTCGTAGATGCGCGTACCGGACATTTCATGGACCATCTCATGGGGCAGGTGCCTGTTTAAGAAGAGCGTGTGATGCGACCTCCACACCTCGATGGGCCAGCTCTTCGGGAAGGGCTGCCATCGCGAGCAAACGCGAGGCCCGAAAAGGCGCTGCCCTCCGGGCCGACGAACACGCGCGCACGGCTGTACGCCTGCGCCTGCCGCGCCAGGGTGTGGAAGCTGCGCACAACCTCGAGCTTCAGCAGCCCGGCGTTGCCCTGCCCCTTTGACCAAGCAGAGACGATCTCGCGCGTCCGACGGGTGAGCTCCGCCTCCTGAGTACAAGTGTAAGTAACTCAAGCGTGGTGCTTCAAGGGCTACACAAGGTTGACGACGGAATGCGGTCGCGCCAAAATGCTGGCGCTTAACTCACTTGTCTAATGTTGCTATGCAGTCTCGGGCGCTATGCAGCATCTAGGCTGCGGCTCGTTGTCAAAGCTGCGCACGCCTGGTCGGCTGAGGCCCTTCCTGGCCTGGGCGTCCCTCCGCTCTCTCTCGCCCGCGGACGGAAGCGGCCCTTTAGTGAGAGGCAGGGGGCGAGGGGTCGGGGACTGGCTCGGCGAGAGTGGAGGCGGCTCGGCGATGTACACACCTGAGCGAGACAGGAAGAGGACCGTTCTCGGCTGCGTGCTGCTGCGCGTGGCGGTCAGCGAGGGCCGCAGCGGCGGCCGCAGCGGGTGAAGTATGCCGGCCGGGAAGGCGTTGTCCAAGGGAGAGAAGGGCGGTCGCCCGACCAGCAGTCGGACCTCGGCGGCCTGGACTGGAGCATGCATGGAAAGGAGGATGCGAGACTCGGGAAGCACCTACGACGTGACTCTGAGCGATTGAGGTGGGAGCTCGACCGCCGTGAGCTTCGTTTGAAAAAGTGGCGCACCTGCTGCGCCAGTAGCTGAAAGAGGGCCGATGGCGCGAGGACCGTGGCGTTCGCATTCTCGCTCCTGAGCAGCTCCGGCAGCGCCAACGCCAGCAGTGGCAGCGTCTGAAGCAGCGTGTGCCCCGGGTTGTGCGAGAATTTCTGACGAAAGGTGTAGAGCGCGCCTTTGACGATCCGCGTGCAGGAGGGTGCCTTAGGAGCTGTGCCGTCGGCGCCAAAGCCGTCACCCTCCCACGGGCCCTCCAGGCCGACGTGCGAGTGCGCGAGGTTGAAGCGGTGCGTCGCGTTTATCACTAGGCCAGAGGCGAGCACGGTGGCGTCCGTAACTCGCAGCACGCAGTACTCGACGCCCGGGCTGCCTCGCTCGCACTGGCTCATGCGTGAGGTCGAGGTCCAGCGGCCTCTCCACATTGTGCCCGTCCGCCTGTCGCACTTTGGCGGCCAGGCTGCCGACAGACGCAGCGATCCGTTCACGAGCCGCGGTCGCCACATCACAGGGGCATCGGCTTCGGCGCTCGGGCCTCGCTGCCACTGGCCAGCAGGGCACACCGCAACAGGGTCGTCGATGACCGTGAGGGCACGGAGGTTTATGCCGCGGGCATCTCCACTACAGGAGAATGAGGACGCCATCTCGCACGGCACCACGCCGTAAGAGGCGTCGTCGGCGCGAATTAAGCCGAAACGAGCAGCACGAGACTCCGTCGTGGGGAGTCGAGCGGAGTGCGCGGCGCCCGTCGATGCCCGTCAACAAACACATTTCTTTTATTTTCAAGGTCTTTGAACAGAAAGAAAACGATGCGCCTGACTGTCTCTGATCACTAGGTTGCTTATGTGAAAAAGAAACCCGCGACGTTGTCGACATGTGAACCATACCTGTTGTGTTTTTGTGTGAACCATACGCTGTGAAGACACTTGTGCGTCTTGGGGCCGGGGTTGTGTTTTTGTGTCTTGGGGCCGGGGTTGTGTTTTTGTACCCTTTCTCGACTGTCTGAGCTTGTGCGTCTTGGGGCCGGGGTTGTGTTTTTGTGTGAACATGCGTGTCGCGCACTCGTTCATGACCGGTCTCAATGTCCCACCCCCTTGCGCGCGGGCCTTCTAGGCCCGCGGGTAGTCTCCCCCCATCCCCAGGGCCTCCAGGGCTCGCACCTCAACCTCTCACAGACCAGCGCATAGCGCCATACCAACTGGGAAGTTCACAGCTGAGCTTACCCAGAGAACTCCGTTCTCCGCCATTTTCTTCTCACAACAAGGCTGTGAAGACACTACCGCAGAGGCTTTTCAGTGATGTCGTTGCTCGCCGCCCCGACGCGTCAGGCGCTCCTCTCGTTACTGCCCGCGCTAACGCCTACCAATCGTCAATCCGCGGCCATCGCTTGCACCAGGCCAGAACCCTCGACCATCGCTAGCGCCGATGCCAGCTGCAGCAGGCCCGAGCTGCTGACCTCGTACGGCCAGTTGGTGGGATCGCTGGTCGACGAGGTCGCGCTCGCCACTGCGGGAGACACGGTCGAACTTGGCCTGTACCTGCTGGAGGGCGGCGACTCTAGCGCGCGCGTGCTCGATGCGCTGGAAACGGCCGGCGGGCGCGGCGTGCATGTCAGCTTCGTGCTTGACGTGTCATACGTGTCCGAGATCTCGCGGCTGATCGAGAGGACAGACACACTCATCCCTCGGGTTGCGGAGCTGGCGCGCCGCCACGACTGGTGCGACGTGACCTATCGGTCCAAGCCCGATCACGCAAAGTATGCGCTCTTCGCGCGGCGCGCCGGCGAGGCCGCCATCCTCGGGGGCATCAACCTCGGCGATCGGTTTGACGACTGGGAGGACTTTGCTGTGCGGCTGCCGCCGCCGCAAGCAGAGCGGCTCCGCCTCTCTCTGTGGGGTGGCCCGGAGCGGAAATCACCCACCGCCGCCGCCAGCGACCTTGGCGCTCGCCGCGCCGCCGCCTACGCCGGCCCCGTCGTCGCCGCCGCCACCCTCGCCGCCCTCGCCGCCACCACTGCCTTTGCCGCCACCGCCGCCTTCGCCGCCACCGCCGCCTTCGCCACCACCGCACTCACGACGACTGGCGGCGCTGCCATTTCCGCCAGCTCGCTGGCGCTGGCGGGCGGGCGGGCCGCGGGCAGCACGACGGCGCTCGGAGGTCCCTTCTCGCTGCTGTACGAGCTTCGCGTCCTCGTGCGCTCTCTCGTCTTCGATCGCAGGCGACGTCGCTTTCGAGAAGCTCCCACCGCCACACACCCGCGCGCCAGATGGCAGCTAGAGCCTCGCCGAGCATCGGCCAGGCACTGGCCGGACGTCCTCTGCCGAGCCCCTCCCGCCACCGTCCCTTGGCTCCCTGCCGCTCAGCAGCCCGACACCTGCCCGCAGCCTGCTGGGCGACCTCCTCTCGCCACTCCGCTCCTCGTGGCCGGACGGCGCAGAAGACGTCCTCGTCGGAGGCGAGTGCGATGTCGACGCCGGCGCATCGGGAGGAGGAGGCGGCGCGTGCGACGGCCGCTACTTGCCACGCGCGTCGCTGTCGCTCGCTCCGCCGGCCGTCGAGTTTGTGTGCAACCGGCGCGAGCAGGGCCGGCGCGAGATTAGCGGAGAGACGAGAGGAGCCGTCGCGTTGGTCGGCGCTGGAGCCCTCCACGGCCACACCTCGCCCACTCCCCAGCCACCCTCCATCTCGCCCACACCTCGCCCACACCTCGCACCTCACCCACACCTCGCCCACACCTCGCCCACACCTCGCCCACACCTCGCACCTCGCCCACACCTCGCCGCCCGCACCTCACCCACACCTCGCCCACACCTCGCCCACACCTCGCACCTCGCCCACACCTCGCCGCCCGCACCTCACCCGCCCCTCGGCTGCCCTCGCAGGCACGAGATCGAGCCAACCTTCCGCGCGCTCTTCGGCGACACCCGCTTCGGCCGCTACCGCGTCGCGATGGCGTACCTCGGCCACCGGTGGGGCGTCGAGCTGCTCGAGTTTGCGCGGCGTCCTAGATGCGGATCACACGCCTCTCTTCAAACTCGCCCTCGAGAAGACACGCACTCCGCTGCCTTGCATCGTATTCACCACCCTGGGCGCTGTATCAGCAGCGCCATGCGACGAATACGCTGCACAACGGCTTCGCACCCGGACTTGTTTGTGTTGTTTTTGACTTTGGTGTACTCGCAACACGCGTAGGCGCTGCGGCGCGGCGCGGTCGTCGAGCTGTTGCTGCCTGAGTGCGCGAACGTCTACGCGCACGAAAACCGGAAGGCGGCGCAGGCGCTTCTCGACGGAGGCTGGCCCACGCTGCGGCTTTTCCTCTCGCCAGTGATGGTGCATGCAAAGGCGACTCTCGCGTTGCGCGGCGACGGCGCGGGCGGCGACGGCGCGGGCGGCGACGGCGCGGGCGGGTACGGTGGCAGCAGCAGTTCCACGCAGGGCGACCTCGCGTTCCTCGGCTCGGCGAACCTCGTGCGCGGCTCGATGAACTTGCCGGTCCACCAGGGGTTGCTGCCGTACGATGAGCTCAACGTGCTCGTGGCCGACGCCGAGTTCTGCGCGACGCTCGACTCTGCGCTCGACAAGCTCTTTGCGCGCGCACGGCCGATCGCGCCGGGTCACGACTTGCTCGCGGAGCCGGGGTGGAGCGACCCGAAGGGCCGCGCCTACTCGGACGCAAGAGCGCAATGGGAGGAGCTATGGCAGTGACGAGCCAAATAAATAAAAATAAAATAAAACCGTCAAACTCTGAGACGAGATGGGATTAGTGACGAGAGCCAAGGCTGCGCCTGCGGCGTGCGGGTGCCCGCTGTTTTACGTTTAGCTTGAACCGTTCTTTCTGAGAAGCCTTGTGCACCCCGCGCTGGTGGATGCTTTCACGTTGCAGACTTGCGTCCGCGACGCCGGCCGGACGGTCTCGTCGGCTCGCGGGGAGGGGTAGCCACGTATAGGGTATTATAGCACGAGATACGAGCCGCAGAGCACGGATGGCGCGCAGCACAGACGGCCGTTATTCCTGGACGCGTATCTAACCTCCCCTGGGCTCTTTGATAGGGCAATCTCATAAACACCCACTTATTTGACACACGACTGAAGGCCGACCCCTATGTGACTCCTATAACATCGCTGGGTGGGCCAACCTCCTTCCCCGTGAGACCAACATGTAAGCGATGAGGGCGCTGGTGCTGCAAACGTAGATGGCAGTGCGGGTCAGAGTCGTATGCGCCGCCGCGTCAAGACTTGCTCCAATCAGCCTCTGAAGCAAAGACGAAAGAGCCTTCTTCTCGGAGTATTTGGTCGGCTCAAAGCGCAGGCTGGTGGCGAATAGAGACTGCGTCGGGTCCAACAAGGCGTCGAGCACCCACCAAGCGACCAGCCTCTACGACGGTTCAGCGGCTGCAGGCGTCATGCGACGCGCGGCGCAACCGATGATGCGCAAGTATCGGTTGCGCACTGACGAGGCGGAGCGGTCGCAATCCATCTTGATGGCGATCTGGGCAGGTGCAAGGAGAGGCAGGTGATAGGAGGATAGTTGGCTAACGTAGAAGGCAGAACTACACGCCGACGCGGGACATCGAGCAAGTGGTACAACCAACACGCTAACTAAGCGCAATGTTCAAACCGACCTCTGTCGAGCCTGAGCTCAGGCAGGGGCTGTAAGGTAGTGAAAGACCTTCCCTGGGTCTGATTCTCACACCCTCACTGTCGTCGCATGCGAGGTTCTTGTTTCTTATCACCCTACTGTGAATCTACAAGGCCCGCGGGTAGTCTCCCCCCATTCCCAGGGCCTCCAGGGCTCGCACCTCAACCTCTCACAGACCAGCGCACAGCGCCATTTGACGTATTTTCTTCTCAATAACAAGGCTGTGAAACCACAGGAAGATCCGCGAAAAGGCCACGGACGTCCCCGCGTCATCTCCTCGTCGCTGTCACATCTGAATCTCGTCGCTGATATGGCCTCTGTTGAGTTGACGCTGTACCGCTCGCTGTGCCGTGGCCTACGAGAGCTGAGGATGCGCCCACGTCTGTGGACAGCCATTTACAATGGTGTCGTCAGGAGGACAAAACGCTCGCAGGCGCAATGACTCTGGGCACACGCTCCATGTGCAAATGACACACGTCTTTCCAACTCACGTGCAGCCCTACTATCTCCCCCCCCCCCCCCAGGCTGCCGCCAGCTTCCAAGGCCAGGTGCTCTGTGTTGACGTCGCGGCTCTATTCCGCGGCCTCGATGATAGTGCCAACATCGAGGCTGCGCTCGCCTCGCTCGCCATGCCGGAGCTCGACTTGCGCCGTACCCTCATCCGCGCGGAAAAATTGAGGCGGCAGCATGAGGTCGATAAGGCCTTTGTCGCGCTGAGGCGGCTGCAAGAGCTCAACGACACGCTTGGTCGCCTCGAGGAGAGCGGCGCCTTTGCTCCAATGCGCCGCGCGCCAGAGATTCGCTTCTTGATTGGGCAGAGCCTACGACACCAACGGCTGGGCCCATGCGTGGCGTATGGGTGGGATCACACCTGCGAGGCGGAGTTTCCGAGAGACAGCCGAGGTACATCGGGATAGTCTATGCGCGCTGATGGCGAACCTCCTCAATGTGCCTAGGCGAAGCAGCCTCCTTCGGCGGCAGCGCTGCTGCGAATTGGCGCACCTCACCACCCACCACAATCGGAGCTGGCCTAAACCAAGTCTGCCTCAAGCCCTTCCTGTGAGCAGGGGGTCCCCTCGGCATCGTCGACAATCGAACGGCTTTTGTCGGCGTTGACAATGGCGTTATAGCGCAGGTTGGGCGCCCGCCGACCCTGAGCCTCGGCCTTGCCTGCCCTATGAGGGACTTGCCTTATCCCTGGCAGCCCTTCTACCGCGTTTTGCTGGAGGATGGCAAGGCGCACTACGCGGCGCAGGAGTTGCTCGAGCCTGCGACGGAGGGGTGAGATGGTAATCGAGATACACAGCGCTGGAGAGACCTGCTGGCAGGGCTGACACCTGAGTGCAATGTGTGCCGACGCAGAGGAACTGTGCGAGAGCTCTATGCATCACGGCTCTGCGCCGTGCCCGCACTAGGCGCCCCATAAGGGGAACTTCCTTTTTCTTTGTGAGCGCCGAGGGGGGCCGACTGGTGCCTCGGAAGGAGCTTGCACAGAGATACCCCGAGCTCTAACGAGCATCGCGAGCTGCCTGATCTCCAACTTCCTCCGAGCGTTTGCTCGTACAATGGCTGTTGAGGGTGCCTCGCAACCCCTCAACAATGGCTGTTGAGGGTGCCGCACCCCCTCAACAGCCACACATGCCCCCCGTCGGCTCAAAGCCAAGCGGCGGGCCACGAGTCACGCTCTCTCGCGGTGTGATTTAGCACGTGGCGCTCCGCGAATCAGACGCGGCCTCGTCATGACAACAGCACTTCTCTGTCGATAGGCTCGATGACAAGGGTATTGGCTTCCCCACATCAACCACACTTATGCGCTGAGAATATATGTGAGTCAGAGCACCTCCGTCAGCGCGCAGTTGATAACCGCCGGACTACCCTCGTTGCAGCCGCATCTCCGGTTCGATCGCCATCCCGTCCACGTCTCGATCGGCACGCAGCCGGTGAAAAGCTGGCAGCGGCACATGCGCTGCTTCTGCACGCGGCAGGGGCACCTGTGGGTGGGGAGGCAAGAATGCGTGTTGGTGTGAGAGTGTGTGAGGAGAGAGATGTAAATAGTGTGACTAGACCATGGTCGAAGACGTACGTGAAGTAATTGCTAAGTTAATTGTCACTTCCGGCCGACCTGTGGTCCATGCATTCCTTGTCCATGAGCACCAGCTCGTGTGCCGGCACCTTTTTCATCCGCAGGGTGAAGCGGGGGAACGTGGTTGGGCCAGGGCCACACAGAGTCAACGCGGGGCGCGAATGCGAAGGTGGCAAGGGTCAGAGGCACACCGTCGTTCCGAGTTCCTCAAAGCCCGAGGTGTATCCATTCGAGGCGAGGATCTCAAATGACGTGTACCCGCGCCGCGCCGCTAAGCGTGGCAGATCGCCTGCAGCGTGACATGCATCGATCAGTGCAGCACGGCTCTCCCGCAGACCGCCTCTGCTGTTGAGGAATCACCGTCCCCTCGATGGCCGCGCATGGCGTGGCCCGTCCACGCAGAGACAGCCCTGCTCGCAGCGCGGCGATTTGTCCAGCTCAGCAGCGTCCGCCTGCAGGGCGAGGAGAGGGGCCAGCTCATAAATCTCGGAACCATCCCGGGCAGAGCTGAGACATAATGCGCTACCTGTCGCGGCGCAAGAAGACGCCCGTGCCGACTGCAGGGTGGAACCAGCAGCCATAGTCTCTATACCCTTCCCCAGGGAAGGCAGTCCGCGAAACCTCGATCCAAGCGGCGTCACTGGACGAGTCGACTGCGCGTGGCACTGCAGAAAAAGGGAAACTGTGCTGTGGTCCAAACTCTCGGCCCTGTGGCCGCCGCTCCTGAATCGGTCGCTGCAGGATCACGATATGTCCAAATGCAGACTTTGCGGAGCCGTTCTGCGGCGGGACGCGCACGTAGGAACGCCCAACAGCGAAGGCTCGCGCTGCAGCATCCGTGGGTGGCGGTGCGGGAAGCCACGCTACGCAGACTGCTTTGCGACAGGCCCGCTTCTGATCCACGTCCAGAGAGATGTTCGCTCTGCGCCACCGTCGGTGCCACCGTCGCTCAGTACGCAGCGACAGGTGCGCCGTCTTGGTACACGCGGGCACGGGCAAAAGCGCGGGGTAAAATGCCTCTAGGATCGACAGGCTCAGCGGCAGCGGCAACGCCCGCGTTCGGTACACTGTGCAAAGATAGTCGTACCACGGTGAGCTAGGTTCGCTGATGACTTTGGGCATCCGTAGCATGAAGGCGGCGAGCGAGTAGTTGGAGCACACGGACACGCCTGGGCATTGGCACTGGCCGCTGCTACTCGCGCTCTCGCGACGGCCTTGGTTGCTGCCACCGGAGAGCGATAGCACGCCACTGCTACCGCTGCCACTGCTGCCAACCATGCCACTACTGGTGCGGCCTGTGCTTCTGTTTTGAAGCGCACCATGACCTAGACGGTGGCGGCTGCGTCCACAAGCACAACAGCCACGCTCCGGGAAATGGAACGCAGCTCCGCTTGCCCATTCCGAGCCGCGAGAGATTTGGCCGTGCCGGCAGTAGCCCCTGGCCTGGTAGTCGCTGCAGGTAAGCGCGCCGCCGGGGCGGGGGCCGTTGTGCCAGTCCGAGACATCCACGCAGGGCATCTACAAAGGCGCGGGCAGGAAGTGCCCGCCGGTGAAATCGCCGCGAGATTTTTCTTTCTTTTCGTCCACACGCACCGAAGAATTCTTTTGCAGGCGAGAAATGGGGGTACAAGCAGCTAGCCGAACTTTAGTGCGATGGATGGCTCCGACCTCAGAGTCGCCCTCTGGCAGCAAAAGCCGCCTCCTCGCTCCTCCGACCCTGGCATCGACTGGGCGCTCAAAGCGCTCGATGAGGCGGCGGCCGCGGCGCAGGATCAGGGCGCCCGGCTTCTTATCCTCCCTGAGCTCTTCCTCGGAGGCTACCGCGCGCTAAGCGAGGCGGGCGAGGTGTGTGGCTTGCGCGAGGGCTCTCCATCCATCGATCGCGTTGCGTCGATCGCCCGCGCACACCACCTCGCCATTGTCCTCGGCTTCTTCGAGCGCTCGGCCAATGGGCGCGTGTTCCGAGATCGGAACAAGACGCGCGTGACTCGGTCTCTGCTGATAGGATCGCCACCTTTCGCTGCAGGCAGCTGTACAACTCGGCGCTGGCGGTGGACGAGGACGGGCGGCTCGCCGCGCTCTACCGCAAGACGCACCTGTTTGGGTCGGCGGAGAAGGCCGCGTTCTCGCCCGGGGAGCGGCTCGGTCCAATCTTCGAGCTGGTAGGCGGAGTGCGCTGCGCCCTCCTCATCTGCTACGACATCGAATTCCCGGAGGCGGTGACTAGCCGAGACCCAGCCGAGACAGCCGAGACTTAGCCAAGACACATCCGAGACCTAGCCGAGACCTAGCCGAGACCTAGCCGAGACACATCCGAGATCTACCAGAGTTCTCTGGCTGAGGAGATATGCAAATCGACTCGCAGGCTGTGCGCAGCCTCGCGCTGGCTGGCGCCTCGCTCATCATCACCCCCACGGCCAACTTCGAGCCCTACTCGTTCGTGAACCAGTCGATCGTGCGTGTGCGGGCCTTCGAGTCGCACGTGTCGCTCGTCTATGCAAACTGGGCGGGAGATTCGCAGCGCGTCCGTGCCTTGCAGCGAGGCGCAGCTCACACCGCCTGCCGTAAACAGGCGGGCCACACGTCGGAGGACGGCGTGCGCTTCAACGGGCAGAGCGTCGTCGCGTCGCCGCAGGGCGAGCTGCTCCTCTCCCTCGGGGGAGGATTGATAGAGGTGACCCGAGGTTGACCGAGACTGGCCGAGGTTAGGCGAGCTGCTCCTCTCCCTCGGGGGAGGATTGATAGAGGTGACCCGAGGTTGACCGAGACTGGCCGAGGTTAGGCGAGCTGCTCCTCTCCCTCGGGGGAGGATTGATAGAGGTGACCCGAGGTTGACCGAGACTGGCCGAGGTTAGGCGAGCTGCTCCTCTCCCTCGGCGAGGGATTGATAGAGGTGACCCGAGGTTGACCGAGACTGGCCGAGGTTAGGCGAGCTGCTCCTCTCCCTCGGGGAGAGCGAGGAGGGGCTCTTCTTCGCCTCCCTGCCTCCCTCCTGCCTCGCCGGCGCAGGCGCCGCCCTCGAGGGGCACGACGACTTTTACCTGCGGGACCGCCGCCCGGCCCTGTACGACCAGGCCGCTGTGAGGGCGGCCGCGCCGCACAAGTTCGAGGCGAGGCGGCCCCGCCCGCTCTCGACGGTCAAGTGCATCCACGGCTGCTGCGACGACGGCCAGCATGGCGCGGACGCGGGAGAGATGTTGGCGTACGGCCGGCTGTGGGCGCTGCACCAGCTCGCCCCCTTCGCCGACTCTGGCCTCCGCCTGGCCGGGGTGTTGGGTGCGGCGGGGCCGGTGGACGCCCGTCCGCTCTGCAGCCTGGACTGGGCAGTGAGGCTGCCGCTCTCGTTGCTGCTGCTCGTTCGCCCGTCCGCGTCGGCGCTGCTGGCGGCGCACGTGTCCAACTTGCTGCTGTGGGCGGTGTGGATGCCGATGGCGTGCTCGGCGCAGGGCAGCTAGGCGTGGAGAGGACTTGCGCACAGCACGCGGCGTGCGAGTAGGCGTGGGACCACATGTGCTGGGCGGCGCTGCTCGAGGCGAGCCTCGTCGTCTGCGCGACGGCGAGCGGCGCCGCCAACCTCCCTCAGTACGGCCGCCGCCTCTCCGGCGCCACAGTCTTCCGGTACTGCTCGACGGTGCTGTGCGCGCAGCACGCGGTCCTCTACGTGGTCGCTGCCTTTTGGAAGCTGACCACGTCCTTCCTCGACCACCGCACGAGCTGTGCGACGGTCCTATCCGCCGCGAGGGTGTCCACCGCTGCTGCTGGCCCGAGAGGGGCGAGGGGAGGGGCTGTGAGCAGGTGCTCTTCGCTGAGCTCGCGACCGTGCTGCCGGACGCCGCGCTCGAGGCGCTGTTGCCGCCGGGCGGGCCGGCGGCGGAGCTGCTGCTCCGCGCGGCTCCCGCCCTCACCGTCGCCCTCGAGCTCGCGATCGGGCGGCTGCTCTTCCTCTGAAGGGCAGGCGGCAGGGGGGGCTGTGAGGTCCACCAGCTGTGAGCAGGCCGCTGCTCGTGCTGTCTCCGCGCGCCGGCGTGGTGGCCGGCTTGCTCTTCCACACAAGCATCAACCTGCTCCCGCTCAACTACGCGGCAGGCTTCTCGCTCATGTGCGTCGCTCGCTACGGCCTCTTCCTCCCCGCCACGCCCGACGCCCTCGCCGAGGCTTTCGCTGCCGGCCCCGCCGCTGCTTACGCCGCCGTGGCGGCTGTCGCTGCGGCGGCGTGTGCGCAGCTGCACGGCGGCATCGACTCGCACTTTGTCGGCTGCGGGCTGCTCGCCGCCCTCTGCCTTCGCGCCATGGCCCTCCCCGCCCCGCTCGCGGAGGTTTGCGCGCAAGGCGGTAGGGTGGCGCTGGCGGTGGGCCTCGCGACACTGGCGCGACCGCTGACAGCTCGTGCGCCGCGGAGGTGTGAAAGAGCGGGAGTCGTTGACGGCGCCCGTGCGTAACGCCCGTGTGTAGGCGACGCTTTCCTGGGGCATTGGCGGCCCCGTGCTCGGGCTGCAGCAGATGAGCGGGCTGACCATGTACGCCAACCTCAAGCATTGGGGCGGGTCGAACCACCTCCTCCTCCCGACCAACCTGCTCGCGGAGACAGACTGGCTTCCGGAGGCGGCATCGCGCGCGAAGCTGCCCCTCCTCTCCGCCCTGCTGGCCATCTTCGGCCGGGCGCAGGGGCAGGTCGGCGCTGAGATCCGCGCGGAGATTGGCCGAGATAAGTCCTCGGCCTCTAAGAGTCAAGATATGTGGCGTCTCTTCACGGTGAGGGCTGTGAACAGGTGGTGCGGGTGGATGCGACCAACTCGAGCGTGCTGCGTGAATTGTCCGCCCCGAGGAGCGTGCGTTTGCAGCCGCGGGCGGCGCGTCCTCACGCGCGGAGCTCTGTGGACAGGTCGCCTGCCGACTCGACGCCGCTGCTGCCCGCGCACGCGGTCGCTTTGATGCGCGCCTCCGGCGCCTCCGGGCGTTACTACGGGCAGTACTGCGCGCGGATGTTTGTCGGTCGAGACAACGACTTGCCGAGCTCGGGTACGATTGGCAACGCGGTTGCCGGCGCTGGCCCGAAGAGCGCTGGCGCGGAGGAGGGTGAGGAGCTTCCGTACGCGCTCACTGCCTACGAGCTCCGCCGCCTCCTCGCCGCCGCCCGGGCGCACGGCGAGCCCTTCACTCTCACCTTCACGCCGTCCCTCCCGACTGCCGGTGCGAGGCGCGTTCCTGGGAGTGTGGTGGGTCCCCGCGGTGACAAGTCGAGGTGTGAACAGGGTCGCCCGCCGATTGGCGCGACTTTGTCGGCGATAGCGCCTCGCTAGTGGAGGATCCGAGCGCGGGCCGCGCCGAGTGCACGATCGCCGGCGCCGATTGCGCGTCACACAAGGCAGCGGCCGTGGTCGCGCTGATGTCCGCAGCGCCGCCTCGCTGGCTGAGCAAGGCGCGCGCTGGCCAGACCTCCGCCCCACCACCACGCTGTGAGTGGAGGGCTTGCCATGCCACAGGTGCTAATGGCGTACCCGGTGCCGCTCCTGCCGCCGTCGGAGGCCGATCCGGGCACTGAGGTCCATTGCAGCGCTTGAGGGGCGGGGGGAATAGGGTCCTCGGAAAATGTGCACACCCACAGTCAGCTCTCTGCTGCTAGATGCTAGCTGAAGCTCTCGTGCGCTTGTGTACGCGCTAACTTTCTCCTGACTCCACGCGTGTATATTTCGTGAGAAACTGCTTGGACGTTGGAGAGTCTCTCTGGGGTCCCCAACAGGCAACACACATATACTCTCTGTCTCTCTCTCTGGTTGAATCTCTCCTCCTCTGCACCATCTCTCGACAAATGGGGGCCGCGTTGATCGGCGACGCGTCAGGCGTCACGCGATGTCACGGTGAATGCTCCGATGAACGGTCAAGTCACTGAGACACCATTCAGACAACCCACTAACTGTCCTCAGCCCATTCACCGTAATTGTTTAACAGCGCGCTAGCCTTCGGCTCCCCAAAAGCCACGCAGTAGGCCTTTCCATATTTGAAGCACCCTTTGTGGCTCGCGCATTGGCCAATCTCGCCTGCGTTCGGTGGCCCGGCCGATTGGCAACTTGTGAGGGCGGCGCAGCCCCGCGCGCCAGCTAGATGCGCCTTTGCCTCGGTGGGTGCGGGCTGATACCGCTACGCTGCGGCGTAGCGCTACTACAGCCTCGCCTTTGGCATTCACGGTGCACGTATTGCACCCGTCATACCAGCTGAAGCATCCCGGAGGTGGCGTTTCCTCTTCCCTTGTCCCGCCTGTTGGACATGTACGGGAACGGGCGTGTGAGCTCTCGCACCGTTCATGAGCAAAGAAAGTGCTAGGCTGAGGGATGAGGGGTTGGGCGGCGACCTCGGGCTGTAAACGGGGCGCTAATTGTTCCCCAAAAGTCTGTTATCCAGCCACCAAAAAGGGCGTCGGCTGAAGGCAAAATTGCCCACCCTCCCGGGCCGAGCTCGCTGTCAGTGTGTGGGGAGTCGGCTCCATATTCGTATATTTTGCCCTGCTGCTTCTCATTGCACCCAAGTGATGTGCCAGACGAGCAAGCGTCGAGGAGGCGCGTCGCAATGCCACGGTGCGAGGAGGTTAAGGCAGCGGTGAGGAGCAGCGACACGGCTAGGAGTAGGAGGATGGCGAGCGAGCGAAGGGGGCGCTCTCGGGAACGGTCAGTCGAGATCATTGAGTCGCGCACGAGTCGCGACGCGAACCCACGCGTGCGTACGTCCCGCCCCCGAGCACCGTCCCATGAACGCGCGGAAGAGTCAACTTTTTTCAGCACTGGTACGGGACCCCAGTCAGTCAGTGTTACAAAGAAAGAAAGAAAGAAAACAGACAAACCCAGACGAGGGATGGGGGAGGAGGACAGGGTCCCCACCTGCACGAGCAGGATTTTGGAAGGACGATCAGGGGGACAGGTGGGGCTCTCCTGCTCCTGACAAGGGACACGACAGGCTCGCAGCGCGGTGCACGGTGGGCTCCCAACTCCACTGGCGGTCTCATCTCAGTCTAGTGACCTGCCTCCAGCTTCCCGCTGGCAGTCTCTCACTTACCACAGGCACACTGACACAGGGGTGGCAGGGGCGGCGGCAGGAGTCACCCACATTACTATGCGGGCCTCACTAGAGGTGCGTCCTGTGTCGTGTCCTCGTCCTTGATGTCTTGCGGGGGAAGGGGAATGGGCTGTGTGTCTGTGCATGCATGTGTGTGTGTGTGTGTGTGTGTGTGTGTGTGTGTGTGTGTGTGTGTGTGTGTGTGTGTGTGCGTGTGTGTGTGTGTGTGTGTGTGCGTGCGTGTGCGTGTGCTGTGCGACCCGCCCTGAACGACCACATCCACAATGGCGAGCGCGCCCGAGCACCGAAGCGCCGCGAGCGCCGGCGAGCACCGCCGCCCCGCGCCTTGGCGTGGAGCGGTAAGTACATGACGCAGTGCCCAGCATGCTCTATCGTGCGTCGCACCCGCAGTGGCCGAGCCGACCGCCGCTCGAACTGGCGCCGAGTGGCTCCCAGATCGAGCGCGGCAGGCTCAGTCGCACCCTCGCGGAGCGAGTCAGTGTTACACACGTCCTAGAAGAGGAGAGTCGTGATTTCTTGTTGGTTTTCAAAACTCCTCCCTGAACGACCCAGCATGACGGACTAAGGCTGGGGAGCTTGAGCACTTGACTCTTGAGCACTGGATAGGGTCGATTCCGCATGGTACGGGACCCTCGATCGTCTCGCCCCTCCCTCACTGCGGTATGCGGTTCATTGCACATTGGGGGGGTCATGGGCTGGTCATGGGTCATAACAAACACCGGTCACCGCGGTGGTACATACAGGATCGAGGTGCACGCCGCCGAGTCAGTGTGTCGACTCGTCGACTGTCGTCCCCCCTCTCTCCACATCAACTCACTTGGGAGACGTCGGCGGTGGTGGCGGTGTGCGATCGAGCCACGAAGGTCGAAGCAGGACAGCTAGCCCGTGTAGCAAAGCTGTGACGCGGTATTGTGTGGGCGGACGGGTGTATTCAAGCCGTGGCCCGCGCGACGAGTCGCGCAGCACGCCAGCACGCGCGCAGGAGCCGGTCTCCGCGGCCTCGGGTGTGTAAATCCCGCACCCCGGGAAGATGCGCGGCTATGAGTGTGAGCTCTGGTGGTGGTGCGAGAAGTGAGATGGGCCTCCCCTTGTCTGGTTCTCGATTTATGGAGAAGAACGCGCAAGAATAGATTGCGCAGCGCGCACACGCCCCTGCACACATCTGCACACGCTGCTATGCCAGCAAGCCAGCGGAATGACGAATGTGCGGACGACCCTCTCTCGACATGCACCAGGCCAAGTGAGAGGCGATTCACGAGGGTGGCTCGCGATCACAAGCGTGCGCAGCAGACCCGCAGACCGGATGCGCCACAGAGGCAAGGCACGGGAATGTCAGCGCTCTACTTGCGTGGGCGATTGATTCCGTCCTTGGTGCCGAAGCGGCCCTGCTCGTAGCCCTGCTGCTGGTTGAAGGCCTCCTCGCCGGGCGAGAGCAGGCTGCGAGAGGCGGGGACACCACGTCAGAGCGGGCGCCGAGGTTGCAGCGGGAGAGGCGGTGGGAGAGGCGGCGGGAGAGGCGGCGGCGTGGCATAGTGCAGGGTGCAGCCGCACATCGGGACGAGTGCGGTTGCAACGACAGCAATCGCGCCGACCGGGAGCACCCACAGCGGCGCGTCCACCGCGCCGTACGCGCGCTCGCCGTCTGCCTGCACAATCTCGGCCACGAGAGAGGCGACCGAATGCACCGCCGATGCGTCGACAGGTGCGAGGGCGGTGGGCGCAGCGCAGCGCGAGGCGGCGGCCGCCGACACGCGCGCCGGAGAGACGATGAGCGCAGCGCAGCCCGAGAGTAGCGAGAGGAGCAGCAGCGACTTGTGCATTGGTTGCCGGGCAAGCAGCCAGGGTCGCTTTTTCTGCGAGCTTCTCGCCGAAAAAAAGAAATTTGTTCGCCCCTCTCCTTAAAATCTCTGTATGTTTGGCGGCCTGCCGTCCTCCCATCCTTTGGGGACTGTTTTCTTTCTTTCTTTCTGTCGGGTCCTCCCATCCCTCCCTTGGCTTGTGTGTTTTCTTTCTTTCTTTGTCGGGTCCACTGGTAGGGGGCAGGAGAACCACTGAACCCCTGTGTCCCTGATCGTTTCTGAGCGATAGAGGCCACACCGGCGTGCGAGTAGCAGAGGAGGAGCGCGGTGGTGGCGAGCATCGCCGTGAGATGTAGAGACTAGAGTGAGAAGCCACGAAGGCACAGATAACCAGGACAACAACTGAGAACGCGATAGTCGGACCACAAAGGACAAACAATGCGATAGTCTGTTAAACGGCCGCTACCAATAAAAGAATTGCGCGCGGGGGTTTGACCCCAGACAAGGTTCAACAAGGTTATGGGATAACAGGTGTTATGGCTGTTATGGCTGGCTGCTCAACATAACACCCTATAACACGAGTCATAACACCTCCATCGCTGTTATGGGCACGGGACGCGGCACAAACGGCACAAACGCCAGGCTACAAAGACGGGGAGGCACGTAGTGACGCAGGGGAGTATAGGCGACGGCGGCGTCCTCCGACGCCGCGGCGAGCCTGAGCTCGGTCGCAACCCGGTAAAATAGAGAGGAAAAAGAGGGGGTGTTAGAGAAAAAAGGAAAGGAAAACAGACGGGGTGCGAGAGGAAAACCTCGAGCGAAGCGGCGACGAGCAGCGCGCGCGCGCGCGGCGGCGGCCAGCCGTCGCGAGCCAGCCCGAGGCCGGCCTCGACCGGCCGCGCAGCCGCCCGCCCGAGGGCGAGCATGGGAGCGGCCATACTTGGAGAGAAGAAAAGTCGGCCAAGGAAGGTGAAAAAGAAAATGAGGGCGAGATACTCGTTATGTTGCCGTCCCAAGCTGTCACTCCCCTTTCTCCCGGCCGGGGCGGGGCGCGCGCGGGGGGCGGCGGGTGTGCGGGATGTCTGTGGGCCCGAGAGCGATATGCCGGCAGTAGGTAGGTAGAAAGGTGAAGAACAGCCAGGCTCGGACTGGACACCAACGCGGTATGGGTGGACGCTGGAATGCGTTTGTCCCGCAAAACTCGAAAGAAAATCGACGGCCCAGCCTGCCTCGGCTCGCCGGCAGGTCGCGAAAATATGGAGAGCTCGCGCATGCCGCCCGCGGGGCGGAAACGTAAGCGCGGGCGCGAGATCTCGGCCGGCGAGTCGGGCGCCGGCTGCTCGGCTCCGCTCGTCGACCCTGCCAGGGTCCGCCGCGAGCCGCACGGCGCCGCCGACATGCTCGCAAAGATGTGGGAGGACGAGGAGCTCAAGGACTGCTGCCTGGTGGTGCAGGAGGAGGGGTGCGAGCCGACGGAGCTGTGGGCGCACCGCGCGGTCCTCGTCGCCGCCTCGCGCCCATTCCGCGCCATGCTCGCCGGCTCCCACCGCGAGCGCGGCGCCAACCGGCTCGTGCTGCAGGAGGTGTCGGCGGCGCCGCTGGCCGAGCTGCTGCGCTTCGTGTACGGGCAGGAGGTGCAGCTGACCGCGGAGAACGCGCTGCCGCTCTACCGCACCGCCGACCTGTACGAGGTGCTCGAGCTGGCCACGCTCTGCTGCGCGTTCCTAAAGCGCTCGGCCGGCGTCGGAAACTGCGTTGCGCTGCTGGCGGCCTCCGACACGGCGCACTGCAAGCCGGTCGCGCTGCACTGCATCGACCTGCTCAAGCGGCACTTTGGGCAGGTCGCCGAGCGGGCCAGCTTCGTCAGCCTGCCCGGCCAGCTCCTGCTCGAGGTGCTGCAGGCCGACGACCTGTCTGCGCCGTCCGAGGAGCTCGTTCTCTCTGCGGTGCTCTCGTGGCTCGACGCGGACCCGCAGGGGCGGCTGGGGATGCTGCCGCAGCTGGGCGCCGAGATCCGCTGGCCGTTTGTGCCTCCGGCCCGGCTGGCGCGGCTCGAGGTGGAGAGGTCCGAGCTGCTCGACGCCTTCCCCGGGCTGGCGTGCCTGCTGCGCGAGGCGTACCGCTTCCAGGCGCTGCAGGCGAGCAACGCGACGGGCGAGCTGCGCGCGCTGCTGTCGCCGCGGACCACGCGCCGCCGCTCGCAGCTCTGCGACTTCAAGCGGCTGCGCTTCCACGCCGCCATCGGCTCGAAGGGCAACGCGAGCGGCGACTTCCAACTGCCCGGCATCTTCAACTCAGGCGACTTGAACTGCCTTAGGCGACTTGAACTGCCCTTAGGCGACTTCAACTGCCCGGAGGGCGTCGCGCTCTCTTCCGACGGCGAGCCCGCCGCCGCAGCGGACTTGCGGCCGCGGTGTGAAATGATGTTGCGTCGCGTTGTACTGCAGGCGAGCTCGTCGTCGTGGCGGACTCGCTCAACCACCGCGTCCAGCTCTTCTCTCGCGACGGAACCTTCCTGCACGCCTTTGGCCGCAAGGGCCGCTCGGCGGGCGAGTTCGACATGCCGGGCGGCGTCGCCGTCGGGACCGTCGGCGCGGCGGCGGCGGCGGCGGCGGACGGCCGCGGCCGCCCTCCCGACACGCACATCGTCGTGACGGACCAGGGCAACGGGCGCGTGCAGCTCTTCGAGCGGGACGGCACATTCGTGCGCACGGTCTCGCGCGACGGTGAGGAGACGGGCCCAGCCTTGGAGATGGGCTTGGAGATGGGGCCTGAAGGAGGGAGCAGCGGACTCATGCGCGAGTCGAACGCTTAGGCTCTGAGCCCGGCTGCCTCAAGGAGCCGACGGGCGTCGCTGTCACGCGGTCCGGCCTGATCGTGGTTGCCGACTACCAAAACCACCGCGTCCAGCTGTTCGACATCGCAGGCCGGCTCGCCCCGCCCCTCCGGCCCAGCCAGGCGGCGCGTCCCCTGAGGGGAGGGGGTCGGCTGACTAGGCAACCTCGTGCGCGCCTTTGGGCGGCGCGGCTCGGGCGATGGCGAGTTTTGCCACCCGTCCGGCCTCGCCATCACCCGGTCGGGCGAGATCATCGTCGCAGACTACCAGAACGACCGCATCCAGTTCTTCAACGAGGATGGCCAGTTCCTGCGCTGCTTGGGCTCGCACGGCGCGAAGGCGGGCTCCTTCGACCGGCCCTTCGATGTGGCGGTCTCGCCGGTGAAGACACTTCCTAGACACTTCCTAGACCCTTCGATGTGGCGGTCTCGCCGGCGAAGCGGCCACCCCCTCGTCACCGAGCGAGTGTGGCCCGGTCGAACCGCGAGGAGTGCCGTGACAGGTGGAGGGCCACATCCTCGTCACCGACTACGAGAACCACCGCGTGCAAGTCTTCACCGAGGGAGGCGCCTTCGTGCACGAGTTTGGGCGGCACGGCGACGGCGAAGGCATGTTCGACTCGCCGGGCGGCATCGCCGTCTCGTCGGACGGACTCGTGTGCGTCACCGACTGCGGCAACGGCCGCTTCCAGATGTTCGACTGCAACCCCGACGGGCGGGTGGCGAGCGGCCGCGCGGGATGCAGCTCGAGCAAGCCGGCCGAGCCAAACTAGATCCAGGCTTCGGTGCAGGCTTCAGGGCCGATAGGGGGGGAAGCGTGCGGTGTCAGGGGGCGCGCGGTCGTCGCCCTTCGCCGCGACATCCCGTCTGCTGCGATGCTGGCTCCTGCCCCCTTGCATGGAGTGAGATGTGTGTGACGACGAGAGAAATTGAGGGGGGAACGCACATAGAGAGAGCGCGCGCGGCGCGCTTCAGACAGGGCGGAGTGTAGAATATGTGTGATTCGGGGTAGGCGCTGACAGGTGACAGCGGAGAACGAGGTCGAGGAGAGACTAGAGGAGAGACTGTGGAGGTCAGATCGAGTCATCGCGACCGAGAGAGAGAGTCTAATAATAATATGAGATGCAGGTTGCACTTGCAGGTTGCAGCTGAGAGCTGTCCTGTGTTGTCTGTGTGTGTGCGGTCGCGCCCGCGCGAGTTCGGATTGCGAAGTCCGGCACCGCGCAGTACGACTAGAGAGCTCAATTATATCGTCAAACAATAGTTTACACTCGTGTACCGGGTGCGGCTCCGCCCCTGGCCAAATGCCTGGCGGCGCTGCACCGCTGCGCGCTGGCGGCTGGCCGCCGCCCTGCGCCCGCACACACGGTGTGGACACTCGGCCACGATCACCGCTCTCTCCCCCCCCGCCTCCTCTCGGCGGTGCTGCAAATCGCCACCAAATGCTCCCGTCGCGACCCTGCCCACCCGCCCGCCCACCTAGATGGCAACGCTCTCACCACGCCACCCTCGCCCCGTCGCCCTCGCCCCGTATGACCCGCAGCACGGCCCCTCCCCTCCCCCCCGCTCCCGCCGGGTGCAGAGTGGCAGGAGCTCGGAGCCTGCGCATCCCGGGGGGGGGGGGAGGGGGGAGGGGGCGCGACGGCCGCGCTCGCGAAAACGATGCGCCGGCGGGTAGCGCCCTCACCGCTCTTCAACACCGCTCGGAGGGTGCTCGAAGGGTGCTCGAAGGGTGCTCGTCACGCCTTGCGACCGCCGCACGGGAGAGGCTTGCCGCGGGCATAGCCGCGCACGCAACCGCTGTGGGCCGCCTCCTTCTTCCCGCCGCCCTTCTTGCCTCCCTTGCCGCCCTCCTTGCCGCCCTTCTTGCCCTTCTGCGGCTTGTCGCCCTCCTTGCCCGGCGGTACGCGCGCACTCTTCTTGGAGTCCTTCCCCTTCCCGCCCTTGTGCCACGGCGGCCGCTCCGTCGGCCACTCCTCCACGCGCTGGCGCGGCGGCGAACGGTACGGCGGCGGGGAGGGCGGCGCCGACGGCGGCGGCGAGAACCAAAACGCGGCCTTGCCGTCCTGGGCTTCCGGCTCCCGCGGCGCCGGCTTGCCGTGCTGCGCTGGGCCGCGCGTGTCTTGCGCGCGTCCTCCGCCGAGGTCGTTGGCCGTCAGCCTCCACCCTCCGCGCGGGGACGCCTTCTCCCACTGCGCCGCCGCGGTGCCTGCGCCGTCGTGCGGCGCGAACGTCGCGTGGCGCGCGACGAGCTGCGCCTTGAGGAGCGCCTGAGGGGGGCAGAGCTATCGAGATGGTCCGAGACGGACCGAGATCCAGTCTTCATCGAGCGAGGGGCGCCTGCTCGCGCCGCGCTGTGTTGAGGTCGCGCTGCGACATCTCGAGCCGCCACTTCCAAGACTCGCGCTCCTCTCGCCGCGCCGCCCGCTCGAGCTCGGCGTCGCGCGCCGCGGCGGCCGCCGCGAGCTCGGCCTCGACGAGCTCGCCTCGCTTCTGCTGCAACATCGACCAGACCGGGATGTCGACGGGGAAGGGCTTGCCGTCGCTCGCCCGCTCGCGCCGGAGCCGGTCGGTCTCCAGCCGGTCGGCCTGCTGGCTGGCGGTGCCGCGCCGGCTGACGGCGGGGAGGCCGGCGGGGAGGACGCCGGTGGGGAGCCACGCGTGGTCGGCCTTTGGTGCGACGCCCTGCGACTTGAGGCGGCGGAGCTCCGACTCCAGCCGCGCGACCTGGCCGGAGGGAGCGAGCCGTAGTCAGCTTCAGGCGGGGGTGGGCACACACTTGGCACGAGCCGCAAGAGCCTCCGCTTCGGCGGTGGCGAGGGAAGACGCCATTCGGCGCTGGGTGTGCTCGGCGGCGAGGTCGAGGCGGCGCGTCTCTGCGGCCGCCTCTTGCGACGCTCGCTCGGCGGCGCGCCTAGAGCAGGTGTCCGAGCATGCTCCGGGACGGCGCCGCGAGGCCTGGTGCGGCCTCGCGGCGCCGGGCGCGGTGCGCGCGCCACGCGAGCTTGGCGGAGGCGTTGAGGCGGTGGAGCTCTGAGGCGAAGATGCGCTCCCGCCGCAGGAGGGACTGGAGCGAGGAGCGGCAGCTCCTCTCCGCGCCCTGCCCGACGGCTGCCGCGCCGCTGCGGGGCGAGGAGACGACGGGGCGGGACGCTTCCGAGAAGGCTGCTCCGGCCCTCGCCGCGAGAGGGAGCGGCGAGTGGAGGCGAGGAGGGCCCTTGGGTGGGTGGGGCGGGTATACGGCCCTGCCCGCCTCGCACCAGTGGTGGAGGGGGGGCGGGGCAGGCTGGCCAAAGACGGGGGAGTCGAGCGCTGAGGGAGGGGAGTTTTTTGGGGGGAGACTTATAGATTCGCATCCTCCAGAGTGG